GTCCGTATGTCGCTTACGACACTCTGTATGTGGTCTACTATGCTCCGTACGTCGTTTATCGTACTCTGTATGCTGCCTGTGGTAAGCGTCGGTATGTCGCTTGGAGGTATTTTTTGTATGCCACTTAGAAATATTTGTATGCCGCTTAGAAATATTTGTATGCCATCTACGAACGTTTGTACGTGGTCTACGAATGTCGGTATGTGGTCTATAAGCGTTCGTATGCGGGCTACGACGCTCCGTATGCGGTGTATAGTACTCTGTATGCGGTGTATAGTACTCTGTAAACGTTGGTATGCGGTCTATAGCGGTCTGTCGCTTATTTTTTGTATGCCGCTTAGAAATATTTGTATGTCGCTTAGAAATATTCGTATGTGGACTACAAATGTCCGTATGTGGTCTACGAACGTTCGTATGTGGACTACGACACTCTGTATGCGGTCTATAGTGGTGTGTAGCACTCCGTATGCGGTCCATAGCATTCTGTACGCCGTCCGTAGCATTCTGTATGCGGTCTATAGTGGTCTATGGTACTCTGTATGCGGTCTACTAAATATGACGGTCGATTTTTTATAAATGCGTGATAAATGCGTGACATAATAGATCTACACGAAAAGATAACGTTCCTCACCGAACCACTAAACGAAACACTAAACCTGATTCTAATCCTCACCTAATTCTGACTGTAACCGAAGCTATAACCGAAACACTAATACCTCTAACGTGGTGTGACTCTAATCTAAACCTCTAACGGATACTTGAAATAACGTCGTCTAGTATGTCGCTTAGAAGTATTTGTACGTCGCTCGTAAATATGGGTATGTCGCTTAGAAACGTTCGTTTGCCGCTTAAAAGTATTCGTATGCCGCTTAGAAATGTCCGTATGTCGCTTACGACACTCTGTATGTGGTCTACTATGCTCCGTACGTCGTTTATCGTACTCTGTATGCTGCCTGTGGTAAGCGTCGGTATGTCGCTTGGAGGTATTTTTTGTATGCCACTTAGAAATATTTGTATGCCGCTTAGAAATATTTGTATGCCATCTACGAACGTTTGTACGTGGTCTACGAATGTCGGTATGTGGTCTATAAGCGTTCGTATGCGGGCTACGACGCTCCGTATGCGGTGTATAGTACTCTGTATGCGGTGTATAGTACTCTGTAAACGTTGGTATGCGGTCTATAGCGGTCTGTCGCTTATTTTTTGTATGCCGCTTAGAAATATTTGTATGTCGCTTAGAAATATTCGTATGTGGACTACAAATGTCCGTATGTGGTCTACGAACGTTCGTATGTGGACTACGACACTCTGTATGCGGTCTATAGTGGTGTGTAGCACTCCGTATGCGGTCCATAGCATTCTGTACGCCGTCCGTAGCATTCTGTATGCGGTCTATAGTGGTCTATGGTACTCTGTATGCGGTCTACTAAATATGACGGTCGATTTTTTATAAATGCGTGATAAATGCGTGACATAATAGATCTACACGAAAAGATAACGTTCCTCACCGAACCACTAAACGAAACACTAAACCTGATTCTAATCCTCACCTAATTCTGACTGTAACCGAAGCTATAACCGAAACACTAATACCTCTAACGTGGTGTGACTCTAATCTAAACCTCTAACGGATACTTGAAATAACGTCGTCTAGTATGTCGCTTAGAAGTATTTGTACGTCGCTCGTAAATATGGGTATGTCGCTTAGAAACGTTCGTTTGCCGCTTAAAAGTATTCGTATGCCGCTTAGAAATGTCCGTATGTCGCTTACGACACTCTGTATGTGGTCTACTATGCTCCGTACGTCGTTTATCGTACTCTGTATGCTGCCTGTGGTAAGCGTCGGTATGTCGCTTGGAGGTATTTTTTGTATGCCACTTAGAAATATTTGTATGCCGCTTAGAAATATTTGTATGCCATCTACGAACGTTTGTACGTGGTCTACGAATGTCGGTATGTGGTCTATAAGCGTTCGTATGCGGGCTACGACGCTCCGTATGCGGTGTATAGTACTCTGTATGCGGTGTATAGTACTCTGTAAACGTTGGTATGCGGTCTATAGCGGTCTGTCGCTTATTTTTTGTATGCCGCTTAGAAATATTTGTATGTCGCTTAGAAATATTCGTATGTGGACTACAAATGTCCGTATGTGGTCTACGAACGTTCGTATGTGGACTACGACACTCTGTATGCGGTCTATAGTGGTGTGTAGCACTCCGTATGCGGTCCATAGCATTCTGTACGCCGTCCGTAGCATTCTGTATGCGGTCTATAGTGGTCTATGGTACTCTGTATGCGGTCTACTAAATATGACGGTCGATTTTTTATAAATGCGTGATAAATGCGTGACATAATAGATCTACACGAAAAGATAACGTTCCTCACCGAACCACTAAACGAAACACTAAACCTGATTCTAATCCTCACCTAATTCTGACTGTAACCGAAGCTATAACCGAAACACTAATACCTCTAACGTGGTGTGACTCTAATCTAAACCTCTAACGGATACTTGAAATAACGTCGTCTAGTATGTCGCTTAGAAGTATTTGTACGTCGCTCGTAAATATGGGTATGTCGCTTAGAAACGTTCGTTTGCCGCTTAAAAGTATTCGTATGCCGCTTAGAAATGTCCGTATGTCGCTTACGACACTCTGTATGTGGTCTACTATGCTCCGTACGTCGTTTATCGTACTCTGTATGCTGCCTGTGGTAAGCGTCGGTATGTCGCTTGGAGGTATTTTTTGTATGCCACTTAGAAATATTTGTATGCCGCTTAGAAATATTTGTATGCCATCTACGAACGTTTGTACGTGGTCTACGAATGTCGGTATGTGGTCTATAAGCGTTCGTATGCGGGCTACGACGCTCCGTATGCGGTGTATAGTACTCTGTATGCGGTGTATAGTACTCTGTAAACGTTGGTATGCGGTCTATAGCGGTCTGTCGCTTATTTTTTGTATGCCGCTTAGAAATATTTGTATGTCGCTTAGAAATATTCGTATGTGGACTACAAATGTCCGTATGTGGTCTACGAACGTTCGTATGTGGGCTACGACACTCTGTATGCGGTCTATAGACATATTCGTATGCCATCTACAATTGTTGGTATGTCGCCTACAACACTTCGTAGGTGGGCTACGACACAGCCACACAGGGCTTCTCACTGCAGGTGGCCGTCCAGGACGGCCGTGTAAGTTTGTTGGTACCCTTAGTGGCAGTCTGAGATGAGCGTTTATTAGGTATGTCATGTATGGCCTTCCAGTACTACCACTTATTGTTCATCCCTGTGAAGGCCATTGAAGCAGATGGCCATCCAAGATGACCACCTATAGTCAGTACCACAGGTGGCCGTCCGGGACGGCCATTTCTTGTGCAAGCTGTTCGTGGCCTTCCTGGACTGCCACTTGTGGTTTGTCCCTCTGGTGGCCACTACAGCAGGTGGCCGTCCAGGAAGGCCATTTCTTGTACAAGCTGTACATGGCCTGCCTGGACTGCCACTTGTGGTTTGTCACTCTCATGGCCACTACAGCAGATGGCCGTCCGCGACGGCCACTCATGGTCAGTACCACAGGTGGCCGTCGAGGAAGGCCATTTTTTGTGCAAGCTATGCATGGCCTTCGTGGACTGCCACTTGTGGTTTGTCCCTCTGGTGGCCACTACAGCAGGTGGCCGTCCGGGAAGGCCATTTCTTGTACAAGCTGTACATGGCCTGCCTGGACTGCCACTTGTGGTTTGTCACTCTCATGGCCACTACAGCAGATGGCCGTCCGCGACGGCCACTCATGGTCAGTACCACAGGTGGCCGTCGAGGAAGGCCATTTTTTGTGCAAGCCATGCATGGCCTTCCTGGACTGCCACTTGTGGTCTGTCTCTCTGGTGGCCACTGCAGCAGGTGGCCGTCCGGGAAGGCCATTTCTTATGCAAGCTGTTCATAGCCTTCCTGGACTGCCACTTGTAGTTTGTCACTCTCATGGCCAGTACAGCAGATGGCCATCCAGGATGGCCACTCATGGTCAGTACCACAGGTGGCCGTCCAGGAAGGCCATTTTTTGTGCAAGCCATGCATGGCCTTCCTGGACTGCCACTTGGTTTATCCCTCTGGTGGCCACAACAGTAGGTGGCCGTCCAGGATGGCCACTCATGGTCAGTGCCACAGGTGGCCGTCCGGGAAGGCCATTTCTTGTGCAAGCTGTATATGGCCTTCCTGGACTGCCACTTGTGGTCTGTCCCCCTGGTGGCCACTATAGCAGATGGCCGTCCAGGACGGCCACTCACAGCCGCTGTGCTTTGCTGACTGTGCCACCTGGCCTATGCAGCCATCTGAGCCTCTTTTGGCCGCGAGCTATGGTTGAGGAGTATGAGGCTTTTGAAGTGGCATTGGTTATGGATGTGTCGCTGTAATAATACATATCATGATTGCGTAGTACATTACTACAGGTCTAGTTTATCATATGCTTACTACAGTGGCAGCCTAGCATTCCTAACTGGGACCCATGTCGGTAATACACCACCACCACCATGCATGGCCGTCCACGACGGCCGTGCAGGACAGTGGTGACTCACCAGCGCTAGTGATGGTACACGTGCCAACAGCACCTTTCGTAGTGTTCGGCAACAGCCTCCTTCCCAAAGCAGACACATACCCCTAGCCTTGGCTCAGGTTCCACTCAGTACTGGCAGTTCATGCACCTCGAACGGCCGTCCAGGACGGCCACTCGTGCCCAGCGTGGTTTACCTTCTGTGCCACCTGGCCTATGCAGCCAGTGGAGCCTCTCCGTGCATGGCCGTCCACGACGGCCACGCAGGTCAGAGGCCCCTCACCAGCGCTAATGATGACGCACATGCCCTACGGCACTGTCCATAGGGTTCGGCAATGGCCTCCTTCCTAAAGCGGACATGCACCCCTAGCCCTCGGCTCAGCGAACCCCCATCCTAGGGTTGGGGTCCCCCGCCCTCTGCGACCCTACGGCCGGCCTAGGAGGCCTCATAACCTAACCCTAAATGATGATATGAGGGGCGGACTTGAGTGGACCCCCACCTGTGGCAGATGAGCAACATGCGTGCAGAGAGTGGATGCACTTACCGAACGTCGGTACGGGGCGGTTCTCTAAGCCGGAATCGATGTAGTGGGCGACCATGCAGATCACACCCAGCGCCTGTGCTGTCTTGCCAATGCCAACCTCATCTGCAATCAAGATTGCGTCGTTGCCATTTTGAAGCATGCGGAGCGCAGCGCGAATGCCGGCGACCTGATGCCATCGCAGGGTAAGGTCCTCCCACTCTGAGGACCCGCTCAATTGTCCCCTCAGCTCTCCCATGTCGCGAAGCTTAGCACGAACGTCACGCGGGGATTTGCCCGCCGTCCAGATCGAGTAGGGAAGCTTATTCTTCACCTTGTACATGAAAGGAAGGACTTCCCCGTTCAAGCCCATTTGGTTCATCAGCTCCTCGCGAGACATGCCTAGCTCCATCGTTACGCCGAGGTCATTGCCGATCTCACCTGACAGATCCTCCTGGAATGTGTCAATTTCCGTCCCAGGAGATATATCCATTTCCGCCCTCATGGGGCCATCAATGAAGGCTTCGACATATTCGCGATAGACAGCTTCGAGCTCCTCCGGCGTCACCAAGTCGATGACAGGGCGACGTGATCGACCTGTCCTCCTGGATTTGGGCTCGGCTGTGCATAGAGACGTGTCATATCATAAACTATTACGCACGCGGAGAGAACTCACCTCCGGGTCTGAGTGCCTTGCCGGCTTCACTCAAGATCTGTTCCAATTCGCTCAAGCGAGTCTCGACATCTGCCGTTGCCAACTCGTCTTGCAAGAACTCTGCATGATCTCTGAACTGCTTCAGTTTTTGCAAAAGCGTGTACAACGCGCGACCCTTCTTTTTCCCGGATTGAAAGTCTGATTAAACAAATCCTGCATCAGTAAATATATTGAAATGGTGGTCAAGACTCACCTGTCCACGCATCATCAACCAGCGTCTTCTTGGTGTCATAGGTTTTCACCCATTGCTTAGCCTGCTTGGTCTGACGTTCCCATGCGACATACAATACTTCATTTACAAACCGTCGCGCCAATGGTCGGATGAGTCCGTAGGCCATAATGACCTCGGTTTCACCGAGTAAACGGACCGCGATATCCGCAAAGTAGACGTCGGTCCAGTCTTGGTGACCGCCAACGACCTCGCGCTTGCCAGTTACCTTTGCAACAGTCCAGTAGTCGCAGTGGAGGTCCTTCAGGAGGGTGTCGATGGTCTGATTGCAGCTCATCTTCCTGTGAAACTTCACCCATAGGGTCTTCCACAGGCCGCGACCGAGCTGCACGCGCGGCGATAGAGTTCGAGACTTCTTCTTCATCGTGTCGTCCGGCTTCTTGAATTGTTTCACCCATTCAACGTACTCCGCGAACGCGGCCAGCTGATCGTCGTTCCACATGATGCCAGAGGCGCGTCGTTCTTCGAGAGACATCGTTAGGGGGTTAGCAGGTAACCCGGTGAAGTCTTGCCAGCCGGTGTACTTCCACGCGTCGTACCACAAAGCCGCGTCGGAGAGCGGAGCGTAGCCCATTGCCACGCACAGTCAGATGGTGAAGGATACCGGTGAGGAGGAGGGGAAGGCTGAGACCACTGAAGAATGTTGGCATCATATATGTGTCGACGATTATGGCTATTTGTAGTCACAACTCGTGTTGACCGGGAGGACAGCGTCAATGGAGCACCCACCGAATTTGTCATCCTCGTGGTGATCATCACGACTCGATCATCCTCGCTGTGATTATCACACTCAATCTGCTCAACGTGTTTGCCTCATGTCTCGGCGCCTATCGATCATCGGATAAGAAAATGGCTGGCTTCCATGCGGGCCATGATGCTGCGTCGGACCCAGTCCGACGCCGTGGGTTCCTCGCCTTCGGCGGGATGCTCATCCATGATGCTTGCCAGGCATGCGGGCCATCATGCTGCGTCGGACCCAGTCCGACCCCGTGGGCCCCACCCCTTCGGCGCCTGCCCGCGGTAAGATATACCTCATTCATACACGACTACTACCACGTGGCCGGTTTTCTCCATTCTCCTCCTCGCACCTCAATGATCTGAAGAATCGGTTCCCGCACGATTTTAGCTACGGCATATACAATACTTTCTGCCGGAACCAATGTTCTTTAATAGTTGTTGTTGTTGAAGAGAATGCGAATCGGTCGCCACGTGGAGTGGTCGCGTATGAATGAGGCATATCTTATACTCATCCATGGTAAGCTAACCAGTGAATTTCCAGACGTTAGACGGAAGAGAAATAGAGCGAGCTGTTTGCAATGCGCTCAGTATCGTTGCATGAATCATAATTGTCATCAATAAGCACTATGAACAAAAGTACATCATCCGCTTCGCGCAGCTCAACTACCGAGAAACCCTGCGTTGCGTTAATACACGAGCACTGCGAGGCCGCATGGCTGAACGTCGTCGTCTTCGGAGAGCTAAGTCTTCTGCTTCTTCCTCGGCGGGGACTTCTCATTCGGAGATCCAGCCCCGGGCTGCTCAGCATCTGAGCTGAACTCCATCGACGAGTCGCTCCTAGTGTCAGCGCCGGGCCCTTTCGAAAGTGGTAAGCGACTGGCATCGCAATAAAAGCGGTGACTCACCCTTAGAGCTCGCCGGTACCACCTGCTTCGCTAGCTGGTCGTCTACCGTCATCTGAGCGAGTGAGTGGGCCAGACCAGATTTCTGCAGTGCAGGTTCGCGCGGTGTGCCAGATGATGTCGACGGAGTGTCGGACTCGGTCCGAGCTGGTGCTGGTGCGCCCAAGCCCTGCGGCGAACCGTCCCATTTCACAAACCAGGCCGACTGTCGCGGCGTGGGGCGCTGCCTGGCCGCGTTTCCATGCCGGTGGCTTGGCACAGCAGGGAAGCCGCCGGCCAGGAACAAGTGGAGGTCTGTCAGACTAGGGTCGTCCTCACGGGCCTGCAGCACACGGTCGTAGGGGCCATAGCGATTTGCATCGAATGGAACCCACGTCTGATACGAGTAGTGAACGTTGGGGTCGTAATTTTCGGGCTTGAGGTTGGGTCTCGCCTGCTTTAGCCCTGGCAGTGGATACCAGTACGAGATCTGCGCGGGGTGAGGCGCAAGCCACGACGCCGCAGGCGTATTACAGAGCACGTTTTTGGGCACCGTTAATTGGGCGTTTCGCCCGCGGCGCCACGACGGCGGATTCGGCCATCCTGATTGCAGGAGCTGCCCGATGAGTTCGTGGCATGGGTCACCGGGGGCATGGACTGCGATGCGGTCGAAGGGTCCAAATATCGCGGCGTCGAAATCCGGAACATTATTCCAGTCGTAGAACCTTCGGTCGGCCATCATTTGCTCGAAGCTGACACCGCCGCGCGGCCTCGCTGCCTCGAATGGGAACCACGAACCCAGCTGCGCTGGATGGAGGTGTGGCGACCAACGTTCCGGGCTCACCTCGCGAATGTCGTCCCAGACGAACCCGAGATCTTCCAACACTTGGCGCGTTGACCGCGTCGTGGTGGACGCCGCAGTGGTAGGGCCTGGCGTGTCGGACTGGGTCCGACTGCCGCCCTCCTCGGATTCTTGGGCGCGCGGCTCTTTGCTGCCCTCGCCACCCTCGGACTGGGTCCGATCCTCCTGGCGCAATGGCTGCTCGGTCTGCTCGGCGTTGACAGCGGGCATGGGTGGCCGGGGCTTGGGACGAGGCGCACGAGGCGTTGCGGGGAGGGAAGCCGGATCAGAAGCCGCGCCGACGTGCGACGGTACAGGCGGTGCCCGCTCTTTGCCCTTCTGCGTCGGGTTCGACTTGGGAGGCGCGTGGTCGTCGGACTGTACGTTCTTTAGGACCTGTTTGCCCTTCTCCGTCGGCTTGGACTTGGGTGCAGTGTCATCGTCCGACGACACTTCAATCGTGCCCTCTGTGTCCTTCTCCGTCGCCTTGGACTTCTTGTCCTTCTCCGTCGCCTTGGACTTCATGCGCTGTTTCTTCGTGGTCGTCGTCGCTGCAGTGTCATCGTCCGACGACACTTCAATCGTGCCCTCTGTGTCCTTCTCCGTCGCCTTGGACTTCTTGTCCTTCTCCGTCGGCTTGGACTTCATGCGCTGTTTCTTCGTGGTCGTCGTCGCGTCCTTCGTCGAAGACGATGCGGCATCACCCTTCGTCGCCGTGTCCTTCCTCGAAGACGACGCGGCACCAACCTTCGTCGCTGCTGGTTTTCTCGTTCCGCGGGTCTTAGCTTTGCCAGGAGGCGCCTCATCCTCGTCCTCCTCGACGTCCGGCTCGTAATTAACGTCGTCGTCTATATCGTCGCCGCGTAATGCAGCCAACAACTCTGCTCGTGGTGTCAGAACGTGCCAGGATGAAACACCTGTGCACTCACCGTCCGCGTACTCCGATCTTTTGGCAAACACCTGGAGCATCTCTTCTTTCTTGCGCGCGATGCCGCTCAGGGGGACATCGGTTGTGGCCAGCGCGATGAAGTCGTAGATGACGCAGACCAGGCTCTGCGGGAATCGCCATATTCTCCCAATGAGCTGCCGTTTGTCTTGCTCGGAGAATAGCGGGTCCTATGGTGACCTCATGTCAGAATGAGTATTGCTGTGATGTACGTATCAGGCTCACCATGATGATCAACACATGAGCGCAGGCGAGGTTGATGCCCGTGAGCCCGACCCTGCTCAACAGCAGGACGCAGGGCACGTCGCAGCTCTCGTAGTCTTGCACCACCTTTGCACGCGCCGGGGGAAGGACCCCCCGTGAATAACAAAGTAGCGAATATTGTGCACATCGAGCGACTGACGTCAAAGTCAGCAGCGTGTCGAACTCGCATTAGCGTCTCGCTCACCTCAGTGAGCGGACCCAACAGGCTCGGGAAATCAGTGTAGACAACGATCTTTGTCGGGCCCCCACCGTCATTTGGCACGCTGCCTTGAGGAAAGGCCATGTTGCCGTCTTCATCGAACACCGCAGGCGCAGCCGAAGGCTGCTGCAAATGGTACCTCACCAGCTCGATCATTGTCTTCGTCTTCGTCGACGCGACCTCGTCGTAAATCTCCTCAGAATCGATTTGCTTCGGGGGGTCAGCAAGAGAGCCCTCTTTGTACCCCACGAGCGCAGGCTGATTGGTGCCTTGCCGCGTGCGAATGTAGAATTTCTGCGCAGTTCCCGTGTTACCGTCGGAACGCTGGTGTCAGTAGTTGGGGACGTACCCGTGTATCGAAGTACAAGCTGGACACGCTCGCCTGGTGATCAGCCTTCTCGAGCGTGTTGACAATTTTTAACTCCCAGTCCTCGAGCTTGAGATAGGCCGCTACTCGGATGTAGTCCTTCAGTCCGCCGAGCACCTTCCCGTTGTTGTCTTTGGATTGGTTCGTGCGGCGAATGATGCAGTCGCCGAACTTCGTCTTGATGTCCCTGATGCCCCGTATGTAGATTTCGCGCGTCGCCGTGCTGGCGGAATCGAATGCGGCGCCGAGAGGTTCATTCCCGAGCTTCGTCTTCTCTTGCCGTCTCGCGCGTGCCAGCTTCCTCACGAGCTCGCGCTCGAATGCATCGACCGCCTCGCCCATGCACCCCTTAATGCCTAGCGCCCGGCCAGCGTAGACCATATCCTACGCGCGATCATTAGCGCAATCTCACCGCGGGCAAACACGGAATACGTTACCTTCGGATGCGTGTAGATTGGGGTAGCCGATTGCCCCACCGTCAGAAGAGCGATCCAGGCGAGCCACAACATCGCGCTGAAAACATTTTTGCCCGTCCTTACCTCGTGCGACTCGTCCAGGATGAGGAGGCCGATGGCCACCAGGGAGTTCAGCAGATGCATCGACTCTTTGACCTCCTTTGATACACCCTTCTTGAGAGGAAGACGTTCTGACACGGAGTTCTGTGCAGGGCGACTCCCGAAGTAGTTGGCGCTGTCGTTCGTCACGGCCTGCAAAGAGGCGCCTTTGTTAGCCTGGTGCACGTCCCACCGGTGTCGGACTGGGTCCGACAGCGCACTGTGCTGCCCCTCTGCCCAGAGCTGAAGACCAATGTCCGCGGGGCACAGTGCGTCGGACTGGGTCCGACCGCGCGCTGCGTTGCCGCTGGGTAGATAGGCACAGCGCCGCGTCGGACCCAGTCCGAGGAATAGCCGTGCTCACTCACCGGAGTTGTGGCGAAGATGATTCGCATATGCATGAGGCTTTTTGCCTTAGCCCATGCACTGTTGGGCCCGAAGAAATTCCGCCGCGACTTCAGCTGCCCGGTGTATTCGAAAAATTCAAACCCCTTGAGCCACGTCCGCGCTTCGGTGAGCCAGTTGGGCATCAATGTGGCGGAGGAGATGATGACGTGGGGCGCGCTGACGAGCTTTCGGCCCTCAGGCAGCCTCAACTGCGCTGCTCATCTGTCGCGTGAATACGAGCATCCGTGCCAACAGTCTGAAACTCACGCGAGACCTCCACCGGTTTCCCTCGCTCCTGCGCGTCGATGTAGTGGCTGATCATGCCGATCAGTCCGAGTGCTTGCGCAGTCTTGCCCAACCCGACCTCATCCGCGATGAGGACGCCAGAGGAGCCCTGCGCCATCATCCGCAACGTCGCGCGAATCCCGGCGACCTGATGCCATCTAAGGGTGAGCGGTGCCCACTCGTCGGACTCGGTCAGCTTGTCGCGCTTCTTCCCCATTTCTCGCTGCATGGCGCGGACCTCCTCCGGAGTCTTGCCCTCCGTCCACACCAGGAATGCCTTCTTGTGTCTCGCCTCGTTCATAAGTGGAAAAACCTCGCCCTTTACCCCCATGCTCTCCATGAGCGCCTGTCGCGTCATCTTGCTCTCGGGCTCGACGCCGAGGTCGGTTCCCAGGTCGTCGGTCATGTTGTCCCCAGCGCCAAGTACATCGACCGCGGCATCGTCAGTCGCATCGGCCCTCATGGGGCCTTCCACGAAGAGCTCGACGTACTGTCTGTAAACCTCTTCAAGCTCCTGCTCGGTGACGAGCGAAAGCATCCTCTTGCGGTCGGCCGCCGACAACTTCGCGCTGTTTTTGGCTTGATTCACAAGCGTTCAGCCCCTGGACGTGGATGAAGCGCTATCACTCACCGCCAGGCCGCAGCTCTTTGCCGGCCTCGCCCAAAACACTCTCAAGGTGCTTTAGACGTTCTTCCACGTCCTGCTCTGCCTCGGGGTCGTTCATGTATTGCGCGTGGTCGTGGAAGTCCTTTAGCTTCTGCATGAGAGTTAGGAGCGCGCGACCTTTCTTCTTGCCACCTTTGAAGGCTGGAAAGACTATCAGTATGCCGTGCCACTCGTCTACGTCGCGCATGTCTCGCTCACCATCCCAGGCGTCGTCCACCGCAGTCTTCTTGCCGCCATAATTCTTGACCCAGATCTTGGCCCTCCTGGTCTGACGCTCCCACGCGAAGTACAAGACCTCTTTCATCAACAGTCTTGCGGTCGTGTTCATCAAGCGATGGTCTACCAGGACCTCACCACCCAGTAAACCAGCGCCGAGTTCCGGCAGGTATGGCGACGTCCAGTCCGCATGGCCGCCCGGGAGCTCACGCGTCTTGAAGGCGACAGAGACGGACCGATAATCGCAATGGTGCTGCTGCATCAGGTCGTCGATCTTTCGGTTGAGTCCACTCTTCCGCAGCAGCCGCGCCCACAGATCCTGCCACAACTTCCTACCTTGGTTAACGGTGGGCGCGAGCTTCTTACCATCCATTATCTTATCCTTTAGGTCGCCGCTGGTTGCGGCCCCCCTTACAAACGTATAGTACTGCTCGAATTCGTTCATCTCCTTCTTGCTCCACGAGATGCCAGCGCTGTGTCGGGCGGCCGCTTCAAGCTCGTGTGGCGGTGAATCCATGCCCGTGAGATCCCGCCAACCAGGCCATTGCCAAGCCTCGTAGTAAAGAACACTATCGCACAACAAAGCATAGCCCATAGTGAGTAGAGAGGTCGGCGCAGTAGCGATAAGGAGAACGGGGGTTGTGGACCACGGGCTTCCCTCCCACGAAAACTATATAGCATCCGCGCGTGAGGATTATCAAGATAATCATAATCTGCGTTGGACGCGTGCATCAACCTAACCGCTGCCTCGTGTATCAACATCTGTTCTACACGCAGATCTCCGATCGTTCATCTCCGATCCAAGAATGGTGAGATTATCCCGGCGATCATGCCTTGGCTTTCTGATCTGGCCGCTGTTCCATCGCTTCTATCGGATGATCCGATAAGCTTTATCTGACAAAACCTGCTATTAGATCATCGCACGGCCCCACAAGCACCGTCACCCGGACCGAGTCCGACGCTGCACAGGCCGCACGCGGACACTCCACTTCAGCATACTCACACAAGATGAGCGAGTAGTGCGACGTCGGACTGAGTCCGATGTGGTGCCCTGGGGGTGTTGTTTGGCATGACATCGCGGCGGGTAGTGCGACGTCGGACTGAGTCCGACACAGTGCGCTGGGTGAATTGTTTGCCATGACATCGCGGCGATGTGTGCACGATCTGTGGTTGGTTGAGTTGAGTGGAGTTGAGTTGGGTGCTGCCTCGAAGGGTGAGGGATTAGTTAATGCAGGGTTAAATAGTACTGCATAAGAGCGCGCGTGGGCGGTGAGATTGTACAGCGGCGGGAAAAACTATTGACGAGGTGAGGAATACTGGGGTGTTGGTTGAGTTGAGTTGAGTATGAATTGATTCAGGTTGGGAGACGATATGTCGTATGGAAAGGCAGGGGCCAGGTGCAGTCTCACTGTATCCAAGAGGGTTGGAGCATCCCCAAGCTCTGCTCTGATGCTCCACCCTCTTGGATACAGTGAGACTGCACCTGGCCCCTGCCTTTCCATACGACATATCGTCTCCCAACCTGAATCAATTCATACTCAACTCAACTCAACCAACACCCCAGTATTCCTCACCTCGTCAATAGTTTTTCCCGCCGCTGTACAATCTCACCGCCCACGCGCGCTCTTATGCAGTACTATTTAACCCTGCATTAACTAATCCCTCACCCTTCGAGGCACCCAACTCAACTCCACTCAACTCAACCAACCACAGATCGTGCACACATCGCCGCGATGTCATGGCAAACAATTCACCCAGCGCACTGTGTCGGACTCAGTCCGACGTCGCACTACTCGCTCATCTTGTGTGAGTATGCTGAGGTGGAGTGTCCGCGTGCGGCCCGTCAGCGTCGGACTGAGTCCGAGAGATGCTCCTCAGCCCGCTGCTGCATGCAGTGCGACCACTCGCCTTCAACATTGGATGATTTCATCGTTCAACCCATACTACGTACGGGCCATCAGTCTAGTTTAGTACGTGTGGTGCCGTGCACACTGTGGTGTCTCTGAACGGTGGAACGCTTTCTTAGCCTGGGTACGAGTCACAGAGTTCATGACCTAATTCTCGGACTAGGTATGAATGGCCTCGCTTGTGCTGTGCTACTTCCCTCAGCCTAGGTGTGAAACCTCTTGCAACCTGAACCTACCGTGTCTCTCTCGGACTGGGTACGACAACCTTCCTGCTGCCATCTCTCTCTCGGACTGGGTACGACGGCCTGCGCCCCGCCATTTTTCTCTCGGGCGCGGTACGGCGGCCTGGGGCCTGCTATTTCTGTCGGACTGGGTACGACAGCCTGCGACCTGCTATTTCTCTCTCAGGCTGGGGACCACAGCCTTCCTGCGGCTATTTCTCTCGGACTGGGTACGATGGCCTATGACCTGCCATTCTTCTCTCGCGCTGGGTACCGCGGCCTGGGACCTGCTGTTTCTCTCGGACTGGGTACGACACCCTGCGGCCTGCTATTTTTCTCTCATGCTGGGTACCACGGCCTGTGACCTGCCGTTTCTCTCGGACTGGGTACGACACCCTGCGGCCTGCTATTGTTCTCTCACGCTGAGTACCATGGTCTGTTGACTTGCGGTGTCTCTCGGACTGGGTACGATGGCCTGCGAGCTGCTAGTTTTCTTTTGCGCTGGGTACCACGGCCTGTGACCTGCTGTTTCTCTCGGACTGGGTACGACACCCTGCGGCCTGCTATTGTTCTCTCACGCTGAGTAGCACGGCCTGCGACCTGCTGTGTCTCTCGGACTGGGTACGACACCCTGCCTGCTGCCATTTCTCTCGGACTGGGTACGACGGCCTGGCTGATGCCATTAATTTCTTTCGGACTGGGTACGACAGCCTCGACCCGTCACTTTTACCGTCGGACTGGGTACGACGGCCTGGCTGCTGCTATTTCTCTCGGACTGGGTACGACAGCCTGCGACCTGCCATGTGTGTCGGACTCAGTCCGACACAGTGGTTTCTCTCAGGCTGGGACCCCGGCCTGCTGTGAGCCATTTCTCTCGGACTGGGTGCGATAGCCTGCGACCTGCGATGGGTGTCGAACTCACTCCGACACAGTGGTTTCTCTCAGGCTGGGACCACGGCCTGTGAGCGATTTCTCTCGGACTGGGTACGACAGCCTGCGACCCGCCATTCTCCTCTCGGACTGGGTACGAGGGCCTAGCTACCGCCATTTCTCTCGGACTGGGTACGACGGCCTGCGACCTGCTGCTTTTCTCTCACGCTGGGTACGATGGCCTGCGGGCCATTTCTCTCAGACTGGGTACGACAGCCTGCAAGCTGCCATTTTTGCGGCAACAGCAGGGTGTCATCTCCGAACAGCAGCAGGTCACATGCAGTCATGCAGGACCCATGCCGTCGTACCCAGTCCGAGAGAAATGGCAGCAGCCTGGCCGTCGTACCCAGTCCGAGAGAAATGGCAGCAGCCTGGCCGTCGTACCCAGTCCGAGAGAAATGGCAGCAGGCAGGCTGTCGTACCCAGTCCGAGAGACTTCGCAGCGGGCAAAACTGTCGCACTGGGTACGACCGAGGTCTGAACATCGACCCGGAGTGCACGCCCTAGGCGACTGGCGTCGGCCCTAGGTGCGCGTGCGCCCTTCCCTAGGGCGATAAGCGCCGGCCCTAGGGCCCAGGAGGTACCCTAGGGTACCCGAAAAGTCACCCATAACCTAAGTACTGTAGGTGGCCGTCCGGGAAGGCCATTTCTTGTGCAAGCTGTTCATAGCCTTCCTGGACTGCCACTTGTGGTTTGTCACTCTCATGGCCACTACAGCAGATGGCCGTCCGCGACGGCCACTCATGGTCAGTACCACAGGTGGCCGTCCAGGAAGGCCATTTTTTGTGCAAGCCATGCATGGCCTTCCTGGACTGCCACTTGTGGTCTGTCCCCCTGGTGGCCACTACAGCAGATGGCCGTCCAGGACGGCCACTCACAGCTGCTGTGCTTTGCTGACTGTGCCACCTGGCCTATGCAGCCATCTGAGCCTCTTTTGGCCGCGAGCTATGGTTGAGGAGTATGAGGCTTTTGAAGTGGCATTGGTTATGGATGTGTCGCTGTAATAATACATATCATGATTGTGTAGTACATTACTACAGGTCTAGTTTATCATATGCTTACTACAGTGGCAGCCTAGCATTCCTAACTGAGACCCATGTCGGTAATACACCACCACCACCATGCATGGCCGTCCACGACGGCCGTGCAGGACAGTGGCGACTCACCAGCGCTAGTGATGGTGCACGTGCCTGCAGCACCTTTCGTAGTGTTCGGCAACAGCCTCCTTCCCAAAGCAGACACGTACCTAGCCTTGGCTCAAGTTCAACTTAGACCTGGCACCCCATGCAACTCGAACGGTCGTCTACGACGGCCACTCATGGCCAGCGTGCTTTGCCCCCCCCCGCGCCACCTCGCCTGTGCAGCCACCTGTGCCTTTCCACGCACGGTCGTCCGCGACGGCCGCGCAGGTCAGAGGCCCCTCACCAGCGCTAGTGATGGCGCACGTGCCCTACGGCACGGTCCGTAGGGTTCAGCAACGGCCTCCTTCCCAAAGGGGACACGTACCCCTAGCGTCCGCTCGGGGAACCCCCACCCTAGGGTTGGGGTTGCCCGCCCTCAGCGACCCTACGGCCGGCCTAGAGGGCCTCATAACGACACTCTGTATGTGGTCTACTGTGCTCCGTACGTCGTTTATCGTACTCTGTATGCTGCCTGTGGTAAGCGTCGGTATGTCGCTTGGAGGTATTTTTTGTATGCCACTTAGAAATATTTGTATGCCGCTTAGAAATATTTGTATGCCATCTACGAACGTTTGTACGTGGTCTACCAATGTCGGTATGTGGTCTATAAGCGTTCGTATGCGGGCTACGACGCTCCGTATGCGGTGTATAGTACTCTGTATGCGGTGTATAGTGCTCCGTAAACGTTGGTATGCGGTCTATAGCGGTCTGTCGCTTAGAAGTATTTTTTGTATGCCGCTTAGAAATATTTGTATGTCGCTTAGAAATATTCGTATGTGGACTACAAACGTCCGTATGTGGTCTACGAACGTTCGTATGTGGACTACGACACTCTGTAGCACTCCATATGCGGTCTATAGCATTCTGTACGCTGTCAGTGCACAGCCATCCATGTCGGACCCAGTCCGAGACGCAGTACCCTGCCATGTGTTGGACTCAGTCCGACACACAGTGCCCTGCCATGTGTGTCAGACCCAGTCCAACATATCACACAGTGGCTTCTCTTGGACTGGGTACGACGACGTGCAACCTGCCGTCTGTGTCAGACTGCATATGATGGCCTGTGACCTGCTATTCTTGGACTGGATATGACAGCCTTGCACTGGGTACCACAGCCTGTACCCTGCTGTTTCTCTTGGACTGAGTATGACAGCCTGCGACCTGGTATTCTTTGTGTCGCACTGGGTACCACAGTCTGTGACCTGCTGTCTCTCTCGGACTGGGTACGACAGCCTGCTGCCTGCCATGTGTGTTGGACTGAGTCCGACACAGTGGTTTTTCTCAGGCTGGGGACCACAGCCTGTGAGCTATTTCTCTCGGACTGGGTACGACAGGCTGCGACCTGCCATTTTTCTCTTGCACTGGGTACCACAGCCTGTTGACCTGCTGTTTCTCTCGGACTGGGTACGACAGCTTGTGACCTGCCATGAGTGTCGGACTCAGTTTGACACAGTGGTTTCTCTTAGGCTAGGACCACAGCCTGTGAGCCATTTCTCTCGGACTGGGTACGACACCGTGCGGCCTGCTATTTTTCTCTCATGCTGGGTACCACGGTCTGTGACCTGCCGTTTCTCTCGGACTGGGTACGACACCCTGCGGCCTGCTATTGTTCTCTCATGCTGAGTACCATGGTCTGTTGACTTGCGGTGTCTCTCGGACTGGGTACGATGGCCTGTGAGCTGCTATTTTTCTTTTGTGCTGGGTACCACGGCCTGTGACCTGCTGTTTCTCTCGGACTGGGTACGACACCCTGCAGCATGCTATTGTTCTCTCATGCTGAGTAGCACGACCTGCGACCTGCTGTGTCTCTCGGACTGGGTACGACACTCTGCAACCCGCCATTTCTTCCCTCGGACTGGGTACGACAGCCTGGCTGCTGCCATTAATTTCTTTCAGACTGGGTACGACAGCCTGCAACCCGCCACTTTTACCGTCGGACTGGGTATGACGGCCTGGCTGCTGCTATTTCTCTCGGACTGGGTACGACAGCCTGCAACCTGCCATGTGTGTCGGACTCAGTCCGACACAGTGGTTTCTCTCAGGCTGGGACCCCAGCCTGTGAGCCATTTCTCTCGGACTGGGTACGACGGCCTGTGACCCGCCATTTTCCTCTTGTACTGGGTACCATGGCTGTGAGCTGCTGTCTCTCTCGGACTGGGTACGATAGCCTGCGACCTGCAATGGGTGTCGAACTCACTCCGACACAGTGGTTTCTCTCAGGCTGGGACCACGGCCTGTGAGCGATTTCTCTCGGACTGGGTACGACAGCCTGCGACCCGCCATTCTCCTCTCGGACTGGGTACGACGGCCTGGCTACCGCCATTTCTCTCGGACTGGGTACGACGGCCTGCGACCTGCTGCTTTTCTCTCACGCTGGGTACGATGGCCTGCAGGCCATTTCTCTCAGACTGGGTACGACAGCCTGCAAGCTGCCATTTTTGCGGCAACAGCAGGGTGTCATCTCCGAACAGCAGCAGGTCACATGCAGTCATGCAGGACCCATGCCATCGTACCCAGTCCGAGAGAAATGGCAGCAGCCTGGCGGTCATACCCAGTCCGAGAGAAATGGCAGCAGGCAGGCTGTCATACCCAGTCCGAGAGACTTCGCAGCAGGCAAAACTGTCGCACTGGGTACGATCGAGGTCTGAACATCGAGGACACGACCCGGAGTGCACGCCCTAGGCAACTGGCGCGCCGGCCCTAGGTGCGCGCGCGCCCTTCCCTAGGGCGATAAGCGCCGGCCCAGGAGGTACCCTAGGGTACCCGAAAAGTCACCCATAACCTAACTAACCCTAAGGGGCAGAAAGTCGGGCGGCCTCACGTAGCGTAAGGCACCCGGCCTGTAGATAGGAACAAGCGGAGGTCCTTCTTCGTCAGCGTCTTCTCCGACATCTCTGCGCAGCGTCAGTCTCAACTATGTCCGCAGGTCCGCCACATACCTTTCCACAGCCTGTCTACCTCGGCCCGCTTCTTCTTCATCGCCGTCTGGTCCCGCTTCACCACCTTCCTCCACCTCTCCCAGCAATGGATCAGCAGCACGCTGATGAACTCGTTCGGTCCCTTCTTCGGCATCCGGTTCTCATACAACCCTTCCGGCCCGAGCACTCTGTATATCGTCACCTCATAAAACGCCCACAACACGGCGTCGGTGGCGGACGGCAGCTTTGCATATGTGAGTACTTTTCCGCGCCAGTTCAATCCATACACTCACCGTGCTCGTCTTCATCGCCCGCATTACCGTCAACGGGTCGCGGTTCGCCTCTATCAATATCTCATCCACCCTCGCATTCACCTTGCACGTACGATACGTATCCGCCACCCATTGGATCCAGGCGTTGCGCCCCTTGCTGTACTCGTCCGTCTGCCTCTTCATGAAGTCGAACCTGTTCTTCGCTTTCGTGTTAAAATACTTTTCCATGAACGCCCTCACCGCCAACACCATGTTCGCGTCCCATCCCTCGGGCGGGTTCTCCTCGGCTTCCGGTGACCACGGCGGGTGATCAGTGCGCACCAGCGTCGCCCAAGTCGGCCAAGACCACAGGTCCTTTTCGGCGGCGTGCAGATCGAGCAGAGCTCCGGGTAGTGTAACAGTAGGCATAGTGAAACTGACTTGTTCGACAAAGGGGGTTGGAACAATGCCAAAACTACCCACTCGACTGATCTTATGTACCGTCGAAACAGTTTCTCGTCTAACGCGTCTCGCGATATCTGATCCCACGAGGCAGGTCATCTGGCCGTCACCGACGGCCGCATGTGGTACAGCTCCCATACCATGAGGTCGACGTGTTGCAGCATGTACGTACACGGATGGTCGTCCCGGACGGCCGCCCCTGCTCCTCCTCGCTCTGCCATGAGGCATGCGTGCTGCAACGTGCGTGTACAGGCATGGCCGTCGCCGACGGCCGCGCGTGGAGGGCTCCCTTTACCCCGCCTCGTGTGGGAGGGGTGGCTTCCTCGTGGCCTAATTATTATTATGCCTCCGTCCCGTCACCATATCCGGTCACTGATCCGCTTATCCACCTCGATCAGAAGATCCGATCTCGATCGATATCCCTGAAGACACTTCTCATATTCCTTCACCTCGGTGCAGAACATCCACTTGTTCGCCGCTTCTCGGGACTGCGTCCCGGCGGCTCACAAGTGGATGTTTGAGGATGAAGGAATATGATCCAAACTCGCATTCTGTCCCTCCATCCTTATATGCGCACACACTGATCATCTCTTGGCTCACACCTGTTTTTTCTTTTTTTGTTTTGTGCACAAGCATATTTGGTGAGACAGGTTCCGCACACCGCAACGAAAATGGCCGTCTACGACGGCCACTCATGGCCAGCGTGCTTCGCCCCTCCCGCGCCACCTCGCCTGTGCAGTCATATGTGCCTCTCCGCGCACGGTCGTCCGCGACGGCCGCACAGGTCAAAGGCCCCTCAGCCAGCGCTAGTGATGGTGCACGTGCCCTACGGTAGGGTGCAGCAACAGTCCCCTTCCCAAAGCGGACACCTGTTCCTGGCCTCAGGTTCAACTCAGACCTGGCACCCCATGCAACTCGAACGGTCGTCTACGACGGCCACTCATGGCCAGCGTGCTTCGCCCCCCCCGCGCCACCTCGCCTGTGCAGCCACCTGTGCCTTTCCACGCATGGTCATCCGCGACGGCCGCGCAGGTCAGAGGCCCCTCACCAGCGCTAGTGATGGCGCACATGCCCTACGGCACGGTCCGTAGGGTTCGGCAACGGCCTCCTTCCCAAAGGGGACGCGTACCCCTAGCGTCCGCTCGGGGAACCCCCACCCTAGGGTTGGGGTTGCCCGCCCTCAGCGACCCTACGATCGTCCTAGGAGGCCTCATAACCCTAAGAATTAGTATCTGAGGAACCGGACTGCGCCATGGCATGCGCCATTCCCACGCTCTGCGCCACGGCAGTCCACTGTGGGCTGCCTGACTTATATTATTAGTTATCTGTATGCGGCCTACAGTCACCCCGGGTCACCTCTGACACCTCGGTCACCTGGTCACCTGGTCACCCGGTCACCTTCGACACCTCGAACACCTGGTCACCCGGTCACCCTCGACACCTCGAACACCTCGGGTGACTCTATAAAAGGAAGGTGACTTGCTATATATGGGTGACACCCGACACCTGAAACGATACATCTGTTTTTGTGATAAGTACTGTAGGTGAAGCAAGGCAAAGCGCTGGGCATGGAGGAACCTCGGAAGACATTATTGGCCAGCCGTCCTACAGCGTTCTCCTCCTCTTGTTCGGGTTCTCAAAATGGAAGGTCCTTCTCAAAATGGTATGTCTCTTAAAACATATATCATGTGATCTCTTAAAACATAGTATGTAGGAGCGAGAATGCTGTAGCGACGGATGGTTCTAGGAGCCTGACCACAATCCTCAGTTTGATTACATTGCTGACACAAAGGAAGAAAATGATGCTCGATTATTATACAGCACCCAATTGTCACGGAACGCTTGTAACCCATGTGATGTCACGCAAATCTTTCCCGATTTCCGTGATGTGCTCTATATGATCCCGTCCCCTCCCCTCACTCATAGGGATCATTTTGTAGTCTGCCTACGGGAGACTAGGGCTGCCCGCTTTTTCGGTTACATCACTGCTCTCGCGAATCCGACTCGTCCAAACCACCACAAGTAGCCTTGACTATCATGTTCACAGGTCTGGTATGCTGCCCGCAGCACTCGCCATCCCGCCACTGACCTCCATTATTCTCAGATTCAGCACCTCGGGACGGTCGCGTCTATCGAGCACGACGGTGGAGGATGCATGCTCGCCGTTGCAGACGCATCGCCTATCCTGGGAGACTGCCGGCGACTCCATCGCGGTGAACGACGCATGCCTCACCGTGACGGCGTTCGACGCACAGGCGCGCGGCGGGTGGTTCACGGTATGGCTCGCGAACGAGACGCTAGAGCGGACGGATCTCGGTGCGTGGCTTGCCTCTATGCTGGTGCGGTGCGGGTGCTCATTGAAGTAGGCGAGCGGAAGGTGGGTGATCAGGTTAATTTAGAGCGCGCGATGGGCGCGCATGTGCAGTTTGGAGGGCATTTCATGCAGGCGTGTCTTTTCAGTGTTTGCGGTGGTGGTGATGTAACCGAAAGCACCTTGCGGGCATGCGCATGTGGATAGCACAGCAACCCTGGTTGACCGTACGCCTGACGGCAACTCGCTGCGCCTGCTGTTTCAACTCCCGAGCCGACATCGTCGCGGCCGTCCTTACTTCCTTACCTTATACCGAAGGGCTATGTCGCGATTGATGGCGCGTCGCTCACGCTGACAACTGTCAACGACATGCAGCGCACCTTTGGCGTCATGCTCATCAAGCACACGCAGGAGAAGATCACGCTGAGCAAGAAGCCGCTCGGTGCGAAGGTAAACATCGAGGTGGACATGCTTGGCAAGTTCGTGGAGAAGAGTGTGCAGGCTGCGTTATCGGGCGGAGGCACTTCAAATTTGCGAGCGATGGTGGAGAAGGTTGTAGAGGATGTCCTCGTCGAAAAGGGAGTCGTATGATCACTGCAAGTACTGTACCTATAGCTGCACTGACTTACTGCTTGAATATACTGCACATGCTACCAGACCGTAGATTATTCCTGCAAATTGAAACAACCGCCCGCGCGTGGAGGATACTCGACGACCGTGCAACCACCGGCAAACAAAGCGGGCAGCCTACTTTCTCACCCAAAACGCTGCGTAGTAGAAGCTCGCGGCAATCACAAATTCACCAAAGCTGCGCAATATACTTGGGGTCGGTTCCCGCCCTCGAACCTATATTTATGACGATGAGTGGCAGATGACGCGACGATTTACCCCATGTGATTCAATACTATTCGAACAATGGGATTCTTTTCCTAGGCCTGCGAGAATACTTACGACGGATTGCCTACAGGACTCACGGATCATCGACATCTCCCGTGTGCATGAGCAGTAACGCAAACTCACCAGCGGGTCTATTTTGTTTCTACAGCGGGTTGCGTGCTCGAGGTCCGGCCAAAGGACTTGAGACTTAAAGGGGGAAGGCCTCCGAATGCCGGCCCGATACCAGCGTATCTCTGTCGCACGAAAAGCTGGTGGAAGGTTTCCTCCAGGTACAAATGAGAACCGTTGAAATGCCGAGCCATTGAAAGTGGCGCTAGGTCGACCGATAAGCTTGTGTTCAGCTAGATCGGAGCGCACGGCAGCCATTCTCGACTCCTGTGGGATTCAAGAGAATTGCACGGGACGCGCGAAGGATCACCGTGGGCAGACCGAGGGACACGGAATGGGAAGACCCTCAGATGGACATGTGAGAGCGATATCTGAATGCCAGGATCGGATCAACGCTCTGAAGGTGCGACGGATGGAAGGGTAGTGGGCAACGGATATGAACTCACCGCTTTCTGTTCGTCAAATCGCAGTCACCAGATCCGTCACAGCCTGCTGAGTACTAGGGTTCTCCTCCATAGGCCGGCGTAGCTATCGACCGGGTCTATGTAACACGACTGAGCGCGATATCAAAGCGTCTTGACGACCTGGAGTGTGCAGAACAGATAGAATAGCCTCTGAAAGATCCGTAGGCTGCGCCGGAAGATATGAAGCCAGAGGGAAGCGATGCTAGCAGCAAAGCGGACCCGACTTGTTTTCGAGCAATACCTGGAGACAGCCTAGCGGAGATTTATGTAGCTTTGGAAGGGAAATAATGTACAGTTTCGGACAACCCAATGAGGATAATTTAAGATAATTTAGGGATTTACTCTGGCCCTGCTACCTACGGCCAGCGCCAATCCTGCCATTAACCATGGCCTCCGCAACCGCCGAACGTACGTTTTCACCTTGTCAACCAGTTGCACGCAAGTCTCAAGCTTTTCCTCTGCGTTTGTTCTGCAGACCCTCCACCCATGGCCACGCTCTCTCCTGCCGAGCTGCGACACATCACGTCCAGCAACAACCTCGCCAGTCCCGCTCGCGAACGTAGACTCTCAAACCGCAACTCACAATACCTACGCACACATCGCATGGGTTCACGCTCGCCTAATTCCATCCCATCGTCGCCAACGTCGGTGTAAGTGTCGTGTCTTGTCCCTATTTTCCACTCTCACTCTTTTTCAGACATTCTTCTTCTTCTGCCATTTTCGAGCGCGACATAGAACCCATTTCTGCATCGCCAACCAGCTTCGCTCACTCCTCCGACCCCCATCGCATCCCTCGCGGCAAAATATCTGAGCAGCTCGACCAGTCCGTACCGACTGTGCTTGACAGCGCGGCAGCGATCCTCGCTGCCACCTCGTCTGCTGACGACGACTTCGACTGTATCTCCATCGTAGCCCCAGCCCCGCAAGACAATGGCTACCAGAGCGGGTTCACCAGCCCTATCTCGCGTCTTAGCAGCCGCAGCCCGAGCCCGACAGGGGTTAACAGGAGGAGCCTTCTTTTCAGCACCAGCCCCCCCATCCAGGGATCTCCGCCCGTCCGCCCTGTAGTGCATACTGCACCACCACCGCCGCCGCCGTCGACCGTCACGCAGACACCCACGTCGGCGTACTTCTCCGCCGCTTCAAGCGCGACGCCCTCCGACATGGACTCGGCTGAGTCTTCTCCAACCACCGCGACACACCACGAGCACCCGCTTCACGGCCTGCCTCCCCCACCAGCCCCCGCCCCCGTTCCAGCCCCCGCAACAATCACCATCCCCAGCCTGCCCGCGTCCCACCCGCCTTCGCCGAAGAACAGCTCAAAGCGTTTGTCGTTCCTCTCATATATGGACCTCCTCTCGTCCATCCCCGCGTCGACGCTTCCGCTCTCGAGCTTCACCTCCTCGGCTGTCGCTTCCGAGCCGCCCCCGCACATCCCCAGCGTCATCGGGCTCCCGCAGGCCCAGGCGCAGTACGCCGCGAGCTCGAGCGCGGGCAGCATTCACGCGTCCAGCACGTTCGAGCGCGATGCGGCTTCGGGTATGGTGGACGACGTCGGTGGGGAATGGGAGCGTGAGGGCCTGGGTCGCGGATTGGAAGAGCGCCTCGAAGCGTTGAAGCCGCCGCACCCGTTGCCGAGCAAGGCGTAATGAAATGAACGATACCCGCGTCCCGCCACGCTCGCCTCCGTTGCTTCATGCCTCTACCGCTTCATGCGAAGATTATGCCGCGCCGCGTATGCTCCCATCTCTACGTCTATCGATACGACCACAAACCTTTTCCATGCATGTCATTATGCGGCGCGTGCGCCTTCTCGTCCCGGCTCCTGTCTGTTTGCGTCCTCGGACGGTGTGTACGATACTGAATACAGTGCCTAATGCAGTACGACTATGTGTAGGATTCGACGTTCGGGCATGCGGTCCCGCCGTCATCAATGTTTGTCGTCTTGGGCGCGGGCAGTCCGGTCCTCGATTCTCTCCTCTGACCCCTGGCATGATCATCCGAGACTTTTGACCCGTTATTTACGGCTAGCTAGTTATTTGTACCCTGCGCGTGCGGACGTTCCACCACGTGAATTACTTTACTACCTGTGTGTTCCTGTGTCTGTCATCCATTCGCAGTTATTTCTTGTTGTGTCTGAGGACCATGTCTCGCGTTGGCTAAGTGTCCGCGCGCTCCCCGGACGGTCGCTTTTGAGGAGGGTGTGCGCGCAAACAAAACGAACATATATTAGACAGTCTCCACGGAGGTTACTAGACGAATGCTGCGTGACGACGGACACTGAAATGACGTTCGTCCTGCCACACCACCTGGGCGAACGGGCAAAGATATATTGGACAGTCACACCGACGCTACACGACGTACGCTGCGAACGACGGACGAGGCGACGTTCGTCCCGCGACCCCATTTGATGCGCGCAGGTCGCAGACTCCAGAGACACCGAATACAACTTACCGCGGGGAGTAGGCCTGGTGCGGTTGGCGTCGACTCTCGATAAGATACGGGTCTCCGCTTGCGACCGGAAGATCTGCGCACCTACCCGCAGAGAAGTGACCCTGAGGCGGCTTCTGCACCATCTCATGAGGTGAGCGAGCTATGCCGAGCGAGCATGATACAGCACGTTCGTCAGCACTCTTCACGCGACGGTAAGGAGACTCACCGAGAGACTCACGGAAGCGCGGAGATATTCTGCACATAGTCGAGGGCTTAAAAAATTGAAGAGGCTTAAGGAGCGCGCGCGCACCTAAACCGCAAGAACGCGCACGTACCCTCGCTCAATAAGTGGGTTGTGCATTTATCAACACCTAGCCTCTTTCTGGCTCCAAGCTGAGCGCTGAGCACGCGGTATACTTGGCAGCCAACACCTCTAGGCTGCAGAGGGGGAAATCGGTGCAGCTCGTCCTGTAGTCAAAGGAAGAAAAGCGTGCAGGAGGGTCGCTTATTAAAATTCTTGCGCTCACCTTCCAGATCACAATTAGATTTTTCACTCTGCGTAAATATCGTGCCGTTCACAGGCGCCGCGGTAGCCGCTAGCACCTGCGTATGACACCACACGATCAGCGTCCAGAAAGTTAACTAAGCGCAAACGATTGGAAAACAAGGCAGGCGAGAGCTTACAGTGTAAGAGCTCGCACAAGGCCACACAACGCTTGATCGTACGTCGATATCACGCTTGAGCAACGACAGTGCGAACAACGCCGCCGAGGGAATGCATGCATGCAAAGAGTGAAGTGAAAATCCAAGGCCTACGGCGAACGTACTCACCAGTGTGTGCCCAGCTCCTATGTAAGTGTTGTGCTTCGCCTCCGACAACAACGGACCCGACAACGAGCAGATGACCGTCGATGCCGATCTTGAGGCGCGTCCCCAAGTGGCGAACGACGCAATGTCCAAAGATGGCAGCCGGCGCGCCATATGGGGACGGTCCTGCCTCCTCTTTCTTTGGACGTCAATCGGTTTTGACGATCGACACGACGTCATCCGCCGTGCAGGGTATATAAGGAGCGCGACGACGAGTGTCGGCCCTTCACATCTTGCCTCCGCTTTCTATCCTGCTCTCTGCTGACCTGGCTCTCGACTCGTCAAAACCTGGCTGGAAACTTGGAGGACAGTAATGCGCAACTGATTCAGCTCACAACACCGGCGATATCACAAATCCTCTGGTCCTCTGTTGCAGTCTGCCAGTGGGCTCCGATCCAGACGATCTTCGTTCGAAACCATGCATCTGCATTCTGGCCCGCTTTGCACCTTCGAACGTCCTGGAATGCCAACGTTGAAATGGCCGGACTGAAACGCTAGAAATGGGGAACACTAAGGCGAATCGATCGCATAATCTGGACAAAATTTCATATCAAGACTCACCTCGCCACGCCCTTAAGCACCTTTTGGTAAGCTCTGGCCAAAGAAGACAACACGCCCCCTCCGCCGGCACGCATTGTTTCCGCCGTATGTCTTCGGGTGTGCTTTTCGAGCGAGACCTCCCGGCAGCTAGCTAGAATAAGAACGTTTGAACACGCCGGCGAAGAATGGAAATCTGACAAGAACTTCAAAAGCCGCGCTTTCACCGCAGGGTGAGCATTTAATTCGGAGGGCTTGTGGAGAAAATCTCACTTCCTGGTGATGAAGGCGCTTTACCGCTCGCTCTGTTGATCAACATCTGCGTGCGAAGTCACGTCAATGCTGTCCCAATCATCCGTCACATCGTTGCCGTCGTCCTTCTCCAACGTCTCAGCGAACAATCAGGATGTCAAGACGGCAGCGATTCTCGTGCTTGAGAAAGAAGCCGACTCGGTGCCACACTGAGGTGTTATGTAAGAGAAGCGTACCAGTGCAATAACGCAGAAACCGAGAACGCATATCAAGCTACCCTGTCGTTGCGTCGCGCCTGGAAGGCGCGTGCGGCCCTCCCTGTTTCCCATGGTTCGTCTAAGGAGCGAATGTTCAATTCGACGTGTGCGTGAAGGACGATTGTTCGTACACCCTTGCCCTGTCCGTCACTCTGAAAAGCCAACGGGATGTGCTGTAATGCGCAAGTCGAGACCCATCGTACATAAAGCACGATGATGATCTCGGCGTTGTGCATATTGGATTGGCGCATTGCTGTCCCAGACCCCTCCAGGCTCGAGCAGCACGACCTTCGAAGACAGCTCAAAGTTGGATTACATTTCCGTTGGGACGCGAGGGTTACTGTTAAAGTCATCGAGAGTGCCGCTCCGAGTCGTCCGCATCGATATGGCGTCTTTCTTCCCAGTCGGGAGCTTGAAGGGCACGTTCTGTGAGGACGCCAAGAAGATCTCCCAGTTCTGGACTGAAATGGACACGAAGATAAGGCCTTCGCCCGCTGTCATGTGTGGACCTCAGTGAACCTCGACAAGCAGCCGTGCGCCATTCAGCACAGTCGAGAGTCGAGACCAAGCACCCAGTGCATCTCCAAGCTCAAAATTCGTTCGTGAAAGCTGAGAAAATCGGAGGATGGATGGTATCAGACACTGAGCAAACAAAGTTGGGATCTGGAACAGAAACTGGTGCGGGCTCGTACTTGAGACGATCTATGCCAATCTAATCTAAGCGAGAAATGGTTCCCAGGTCCGGGATGCCAAGCGCCATCATCCTCACGCTCCTTCCTGCTCCTCGTCGTCGTCGTCGTCGTCGGACTCTCTGAGCTCGCTGCCCTTCATGTCGACGCAATGGCCGATAACCGACGCCGGCGACGATCCATCAGGCTCGTCCCAGGGCTCTTCACAGGGCTCCTCGATCCACGAAGACGTCGCCGACTTCTCCCCCTCCCGCACTCCACTCACATCCACCTTCGAGTCGCCTCTCCTCCCCGAGAACGCTGCGACGTCCCGCTCGTTACCGATTAATTTCGTTTCCTCCCCGCTAAATCCTAACCACGCTCCCCACAGACAGCCTTTGGCTCGCCAGAGCCCGTCTTTCAACCGCCTTGCCTCGGAGGAGTCTCACGCGCTTGCCGCCCAGCTGTCTTCCTTGGACTCTGGCCATCGCGGCTCTATGATCCTCTACAAGCTCGACCTCGCACCCCCCAGGATGGGCCAGCGCGACTCCATCGCTTCCTCCTCTGGCGCCTCTTTGCTCTCCTTGTCCGCCGACTCAAAGTACCCATCTGGTGCCGTCGTCCAGAGCCAGCGCGGCTTCGTACCGTATGCGTTCGATCCCGAGCAAGAGCTCAGCGATTTCCCGGACGACGATGACTATCTTCACGTCCCCGACCCCAAGACCGACAGGGTCTCGTTCTGGTCCTGGCGAGGAATCGTGAACATGTCCATGCTCGCCATCCTCCTCGCCGCCCTTCTTGCGCTCTTCGTCTGTTACCCCGTGGTCACCTACTTCCGCGACAACAAATACAATAGAGCGATAGCAGACAATATCGCCGTCAACGCCACCGGCCAGCAGGCGACCCGCAGGGAACTGGCCGACGAGGCCGTGCTCGCCCTCCCGCACGCGCAGAAGGCGCCCTTGATCGACCCAGATACTCCTGCCTCGGTGCGGACGCGCGTCGGCTCCGACGGCGAGCCATACGAGCTCGTCTTTTCGGACGAGTTCAACGCCGACGGGCGGACGTTCGGTGGGGGGGACGACCCATTCTGGGAAGCTGTGGAGGACCGTCCGTTCGCGGTCACGACGCGTGGGGGCAGCCTGCGCGTCGCTGCGGACGGCATGCTGCAGAGCTGGAACAGGTTCTGCTTCACGGGCGGGTACATCGAGGTCGCGGTGCGGTTGCCTGCGGCGCGCGCTGGCAGCTACGAGGCTGCGGCGTGGACCATGGGCAACCTCGCACACGCCGGGTTCCCTGCGACGATGGAGGGCGTGTGGCCGTATGCGTGAGTCTCTTGGAAGCTTTCTGTCAGAGACGTATTGATCAAGGGTAGCTATGACGCGTGCGATGCAAGGACGCTCCCGGATCTGACCCAGCCTCAACTGAGTCGGGGACAGCGGTTATCGTAAGTGTGCGCCTCGCATCTTGTACATCGGGTCTATTCATCTACGTCGATATTCTTGCAGCGCATGTACATGCTCTGGCGAGGACCATCCTGGGCCGAGCACGTCGAAGGGCCGCGGTGCCCCTTCGGTCGACATTTTCCGTACTTTGACCGACCGGCGCGTCTCTCAGACAGCATGGTTAGCTCCATCGCCGCACGATCACGTCAACCGTATACCTGTCCGATCAAGAGAACAGTTCGTTTCATTCGGTGCGTCTTGGCCTCTGGCGCTACGTCCATATCCGGAAACTCTAACTCGGCCACTCATTCGCTAGGTTTTGAGTACTCTGTAGATCCATCGCGACCCGGCGCAGGCTTCATGCATTGGCAGCTCGATGGCCAGCCATCAGAGACGCTCGGGAGCGCGGCATACCCGCTCGATACCCCGCGTCGTTGGATTCCGGAAGAGCCCATGGTAAGTTTTGTCGATTTTTTCCGGTCACGCCCTGATCTCTGTCGCATAGTCGATCGTCCTGAGCCTTGCCAGCGACTTGTCCGCGGACACTGAGCATATGGAGATGCTCGTTGACTATGTCCGGGTATACCAGCGCACGGGACAGCGCAACGTCGGGTGCAGCCCCGCGAGATACCCCACGGCGGAATATATCGAGGCGCATATAGATGCGTATACTAGTGCGTGGCGCGCACCTCGTCTTTGTGCGCCATCTCTGCTGACGCGTATATTGTATCGTTCCTGCTCTGGTCATACTTGGGACCCGCGTGCAGATCGAAGCATGGCATCGTGGTCACAAGCGGGTGGGCGGTACGCATGGCCAAAAAATTCCATGGTGCGCCTTTTCGTTTTTCGTGCCGTGAGCTCGCTGACCCACGTACTTGCCCCGGTGTGATAGAGTGGCTGCTGAGGCCATAGGCCAATCCTCTAGCCCCCGCCCAATCAGAGCATGAGCGCCCTGCACGAACACTGATCATATTCTCTTCGTCACACTCACTAATGCTCTGCACTCCGGCTCGCTCGATATCCCCGGACTGCACATCTATAGATACATACCTCCGTAGCCGCCCGCGCGTATTATACCGAGTACATCCCCCGCGCTGTGCGCGCGCGGCTATTCGTAGATCTCTCCCAGGTGGCGTGTAAAGTTACCGCGAGTTACCCCTCCCCGCCACCCAGGCCGGCCGGCCTCCCTCATCCTCTTCGCTGCGTATACGCACACATACCTTAAACTACCATGGACTCGGGACTAAGCTTGCGCTGATAACGAATCGGACGGACCGGACGGGGTAATATAGCTTAGCTATACGTATACGTTAGCGGCGCTCGCTGCCTACTTGCTGGTTACTTGGGTCTTCTATTTATCTATTGGACGACGAACTCGACGGGCGGTTCGGAATGAAAATTTGGGTGAGCTGAGGAGGAGCGTTGGATTTGCATTTTTGAGTGACGTTGGGGTTGAAACGTTGAAGGCGAATGAATAACCGAGAGGCGATGTTCGAAGGACGACGTTGCGCGAACACATGTTCATCCTTACTGACCAGCGTTGCATGCTGGCTTCTGCGAAACGTACCGTCTGTACATGTTCGAAGATTCTCGTATCGGCCCTTACATGCGCCCCGCACAGTTATCCGATTAGTGGGTGCGTGTCATACATCGGAGCACTGGCCAGTATTTGTCGGGTGTCTCGAACGACCGGCCCAGGACGAAGGAAGGCAGCGGCGTATGACGGAGATCACCAAGAGGACGGCGTATGAAATGGCTGCTCAAATAGACTCGAGCGACACCTGTGTTTGTCGAGATTATCCGATTAGTGGGTGCGTGTCATACGTCGTAGCATTGGCTAGTATTTGTCGGGTGTCTCGAACGACCGGGAGCCCGGGAAGAAGCGGCGTATGACGGAGATCACCAAGAGGACGGCGTATGAAATGGCTGCTCAAATAGACTCGAGCGACACCTGTGCTTGTCGAGGGGACGATCTGCTATATTAGGGGACGACAGGAGAAGGTTCGATACGGTAATGTGCGTACGTGACCATTTGAGCATTTGGATAGAGCTCCTCGGAAAGACCATCCGCGTTGATGCAGCTTAATGAGCATTACCGGGCCTGGCTGGTGTGTATAGAGGATTTCGCTATCGGTCGAGTCGATTGACCGTCAGATAAGTTCGTGGGTTACAGAGCTGCAAGATCAGGCCGCACGGGGCGTGATAGTGTAGCAGAAATTCCACTCATCTAGCGAAAGCTACTAGCCAGGTATTCTGTGCCGCTGAGAGAGGAGGGAAGCTGTAAATTACGACTCAGGCTCGAGCTGGTTTGGAACAAGACCCACGAGCACCTATCCTGTCTTTCGTATGCTAACCTCTGCATCTCGCGCATCCGCCTTTTCTTCGGGAAGGGCGTCGTAGACAATAGATATATGTGAGCGGCACTGCGATACTTACCGGGCATGTGGTTCATCCACGTTCAAAGTTTTAAGTGTTTCTTCGAGCAAGCGGCGCACAAGACGTTCAACGGTTCAGGAACGTTGGAGTCAATAGCGCGGTATGCCGCGCCAAGAACTCGCGGGATATCGTTCGACACGCAACTGCGAACGCACAATGTCTAGAAGCTCATCGAGCGAGCACATTGCCACACACCCGGCTCTCTGTGTTTTTGGCATCCAGCGAGCCTCCGTGGGGGTGCTATCAATGGCAGTTAGTAATACGCTTGGCTTATAGCACCAAATTTACCCGCCACCTTCTTGCGGCATTGAGACATTACAGCTGCACCCACGAGTGAGTACTTGCCTCAATGAAAGTCTTGCAGTCCGAGAGGCGTAGTGATCTTCCCTCTTGTTGTGCCTGCGTAACGGAACTTGAAGTCTTGGCTCGTCGCGGGTGTCTCGATAACAAAGTTTCCCCGCCGCTGTTCCTGGCAGATGTGGGGCGATCTCCGGCGGAAACCAGAAGAATATACGAGTACGAGCTTGGAAGAGGGCTCTTAGAGGAAGTAGAGCATGCGAACACAGATCGAGAAGGGACCCGATAGCTGGAGCAGGGGAGAAGTCCTAGATCCGCATTTTCAATCACCAGAAGACCGCGGACCATGCACGTTTGTCACCATTAGACAACAACAGAAATACAAACCGTTTACATGGCTTGTAGGGAGTGCAGGCGTTGCGCTCTAAACGCGTGAGGGTCTACTATCCGGCCGAGTGAATGATCACTTCATTCGAGAATTTTCATGGAAGACGGTTTAGATCCTTTCCAGTGATGCCAGCCGTCCGCCGAACGAGCAGTCACTGAGCATAACTAAACTCGAGAGCTTCGCGAATTTGGCGCAGCGGGGATGCTCGCGGAGCGCTGTCAAGAAGGAACTCATCGCGAGTGCTTATGGGACAATAACAATATAACTGACGCATCTCACGTTGGGCTCGTAAAGCTTAAGAGGCGCGTAAGAGCACCATGAACGTAAGTGAGCCAGAAGAAAAAGGCAGAGCCTTAGAATGGATGCCGAGCGGCATGAGGGCGGGAATCAAGTGGACTTTCCATCCACAACGACAACGATTAATAACGGATTGAAGTACAGACTGCAAATCGATTCCACTGGGAATATCAACGCGAAATACCAGTACTAAACGTTTAGTACATACAGCCTTACAGCGCCGATCGTAAGTAACAAACCCTGAAACGTAAAAAAGTAATAGAAGAGTATGTTCAATAACCGTCCCACACGTCAAACAACCTCATCGTCAAGTTCAAGAAGCTGAACCAAGCTGGGAGCACGGGGCGTCGGTGGGACAGTTGGTCTGCGCGGTGTTCTGCAGATTGCCCAGCTGTGGACAAGGTACAAACGATATCAGAAAAGGGTAACACATCCGAGGATAGCGCGAAGACGTACGTAGTCCCAGGTGCAAGCGCCCCCAGTGTATGCGCACTGGTACCCAGTGAACTGGTTGATCATGACACCGGCGTCGCCGTTGAGGTCGGTCGGGCAACTGCAGCCGCTGGTGGTGCTGCACGGTGCCGAGGTGGGGCAGTTGGTCTGGTAGATGTTCTGCAAGTCACCAGTCTATACCCGCGAACAGCGTCAGTCAATTCATGGTAAGGATGGATGAACGCCTACCTTGTCATCCCAGGTGCACGCGCCACCGGTGTACGCGCATTGGTACCCCGGGTAGATGTTAATTAGAACACCACTGTCCCCGTTCAAGTCAGTCGGGCACTGGCAGTCGCCGCCACCTCCGTAACAGGAGAAGGCGACGGTCTGGCCCGTCAATCGGCGGTGAAGGGGATTCGGGAACGGATCGATGAAGTGGGCCTCCACAGCGAGGAAGAGAGCCAGAGAAGCGAAGGCAGCAGAGACGAGGCGTGCAACCATCGTACGGATGCTAGAGCGAAGTCTGTAGAGAGGTCTTGGTTAGAAAGATTGGAGAACCAGGTTTGAGGGCTCGGATACCGGCTTTCCTGTGGCAAACAGCCGCACTTTTATACGTCTTCGCTGAAACCCTGGAACACCGTCAGACTCAGACGCGGCCGACGCAGGAACGCTCGCATGCCTGCGCCAGCGGGTGACGAGCCCGGAGAATCCTCCGACTCGGAAATAGGCTGTCCTTCATCAGCATCCTGATTATGTCGTCCAGAAAATACGTTCTGACAGCGTCTGCGAAGACGACGTTCCATGCCAGCGCAGGCCGAAGTCCAGCCAGGGCCACAACTCATTCAATGCGCGGAAGAAGGAGGAATCCGCGGTATTCGAAGGCCATTCTGACAGCCGTCCAGAAGTCACAAAGCGAGATGTGGCTTAACAAGGAACCAGGGTCGGGTGTCAGAGCTGGGTACCATCCAGCCAACGTTTGTCAGACGTAATTTCACTCGCTGACACGACACCAGCGGCGTCCCAAGCTGGTCCGTCCGCACAAGGGCCGACACAGAAGACTTGTTGGTCCAGGAGAGGCGATGTATTTAGTAGTGCAGATGCGTTTCGTCTGGATGGATGGATGCCATACTGACATGTGAGTACATCCGAGTGTGCATATTCAGGAACGAAAGAGAACTTTTCAGTGATACAGGTGTGAGAAAGTGCCGGAGAGAACAACAGCTACCGCAAAGGCGGTTGCACGAGGCGCCGAGGCGCAGAACATGGACGCGGACAGGCACATCGGTGCCCTGGAATATGTATAATATATCAGGGAACAGTCATCTCGCTTCTCACATGTGCGTACCCTTATGAAGTAGGCTCCGCTGGGGTGATCAGCGCGCCAGTCGAGCCATGTCACGCAGGCGTTGCAAACCGAGGATGCAGTAGCGCTCCGATCTATCAACATTCCGTGCACCTTTACTATGAGCGAATACGTATACGTACGTCGTAACCCCTTGTTCGGACATCTGACGGGAATCAAGTGCTGTATTTAAGTGTCAATATCCATGGGTTGCTCCCTGCCCAGAGCCGTCATGTCGTTTGAATGATCAGTGGAAACTGTACGGATGGACAAGCTCGTCCCGGAGTTGCTCCGGTTTTGGACGCATGAATCAGCAGTGGATCACAGAATACGGGCCAGCGTGAAACAGAGGCGGTGGTATTAGGGATAGCCCTGTCCTCTAGTCGTCTGTTTGGCGCTGGCTTTTGTTCAAGACTGGTGAGTACAATCGCCCCTGACCCTGACAAGCACGATGAGCACGGTGATGACTCACTGCAGACGCCCTAGCCAATATTTATGGATAGAAAGGACGTGATGTACCTGCTGTGGGCAAGACCGCGTTATCACCGTTTTACTTCGCCACTCTCGGTCATGCCATCGTACTAATGAGGAGGCCGTAAGTGTTAGTGGTGCCATTGCCTATCAGCATGCTAATCTCCGGCGTTTAATGTCGCTGGCCAAGTGCGAACTGAAGCGACTTCACTTTGTGAGTATCAAGTTGACACAAGCAGATTCACCGAGTAGTTGAATGACCAGTCACGGATTGTACAGAGACATATCTCCATATCGCGTGTATGCTAGGCTCGCATGTTTTAGCATGTTTTGGGCGGTCGACAGTGAAGGTACATAGTTCGGTGAGAAACTTTTCTGCGAACCTGCTAAAGCAGTCACATGATCCTTACGCGTCGCGCTCGCGTTTGCGCGCGAACTTTGTGACCTCAGGGCCGAGAGAAAAATATCTTGGTCCTCAATATTCAGCTCCTCCAACGCAACGTCTAAATTTTCCTTGGATAAGCTACCTTCCAAAGAGAACGAATTCTCTGCTACAACCTTATTATCTACGACAGACTTGGCATTGGACATCATCATCCGAGCGCTGGTGAGTTCCTGTAGCCTTCACCTTCCATCAGCAGATACGCTATTGTCGCCTAGTAATGAAGATACCCTGTCTACAGATGCTGCCGTGGTTGGGAGGCGAGGTTTCTGTGCTATGGCGGAAAGTATGAAGGTGCCACAGACACATTGTCATTCGACGTGCTCAATATTCTGGCTATGAAACCATGTTACGATGCGACTACCCCGGCGGCACTGCAAGCTACCACCATGATTTGACGGTGAGTTCTAACTTCTTTCGGAAAATGAGTCACAGCGTCGGATAACCCGGATCTGATGACTCCTGAGTTAAGTACCGGTGGTCATAGCTGCTGGCTCTCGAAGCACGAAAACGTCAGCTTCACATTGGACAATCCGGCTCGGAAGAACTACTCGTTAGCTGTTTCCTGCTGTTTCTTGCGAAGTGATCATTTTAATCTCTCACTCGGATGATGACTCGACCATTTCTCACCATCAGCAGGGTTAATCGCAGGCATTACTGCCAGTTCGACTGGGTACGCGAATTTGACTTGTCCGCCAATTGTCCACAGTCAGCTGGAGTCACCATCGTGGATCCGCTGGAAGATAGTTCAGCAAGGGTACGCGATACGAGTTATCTAGGCGCCCAGCACTTGTTTCCCGTCGTATAAATATTGCGACAAGTGATGCTCATGCCTGTCGATATCGTCCGCATCGCTGTGCTTAACCGCGGGCCTCCACTTGGCTATGGCTGGCGGATATCAGCTCCTGAAGGGCGAGTCTGACGAGACGGTGCCGCGCAGGGTGTTTACTGGGCGCCGGATCCTCATCGCCGTCGGGTTTGTTGTCGGTACCGCTGCGCTCTCTCTTTTCTACACATTTCCTTTCCGCCAGGCGCATGATACGGCAGAATACTCTACGTGGATGCTAGGCGAAGAGTCTCTGAAGCAATGCGTATCCGGCGTGCCACCACTCGCTGCCGCGCCAGCACCGACCAATCCTTGGGCGTCACTCACCGTGGACGAGACGGTCGCCATCTATAACTGGCTCTTCGAGCCCACGCGCGGCCTGAATCTCACCTCGGGCGACAAGGCAACCCTCGCTGACAATATGATCTATCATATTGGGGCCTATCGCCCTGCCAAGGAGGATGCTCTTGCCTACCTTGCTAACCCAGACTCGCACGCTGCCCCAGATAGATACGCTAGAGTGACAATTCACCATAGCGCTACTACCGTGCCAGTGGTAAAGGACTGGTTGGTCGGTCCGCTACCTGTGGGCCCGAAGACGGCCATGCGGCAGCTGACTGAGATCTACCACCGCGATGAGATCCCACATAATGCGCGTGGGTTCACGACACTCTGGGAGATGCAACCGTTGCTGGCGACAATCATGCCACCCCTCGCGGAACTCACTCAGGTACTTCATTTGTTTCAAATCAGTGATACCTTACTGAGTCATGGAGTAGGAGCTGTTTGGTGGAGTTGCGCTTGGCCTTCCAAACGATACTCTCGTGGCGGGTGCCATCGCCCCGCTCAGTATTGACGGCTCCTTCCGCCGCACTTGGGTTAACTGGAGACGGAACGTCGCTGGGCCGTACCTTCACCCCGTCGGGCTCTTCCATTACATCGACATAACTGGCACGGACCCAAGAAATTGGAAGCTCATTAAAGTCCGCCTAATTTTCGTCCATTCTTATCTTTCGTCCTTCACTCATAACAACATATTCATAGATAGTATATAATCATCAGGTTTTCTCCAGCACCGACGAATTCTTGGAAGCGTTCCATAACGGTACTCTCAAGCGCCTTCCTGCGCGACCTGACCAGCGTACCGACGTTGCGTGGAGCAGACGGGAGCGCCCCGACATCCCTCCGCGCGACTTGGACGACCTGCCTGGTCCGCGTTCCGTTTCCTTCGGAGGCCTGCGCTTCCGTGTTGATCCCGCCTTGCAGTTCATCAGCTGGATGTGGTGGGAGATGTACTTGGGCTTCGATAGAGACATGGGCTTAAGTCTCTGGGATATACATTTCCGAGATGAACGAATTATATATGAGGTGCGTGCGGCGCGCGCACGCCCGTATGTTAGATAAGTCTTTGAGACCTGTGTCCGCGCCTAGCTTGCGCCGCAAGAGGCGATTGCGCATTATGGTGAGCGCAGATGATCAGCGAGTTTAGAAAATTTGCTGAACTGTAAGTAGCTGGTAACGACCCCATGCAATCTTCGACAGCCTGGCTCGACCGATTCTTCGGCATGGTGCGCTCTCATCAATCGTCTACTTGTGTTCTTGTACTCAGATGCTTATTAGGGCTCGTCCGTGCGCGATATGATTCCTGGCTACGACTGCCCACACGAAGCGGTGTTCCTTCCCGCCACGACGCACTCGTTCGATGGAAGCATCACGCGCGAGCGTGCGATCTGTGTGTTCGAGCACGATACTGGCCGCCCGCTGACGCGGCACTTCGGATACGCAGAGGGAGAGTTCGGCGCCGTGAAGGGTTACGAGCTCGTTGTCAGGACTATCTCGACTGTCGGAAAGTGAGTTCTGGTCTTGAATTTCATTCTGTATTCTCTCAGCTATCTCTTCTTTTTGATCGCTGCATGATTTGATGCTGCCTCTCTTGGTTCCATAGCTATGATTATTGTAAGTTAATCCGTGTATCATCTCCGCCGACGTGCGCTGATAGCTGGTCGCTACATCAAAATAATTGTCAGTGGTAAGTGGTTCCCGGAAATCGTTCATGTAATGACGCCTGATTCATCGCTGCTGCATAGTTCGACTACATATTCCAGCTGGACGGCACGATCGAAGTGCGACTATCTGCCTCTGGCTATCTCCAGGCGGGCTTCTGGGAACCCGCTCAGGAAGGGTACGGAACGGCTATCCGCGACACGACAAGTGCGTGGGTGAATGTACAGTCTTGATTCTCTGGTTGCTTATGGAACGCTTTTCAGTGGGTTCGCTGCATGATCATGTTATCAACTACAAGGTACGTGGATCAGCCCTTTACACTTAACGAGCTGACAAATTACGTGCACAGGTTGACCTGGATGTCGCTGGCCTTGAGAATTCGCTGCTGTTCACGAGCACTGCGCAGGAGCAGGTCACACAGCCATGGTTTGAGGATGACTGGGGCAATACAGTTATTCAGCAGAAGATCACCCGCACGTACATTGACAACGAGGACGATGCGCTGCTCAAGTTCCCTCCAAATTTCCAAGGTGGATACTCGCTGGTTAACACCGCGGCACACAACCGTTGGGGTATCCCTCGCGGGTACGCGATTCACCCCGGGTACTCACCGGTGCACAATGTGCGTACCCGACTTTCCGATTCTTCAGAAGGCTATGCTGAAGTATGATGGTGCTCAGACGGTTGTGGGCTCACCACGGCTACTGAACAATGCAAACTGGGCTTTGTACAACATCGCCGTCTCGTGCCGCAAGGAGACGGAGCCTTCGTCGAGCACCATGTGGAACTTGAATCTCCCCGGGAAGCCGATGGTAGACTTCCACCGGTTTTTCGACGGCGAGAACCTCACACAGGCGGACCTGGTAGCGTGGGTCAACATTGGAATGCACCATCTGGTGGGTTGCCGCAGCCCCGCTCTTCTGATAGGCCATGCATCTTACGCGTATGTTTAGCCACAAGCAGAGGACGCTCCCAATACGCGCACAAATCTCGCCGCATCCAGGTACGAGCCATGTACTGACATAGCAAGGCACTATCTTATCAGTTCGCCCGCAGCTTCTTCCTCACACCGCTAAACTACTTCGATTCAGATATTTCGATGGAGTCCACGAACGCAATTGTGATAACTCCGCCAGTTACGCCTGATGGCAAGTGGACTCACGACGACTACGGTGTGGGCGCCGTGCACTGTGTTCCGCCCGCGGTGCCGCCATTCGAATATACAGGAGTAAAGGTCTTCGGGCTTGACGGGCGCCCTGCTCCCCCGGCCAGCGTAGAGGAAATGCGGAGGGAAGCGGAGCAGTACCACCGCATCAAGCTGGAGCTGTGAGCAGTAGTTTAGAGGGTGCTGTGACATGACGGAGACCACTGTACTAAAGTTGAGGGATGTGCTTTTTAGAACTCAAGAGGATAGACCAGATATGCTCTGCGTGACGTTCCTAACTCGGGACGCAGCGTAGAGGATTTAGTCAATAGAATTGCTCCTTTATGAGCAACTGTTGAACGTCGAAGTGCAGAGCGTGAGCCTGCTGGATAAAGCGCACCATGATGGCATTTGTCATCCGTGAATGGCTGCCTTGGGCAAGTACTGTAAACGCTCACTGCGACTCCAAAGTCACGTATACATGTTCTCCACCACCACGTCAATCTCTTTCTGTTTGTCTTGACTCTATGAATGTAGTTTGCTGTAGTTCCTGTCGATATGCTCTGTTGCACGCAGGAAGCGCGTGCTGAAGGAAGCCCGCAGACAGTTGACCCATCAGAGAAGCTCTCCAATGACCACATGCACTCGAGATAACGCGAACGGCTAGTAACGGTTTCAGATATATCTCGAGCAGGTCTGAGCTGATATTCGAAGGCAGGGCTCGGTGATTGGCGCAGTTGAGGTGCTATAGTTTGACTGAACGCCCTACAACCGAGGTTTCGATACGGGCATTCATACGAGGCCAATTTCAAGCAGCCGCTTGGGCCGATCTTAGCTTGAGCGCGCTCTTTCACGGGCGCGATGGCGATTCTCGGTTTTTCCGCACATTCTCCGTACCTTGCCGTCATCAGGCTAACTTTAGAGGTGGAGTTCTGCGTCTTCGTTATCGCGTGCTGCGCGTTAAAAGGACTCGTATGGAGAGGGCAGGACAGTGCGCTCATATCTCGAGCGGACGTTCTCTCCTATGACTGTTCCTGAGCCGTTCCTGCGCGACGCGAACGTAGGATCGGCCGACCCCGCAATGATAGACCATCATGATCCAAACGACGCAGAAAAGATTCATGGTGGCTCAAAGTTGTCTACCAGCGAGAATGTGCAGGAGAAGAAGAAGGAGGACTTCCTCGATCAGATAGTCCCCGCTGTTGATTATGAGGACGAGGACGAGGGAGATCAGATTTTCGGGACAGACGATCCATTTCCCATGGATCCTAACGCACCTGAGGAGCAGCAGTTCACATTCCGAGCTGTATTTGTTGGCTGCATGCTTGGCGCCGTGATCTCGGCGAGCAAGTACGTTCTGATGTATCATTTTGTGCAGATTCCTGTTCTGAACATTTCTTAGCATATATCTAGGACTGAAGACAGGATGGACGTTTGGAGCCTCGCTTTTTGGCTCGATATTTGGCTTTGCCATCCTCAAGCCGTTGTCTAAAGCTCTTCCGGAGCGATTCGGTGGTGGGTACTTCGGTCCGAAGGAAAATGTCTGCTGTCAGAGTGCTGCTACGGTAAGCTTGCTTGAGGTACTTGCAAGGGATTTCATTTGAAAAATCAAGCGTAGGCCGCTGGATCACTTGGACTCCTCTTTACTTCCGGATTCCCAGCCGCGTATCAACTAGGTTTGCTTGGTGCAAACCCTCAAGCGGATTTCGGGTGGGCGCTGTCCTTCCGAATTTTGTCCATCAGTATCTGAGCTTCGTCTTCAGACGGATAATTACATTCACGCTGTGCTGTGCTTATGTCGGCATCTTCTTCACGATGCCTCTGCGGCGGTTGTATATTCTAAAGCTCAAGCTTACGTTCCCGGGCGCTGTAGCCGTTGCGTATACGATCCGCTCTCTTCACGTCGGCAGGAATGCGGCAGCCAACGCGCGGAAGAAGACTTGGGGTCTTATCATCTCATTCTTCATCTCAATTTCATGGCGAGTCGCCAGCGAGTACGCACCTGGAATCATGTGGGACTGGCATTGGGCGTACTGGTTCTATAAGGCGGGCTGGAAGTGGATTATCTGCGCGGAAAGCTGGGTGCGTTCCTTGGGTTCTGATTCGATGCTACTCGATTTACCTCTTGTCGAAGGGATGGATCTTCGAACTGACTCCTGCTTTCATCGGCGTCGGGTTGTTAGTACCCATGACCGCCTCTGTATCATTTTTCGGTGGCAGTCTACTTGCTTGGGCTATCATCGGACCTGCGTTGATCACGACGGGAAAAGCAGTCGGCGTTGCGATTTCGCCACATTATCCCGGCTATATCAATTACGCCAACATGTTGCTGGATGACCCAGTCCACTCTCCGTCACCGAAGTATTGGATGATCTGGCCGGGATGTTGGCTCCTCCTCTGCGCGAGTATGGCAGAGATTGGCGTGAACTACAAGCCAATCTTCGTGTCTATCTCTCTGTTCCTCTCTCCGCTCATTAACCGCCTGCGCCCTGGAAAGTCTGTTCAACTCAACAAAGAGGATGGGCTGTATGATCCGACGCCGATCGAGGAGCAAACCCCATGGTGGCTGTGGATCGGTGGTCTGACAATCAGCACCATCCTCTCCATGCTTATCATGCGTTACCAATTCGGCCAGAACGCAGGAGTCACATTCCTCGCTGTTATCTTCTCGTTCATCTTTTCTCTCGTTGGCGCGGAGTGCACAGGGCGTCTTGATATCACACCTGTGACTACCTTCGGAAACTTTGCCCAGTTGGTATGTATTTTCAGTCGACCAATATGCAAACATATACTGATAGTATGCATATTTTCAGATCTTTGGCGGTATTTCAAAGGGTGCGGGTATGGCACCTGCTGTCAACCAGTTGAATAATGGTCTCACCGGGATGATCACCCTCGCCGCATCCGAGCAGTGCAGTGATATGCTTGGGGACTTGAAGACTACGCACCTGATCGGGGCGTCACCCAGAGTCCAGCTGTACGCGCAATGCTTCGGCGCCCTTGTCTCGATCTTCCTCTCCGCCGGAATGTACCTCGTCTTCGTGAAGGCCTATCCATGTATCAACGAGCTCACCGCAACGACGTGCTCCTTCCCGGCGCCCGATGTCGGTGCGTGGCGCGCTGTATCTGTAGCAGTCTCTTCGCCCAGCCTCCCTATTCCTCTTTCATCTGGTGTTACTGCACTCTGCCTCGGTGGTTTCGCAATCGTGCAAACGATCGTCAAATACCGATATTTCTCTCCGGATAAACACAAGTGGTTCCCAAATTGGAACGCCGTCGGCATTGCAATGATCCTCGGTCCGCTGTGCACATACCCTATGGCAATGCTCTTTGGGAGCACGGTCGCGCTCGTTTGGAGACGGTACTGGCCTGCAGTATTCATGATGTACGGATACTCCGCTGCCGCCGGGATGATTGCGGGTGAGGGGCTGGGCGGTATCATCAATGCTGTGTTGCAGATTGCCGGTGTGTCGGGCTCGGTGCATGGAACGAGTGTCGGGTGCCCAATGGGAGAGTACTGTGGATAGCATATTGCGTTTATTTCCTCAACAATCTCATAAAGTTCGATGCCTTCTTCGATATGACACGCTAATGTAGCCTTACCTTTCCGGTGTACTTCAGAAGACACGACCGAGATGACCCAAGTTAAAATCATAGGTGCGAAGATCCATTATAAAGAGGGTAATAGCAAACGGGTCGGAACGAAGAAGGCAGTATCCACTGACGGTAGCGAACAATACACAAAGCTGAAACGACATGCCACAGTAAGCAAATAGTAACTGAGCGCTACAAATAAGGGAATCGGAGAACACACTTCAATCAATGATGAAACTGTCTTCCAACATGTCATCCATCTCCAATTCACCCATCTTGACAGGAACGCAATCTTCGTGCTGCAACTCGACCCATCTTCCTGCAGCTGAGCGCCCCACGCGCAAGACCACGAAGTCTATCTCCTGATTGTCGGCCCCATACCAAACGAAATGCTTCCCCACGAGCAGTGTTGGGTCTTCAGCGAACGCTTCCGCTTCTTCTTCCTCAATCTCGCGTGAACCAACCGGGGGTAGACGCCTCTGCGTGAAGTAGTTGAGTACATCCTGCTGCGTAACATAACACCCATGGCGGATCGTAGGTGTCATGACTGGATTTTAATCACCAGGCCTTTAGGAAGACTTCGGAGTAGCGAATACGCACTTCAGTTCCAACGCTCTGGTAATGATCCGTTGCTGGATTGCAACAGGCTGCTCAGAGATCTGCGCCGAGACAATGTAAGTCAGAATGGCGTGCGCTGCCTCATGAATCTTGAGATTACTACGCATTAAATAAGCAATCACGGAGTGAGCACGCCGACCTCGCAACAACACAGGTGTAAACGCGGACTCACTCTTCGAACGAAGCAGGAACGATCTCGGTGTCGCTTTCGAAACGGCCCAGGATCGCAAGTCTGCACTTGGGATCGTCAAAGCTAGTCTGGCCGAGGCATTTCATCATGAAGAATTTGGAGGACAACTGCTCGGCCTGGGCTGGATCTGCGCGAATCACCGTCTGCTTCTCCCTGTACAGCTTTTCATATTTGGCCTTTCGCTGGGCGATATCTTCAATAATGTCGCTTGTCTGTGCAGAGTTAGCTAGCATGACGGCTGATGCAGACTATGAAGATGTCAGTAGGGCCAGAAAGTCGACGTCCTATATACTAAGTGCGGAAGCAAAAGACGGAAGCATATTCGTGGTTCCAGGCCTGCATTCAATTCAACTGGCTTTCCGTAACGTACTAACGGGTGACAGCACCAGCGGAACACCAAAAAGACAGATGCTGCGATGATGAATTGAGAGGTCCGAAAAATCATCCGCGTCGCCCCTAGCTAGAGGTCGGTGTTGTAGAGAGACGCGATGTGCTTTAATTTGTACGTAACATTCTAGCTCTTGGATGACACGTTGAATTTGGTGAATAGAATCGTTTCTTTATGGGCGAGTGTGTTGGACTGCAGGGCGAATAATGTGATCACGCTTTGTGCAGATGACTACCTTAGGCAAGTGCTGTAAAAGCTCGGGATGGGCCGTCTCCTAGTCCAAGTCACATACGTTCTCCACGGCATCTCTCTCGATTGTTCACTTACAAGTACGTTTGCTACTGTAAATCCCGTCTACATGCTCTGTTGCACGCAAGAGGCGCACGCTGAAGGTAGCCGCAGACGGTGGATCCATCAGAGAAGCTCTCCAATCATCATATGCAGTCGAGATAACGGCCAGCGGCAGTCTCAGATATATTGGCGATTGGCTCAGTTGATCGTTTGACTGAACACTCTTCGTCTGGTATGGACATCCGTTGGCCCTCTCAAGCGGCCGCCCCCTACTTTCGCCAAGTTCGTCTCGAAGTGCGCTCTTCCCAGATACGATAGCGAGTCTTGGCTACAAATTTTCCTTACCTTGCGGTCACCAGGCTAACGTTGGACTTGGAGTTTTGCGTCTTCCTTATGGCGTGCTGTGCATTAAAAGGGACTTATATAAAGACGGCAGGACAGTGCGTTCACATCCGAACCTGACTGTTCCTGACCTGTTCTCCCACGACGCGAACGTAGGATCAGCCGATCCTGCAATGATAGACCATCACGATCCAAACGACGCAGAAAAGATTCAAAGTGGTGCGAGGTCGTCTACCAGCGGGAATCTGCAGGAGGACAAGAAGGAGGACTTCCTCGATCAGATAGTCCCCGCTGTCGATGATGAGGACGAGCACGAGGGAGATCAGATTTTGGGGACAGGCGATCCATTTCCTATGGATCCTAATGCACCTGAGGAGCAGCAGTTCACATTCCGAGCTGTATTCGTTGGCTGCATGTTTGGCGCCGTGATCTCGGCGAGCAAGTACGTTCTGATGTATCAATTTGTGCAGATTCCTGTTCTGAATATTTCTTAGCGTATATCTAGGACTGAAGACAGGATGGACGTTTGGAGCCTCGCTTTTTGGCTCGATATTTGGCTTTGCCATCCTCAAGCCGTTGTCTAAAGCTCTTCCGGAGCGATTCGGTGGCGGATATTTTGGTCCTAAGGAAAATGTTTGCTGTCAGGGTGCTGCTACGGTAAGCTCACCGCTTCGCGTACTTGCAAGGGATTTCGTTTGAACGATTAACTGTAGGCTGCTGGTTCGCTTGGGCTCCTCTTTACTTCCCTGCCGCGTATCAACTCGGCTTGCTTGGCGCAAGCTCTCAACCGGATTTCGGGTGAGCGCTGTCCTTCCGAACTTTGTCCATCAGTATCTGAGATTCGTCTTCAGACGGATAATAACATTCACGCTGTGCTGTGCTTATGTCGGCATCTTCTTCACGATGCCTCTGCGGCGGCTGTATATTCTAAAGCTCAAGCTCACGTTCCCGGGCTCCGTAGGTGCTGCGTACACCATGCGTTCTCTCCACGTCGGCAGGAATGCAGCAGCCAACGCGCGGAAGAAGACTTGGGGCCTTATCATTTCGTTATTAACCTCAATTTCATGGCGAGTCGCTAGTGAGTATGCGCCTGGAATCATGTGGGACTGGCATTGGGCGTACTGGCTTTATAAGGCGGGCTGGAAGTGGATTATCTGCGCGGAAAGCTGGGCGCGTTCCTTATATTGTGATTCGATGCCGTTCAACTCACATCTTGTCCAAGGGATGGACCTTCGAACTGACTCCTGCTTTCATCGGTATCGGATTGTCAGTGCCCATGACTACATCTATGTCATTCTTTAGCGGCAGTTTGCTTGCATGGGCCATCATTGGACCTGCGTTGATCGCGACGGGGAAAGCAGTCGGCGTTGCGGTATCGAAAGATTATCCCGATTACACCAATTATGCCAGCATGTTGCTGGATGATCCCGTCCATGCCCCGTCACCGAAGTATTGGATGATCTGGCCGGGGTGTTGGCTCCTACTTTGCGCGAGTATGGCAGAGATTGGCGCGAACTACATGCCAATTCTCTTGTCTATCTCCTTGTTGCTCCCTCCACTCATCGACCGTCTTCGCCTTGGAAAGTCTGTCCAACTCAACAAAGAGGATGGGCTGTATGATCCGACGCCGATCGAGGAGCAAACCCCATGGTGGCTGTGGCACGATCCTCACGATGCTTATCATGCGTTACCAATTCGGCCAGAACGCAGGAGTCACATTCCTCGTTGTTATCTTCTCGTTTATCTTCTCTCTCGTTGGTGCGGAGTGCACAGGGCGTTTTGCTATCACACCCGTGACTACCCTTGGAAACTTTGCCCAACTGGTGTGTATCTCCAGGTGCACGAGTGACGAGCGAACACACGCTGACAGCATGGATGTTATCAGGTCTTTGGTGGTATCTCAAAGGGTGCGGGTATGGCACCTGCTGTCAACCAGTTGAACAACGGTCTCACCGGGATGATCACCCTCGCCGCATCCGAGCAGTGCAGTGACATGCTTGGGGACTTGAAGACTACGCACCTTATCGGGGCGTCACCCAGAGTACAACTGTACACGCAATGCTTCGGCGCCCTTGTCTCGATCTTCCTCTCCGCCGGAATGTACCTCGTCTTCGTGAAGGCCTATCCCTGCATCAACGAGCTCACCGCAACGACGTGCTCCTTCCCGGCGCCCGATGTCGGTGCGTGGCGCGCTGTATCTGTAGCAGTCTCTTCGCCCAGCCTCCCTATTCCTCTTTCATCCGGCGTTACTGCACTCTGCCTCGGTGGTCTCGCAATCGTGCAGACGATCGTCAAATACCGCTATTTCTCTCCGGATAAACACAAGTGGTTCCCAAACTGGAACGCGGTCGGCATTGCAATGATCCTCGGTCCGCTGTGCACATACCCTATGGCGATGGATGCTCTTTGGGAGTACGGTCGCGCTCGTCTGGAGACGGTACTGGCCTGCAGTGTTCGTGATGTATGGCTACTCCACCGCCGCCGGGATGATTGCGGGTGAGGGGCTGGGCGGTATCATCAATGCTGTGTTACAGATTGCGGGTGTGTCGGGTTCGGTGCATGGAACGAGTGTCGGGTGCCCAATGGGAGAGTACTGTGGATAACAATGACCTCACGTCTTTCCTTAACAATCACGTAGAGTGCGATGCCTTCGGTATGATACACCTGGACCGGAATATACCATCAACACAACCACCAGTATATATACAGTAAAGTCGGAAGCATATTTACGGTTCTACCTCCTCTCGATTCAAACGCCTTTCCGCCACGGATTCACCGGTGACACCGCTGTTGCCTACATAATGGAACACCAGAAAGATGAATTGCATCGTGATGATGAATCGAGAGGGCAGATCATCGCATCTTAGGTACTGAAACAAAATCCTGTGCGGAAAAGGAGCTGAAGTAATTCATACATGCATCTGAGTCACGCCGCCTCCGCCTATGTCAGACATAAGCTTGTTCCTGAAAGAGTTCTCCTCGCATACATTCGCCCGGAGTAGGGGGTCCGTACAAGGTGCGAATTCGCATCAATGTTCAAGCTGAGGGTCGCAAACGAAGGTCAGCGCATTTTCACAATACAATAGGACCTTCTTACCAAAAGTCGATTCTGCGAGTAAATGAGATGTGCAGAGAGTTCTGCCATCATGCACATCATAGGCTCTGAAAACTCCTTGCAACGTGTCGACACGATGAAGATCTCAACAGCAGCGAAGACAGATTTCCTGAAAAGGGCACATAGAGGGGGATGAATATGCCGCTCCAAAATGTCTATTAATGTGATCTTGCGAAGGTGGGGCGAAACAAGTTGTGACAGCAAAGGAATAGGGGAAAAATGGGACGGACGGAGTGCAAAGGTGCGTAAAGATGTGCATGAAGAGAGGTTGATGTACTCCGTGAAACCTAAAGCAACATGAGCAGGGGAGCTTCTGAATATTCGGCACTTACTGTAGTCCTGCGTGTAGATGCCCAAGCCTAAGTTCTCTAGAGAAGGCCCGATAGCGTTGATTAGTCGCCCAACGTTCTGGAGATCTTGGTGCCTGTTGATGTCTAGGCTCAATGACCGCAACCCAGATGCATGGCCAAGCCAGCGGACAAAGTTGTTCGTGGGGCAAGCATGTGTTGAACTGCGACACAACGCAAATGAACGAAGCCGGGCCACACAAGAGCTGCTAGGTACCACTAGCCCCTCCCATGGATGCTCTTGGCTCGTGAAATCACGTCTCACGGTCACGGTATTGGGTAACCGAAACCCTTCAATCAGGAGACTGTCCAGATTTCCGAGCAAGGAGAGATAGTCGATGAATGCCGCGAGTGGGAGAGTACAGTCCATCACGTTCAGCGTTCTGATGGAAGGAAACGCAGGAGATAGGTTTGGGAAGAACTTTTCTTCGTCGTACGCCATGAGATCTGTCACATTGCTGAACGTGAGAGTATGCAAGGCTGTCAGACGAGTGGGTAGAAGAACGGGGATTGTGTATATCCAATCATTCTGCGGTCGCTCAAACAGGGTGCTGACGCATAGCTCATGAATCCATACACCAGCTTCAGGATGGGCGTCCAAAAGCCACATAAGTTCATAGAACCTACGCTCCCCAGTCACCGAGATCCTGCGAAAGAGAAACCCCTGGCCAACTGCACGCCACGCACGACAAGTGAGCGCGAAAGCTCGGAGTGAGCGACGATCATCGATGAGGGATTCCGCTATGTGGGGATAAAGCTCAGGTGGGAGAAAATGAATGTTCTTGGTATGCGACATGACCTGGCTGAGAAAACTGATCAGAACCAGCCAGTGAGTTTCATGACCCGAGAACAAAGAGGAGCCGTACCGGCAGATTACACAGCGCTATCGTTCGTAGCACCAGACAAAGTTGTTCGACGTCAGCTGGGCAGACGGCTACTTTAGCAACCTGAGAGATTGGGCTAGACGAAGGAGACGGAGCGAGAAGAGCTGTGCGATGCTTGATCCTGTATTCGTTTTCAAGTGAGTTGGATCCGCAGTCTGACGCAGATGTCCTGTCGGATATTCCTGGAAAGATCAGTGGTTTCGTGGTGAATATCGCAAATCGAAACCCGTGGGTACACAGGTAGGGGCGGTACACAATTAATTAAATGCGCGCTTATCTGGATCTTCGAATCCTAAGTAGCAGGCGCTGGCAATATAATGCCACCAATCCGCGCAACTGATTGGTATATGGTTTGCATAGCGCATATCTCGGCAAGTCGTCACCTACCTGACCGAGACTCAAAAACGAAAAAATTGACAGGTTCCGATCGCCACAGTTGACCGAGGAGGTCAGTACATATACCGGGTGTTCGGTCACCGGAACTCAAGATAAAGAACCGAAGGAGACATACACTTGAATCTATTCGACAGTATTATAACCGTATAAACTGTACCTATACGATAAATCTGCGGGAGGTGGTGCATGACGATGACTGATGGTTGACATACGTGATAGCTTGACAAGAATGGCTATAGTCCGTGGTAGCTCTGAGCTGCAGAGCAAGGAAATCAAAGGGGAGAAAAGCCCAGATAGCAGGGAACAAAACTGACCGCGTGCTCTTCCGTAGCGCTGACGCGTAGCGCACCACGCTCGTTAATGTTATGTTCGACAAATATCTCCTTGATAAAATCGGCCTCAAGTTGCCTATCATACGGATCCTGACAACCGTAAATTGCTACTGATATCCTCGTGCGATAAACACAGGTGTCCGCAGAACTTCTGCCAGTTCTATCCACCCACGTTTCCATGGGTACCTTTGGTACTCTTCCAAAGTTAGTTCGCCAAGATGCGGCGCTGTGCCAGTCGGGATAGTAGAGCACACTGGAGTTGGGCGTAGCAGCCGAGCGTGAGACTGCGGAGTGCGGTGCATGGTGCAAGGTCAATGAAATCCATACCGCCATTGTACTCCTTAGGACCTGGGTCAAGAAGGATCTAGTCACGCTTGAGTAGTGCAGCAAATACAATTAATACTTACGCAACGAGGAGCTGTGCCAGAATGTCAACCTAAATCTTCAAGCAACCGACCAACATCCTTCAGCAAATCAATGATCATAATGTCCAGAATGAGAGAATGCGGCAATGCATGCAGGGACTGCGCGGGGCCCATCCAGCGGATAAACTGCGTCGTCGGACAGAACCAGTCTTGGGATGCACACAGATGAAAGGATACCAGGCGTGGCATGGGCGAACTGGAAGGTATCACGAAGATTCTCCAATCGCGATTCTGACTTACTAGGTCCTCATCCTCGGTCACCGAGCGAACGCGCGCCTCTCCAGGACGTCGTGGGTACGAGACTAAGAGATTCCGGTCCAGCGCGCGGCATTTCGTGTCAAGTACTCTCCGTCACGGTTCCCTCTTTGTTCTTGTGCTTGGAACATCCTCCCGATCGCACAAGTGTGAATTGAGCTTGCCGACGATGACAGCAGAAGACTTACGCCACTGCAAACCTCAGAGGTCTATGGACAAGAGAGACTACGTCGATGTTGATGCTGCCGTCCAAAGTTCAAATGCGCTCGCCGCGCTCCCTCGCTAGATTCTTCTGCCCCCTCCACCTCTTACACACAGTAGAATTGCAATGGATACGCAGCGACACACCCCTGTCCCACTCTCACAGTGTATCTCAGACGCTTCATCCGCCGGGTCATCCGTGTCATGGTCAATTCCCGCACGGATAGGGCGGACGTCGTCGAAGTTGAGGCAAAAGTCGATAGGTTGACGGACAAGGTAAGCGGACAACGTCTTCCATTGCGCGTTCACGTTGGGACGAGGGAGTCGCTCCATTTCAGTTTCGAGTCGTGTCGTGGATGACCACCGCAGATTGGTCAAGTTCTAGTACGAAACTTCGTTTCGAGTACAATATATCTCCTGTAGGACTCTCCGCGTGATTTTTTGGTGCCATGTAGGGAGTTCAATCACATTTCGCACCACAGATAAAGACTTCAACACCTTCACAACGAAATGATGCTATCCCTCAAATACATTCTCCCGCCGATGCCGGCCCCGCTCACTATCTCCGCCTCGACGGTTCGTTCTATCAGGTCGAGAATTACGGCCGCACGCACATGACGCTCGATGAGAAGACAGGTGAGGTACGTGCATGCGTACGCCAAGTACGACTGGACGATCTTAACATTCTCAGTCCGAACGGACTCGCGGATTAACGTGAACGTCGAGATACCAAGTAAGTCTCGTTCGTTTTCGAAGTCCCTCAAGATATTGATGCGATCGACGATAGATACATGGCGGGAGGACCGCATGAGCTACATTCACGAAGAGCGCGATACCGGCTTCACACAAATAATATCATCCTCCGGGCATTCCTCCAACGTACATGCATTGACGTCATTGTCTATGCCTCTGCCATGCTCGCATTTTGCTCTGTTTGTGGAACAATACTGACCGCACGTTACTTGAGCAGATCGAATTTCTGCACTAATTTGAAGTCGAGGTTGTACGTCGAACGTACCTCCTGGCGACGTCCAGCAGAGTTTTGTATGTCTGCAATATCTCATGAAGTTGCCTAGCCAAATACCTTATCAGTCGACCCAGAGTAACTTTCAATGGCTACCTTTGCACAGCATTCCAACGGTTCTCTTCTGCATCTGAAGGAAACCGTCTATCAGTGATGCGACAGGGATCCGCTGGGATCAGTCCGGCACGCGGATGCCGTCCCCCTTCAAATCCAAGTCCTTTGGCCGGACCTTGAGCGCGCAACCTGCTGTAGAAACGAAACAGACGCGTTGGTGAGTCTGCATTACTGTCACGCACACGGAAGACGTGCTCAGGCGTAGGAAAAGAAACCCCCTGCTCGAATTGTATTGAATTACGTTGGGTGAGTAGTCACGTCACCTGCCACTCATCGCCATAAATATCGGTTGGAGGCCGAGAACCGACCCCAACTGCAATGCGTCGCTTTGGTGACTTCGTGACTGCCACGGTCTTGCGTTTTCTCTGGAGGAAATAGATCACCGGTTACCCGATCGCTTTGTACGCCGGAGCTGCCCGGTTGAAGTGAGATTTTTTCGCAGGAATGATAAGAAACCCAGGCTTTCAATATTCAATAGCACGCCTCGCGATGCTGAGTGTGAGTTAAGGAATGCAACTCCGAGTCGTGGGAGAAGCTCAGCGAGGGCCGCACTTGGGCGGAACTCGAGGGGTACATCATGAATCTGATCGGTTTGTCCGGAGATATGTCCGACATGGTATGTGGATTCACCAGCATCTGCTATGATGACAACAGAGCTGTACATATGGCGGACATGAAAGACATACGGAGTGCATGATAATGACAAGGGTGGACTAATGCGAGATTGTTTTCTTTGGTAGACACAAAGGTGAGTGAGACCGGCGAGGGGAGTCTGGGGAAACCACGTCATGGAATGCATCGTCAGCGCCTTCAGCTGTGGTACAGTTGCATCGAATAGCCTCCGCTCAATAGGCTGTCGAACAGAATCCAGAGTTAAGACCTTGAGAGTTGGAGCAGAATGGTGCAGGGTAAAGAGGTCGGAGTAATGATCCATGTGAAGCTCCTCGACGCGCGATAGATGCAAATTGAACGGATTAGCGAAAGGCCTTTGATATGAAATTTCAGAGGTGCCGATCGGGAGCATTGCAAAAATGTCGGAGCAGCAAGAAGTAAGGGATCGCTGAAACGATCGCCGATATGTGTCCAAAGAAGGGGCAGGTCCAACGCCAGAATACGCCACCGTCGGCAAATATGCGTCAGGTCAATCAGTTTATTTGACGGTCGGAGTGAGGCAAATGGCCACTGGAAGTCGCCAGCGTCGTCGTCGATCAGCGCGGCAGAATATTGGAAGATGAGACTGAGGATGTCATCGGGACAATGGTTGATGGGAGAAAAAGAGTTGATCAAACACCGGACTGTCGACAATGCTGCGGCAAGAATATCCTTGAGGGAGTGCAACTGGCGGACATACGGTCAAGATTCCCCTCCGATACGTGGTGGTGGAAAAATAACGACTCACTGCATCAAGGCTATAAACGGTAGTATATGCAAGTGTGCTATAGTTAGTATGAGGGTACAAGCGAACAACGATGGGAGCTACCTTTCACGACTCCTGGCATTGAATAATTTCGACACGAGCGATTGCGCTGTACACAGGGAGCGTGTCAAAGACTCCGAAGGATTCAGATGTTCCATTTTTTGAGAATTTCAAGAAATAATCGCGATGCTTGGATAGTCTCTCCGATCGAGCGAACACGACGGTTGATTGCAGGAAAAGATGCTCAGCGTGCAGACCGAGCGTATACAGCTTGCCTGCCTGCATGCACGAGTCAAAGTGACTCATACTGAGTATAAGCGCCCGACCATACTTACGATCATCCTCGATCGCTACAACAAGTGTAGCGCAGATTCCATAGGGCCAAACATCACGACTGGCCGCCACTTGATCTGTTACCATATCCTCTCGAAATTTTGACTGCACAAACAATACAACTCACTCGCACCCCCAGATCACCGACCACACGTCAACGCGCAAGCTACGTGCCTTCATAGATAGATCCTAATACACCGCAAGGATTATGACGCGTGCCGTGAGCGCAGGTGAGCGCAGTGGGCACGGTTGAAGCGCAAACAGACCGGAGAGTGACCTTGCAGTGACACGGATGTCATTAATGGTCTCTATGTTGAGTGTAAGTTACAACGCATCCGCCGCAATGTACCAATCAGTACTGATATTTTTGCCCATAAGCCAGTGGTTGGTGTTGTGTTTAGAGCAGGATTCGCCAACGTAAGTAGCTTGTTTGGCCCATATTGTGCTTGACACACCCGTGGTTCGTCCACGTCAATCTGTCACTTTCCAGCGCTCATCGTGGTCTCGTGTCTTTCTACAACCCTCTGCGGTGCTGCAATTTTAGGTGCATCGTGTTCCGGGTACTACCGAACAAAGCCTCGCTAACGCCAGTTCCTCATCCTTTTCACCCTCATCCACTCAAGCCCTCACGCGATGGCGCATCCACTCTTCTGGCCTGGAGTATACTACTTCTACCCGATCGGTAATACACCTGCGATATGTCTGACTAGAGACCTTGCGCCTGAAGAACCCGCGAACATCCTGTTGCTCGGATGTGGGGATCCGAGGAATATCTTGTATACCATTTTCTGCGAGCCTAACGCCAGTGAGGAGTCATCATTCTGGTAATCTGTTCGATAGTCTTTGTCTGACGTATCCTTGGCAGTGAAACGCAAACTCGACTTCACTTGCTGTGACGTAGATCCTGCGATACTGGGTAAGATTTATTTTGTATTATCGTGGCAGTCGCTTAGTGCTCGACCGTAGCGCGCAACGTACTGCTCCTGACAATCGTCGCCGACAAACACCCCAACGCGACTGCGATATGGAACATTTTCTACCACATGTATCTGGATGATGAATCGCACAAGGTGTTGGTGGAGCAATCCAAGAAATTGCTTGACTTCTCACAAAGTCCCCAGCACTGGCGTGCTTCTCCGTACGGGCCCTTCATCCGTATGTGCACGGAATTTACACTCGTAGAACTGCGTCGGCACTGGTCTCTTTACGCCTGTATGCACAGTCTTCCGCATAGCCGTATCGCTGCGATATGTGATGCGTTCTCGTCCAAACTGGCACCTCAGAAGTCCCACATCGTCCTCGGCACTACACGAGCCGCTGGTCCGCTCATTGCCAAGGCATCGCCCATCTGCGCCGTCCAATTTGAGCGGTACTGGAAGACGGGCGTGACGTTCTCGGACCCCGAGCGCATAATCGCTTCGAAGCTCGTGAACCCCACTTTCGTCTATTCCCTGGGCGGCGAGGGTTTCTCCGTGCAGTACGGAGTCGACCCATTAATCTCTTTCCATTATGCTGCCGTTCTTGGCAATGCAAAACGAGAACTTGGCGTATCCGATCTTGTGGATGCCGCGCAAGCTCAGTTCAAGGATTGGTGCACCGCATTTTCCTCCGCAACTTCCTCCCTTGCCTCTTCCGTACCCGTCGTTCGCTGTTTCGTCGGTGAGGCCGCTGCAGTTTGCCGTACACTTCGGACGTTTGGTGAGACTGGAACAGTATCGTCTTCTATTCCCGTGTCCCAGTTCGAGACACAACTCATACAACTAGATGAGGAGGAATACAACTCGCGTGGCGCACCTTCGACGTTCAACGTGATTGACTCGTCCAACTTGGACGATCATATCGCGCTGTTGAACGTGCTCATCATAACAGTCCCTCTTCTTGCATCCGCATCACCATCCAGTGTGCTGTACACCGAATCGCTAAATTATAACGGAGAGAATGCCACAAAGGACTTTGCGGAGCGCCTACATGCCGACATTACCACTTTTGGGGTTCTCCTAGGATTATGCCCCGTTGACTATCTTTCAGGCTTTACCACGCGATGCAACACACATGAACTGCTCATGTACCTAAAAATAGCAGACAAACCCAGGCAGTTCCATCAAGTGACGACCTGGAAGTCGCCTGCAGCTGGAGACTTCCTTGCCGTGCAGAGCAAACAGTGGTGCCTACCACCCGCCTTTGAAGCACGCCAACTCGGTACGCTTCTCTACGACATGTATCACCAACTGTTCGAACAAGAGGATGCAAACCACTTCATCGAGCGTAACCAGCACAATGTGCGGAATGCTATTGCGAATTCCAATCTGGTCCATTACATCCGGGAGAGCTTCGTCTTGTTCCTCAAGCTCGTCAGAGATCGACTACGGATACCTCAGGGGCAATGGCTGGATGTGATGGATCAATTCCGCTACATTGGGAATGCCGACCAGACACTCATAATGGATACCGTCCATTCTTGGGATTTTTTCACACAGTTACACAGGCATGGTGTCCATAGGTTCTCTTTCTATGATATTGTCGTACCCAAAATTGGCAGATTCTCCTCGTGGAAGGTGGTCCCCAAAATCGTACGAATTGTTCTAGTCGTTCCACGCGAGAAACTGGCAGTGCTCGACGAAATGAAAGAGCGGATTGGCACGCCATTGTTGCGGTGCGATATTCGTGGCCCGTGGTCTCGTGGCTTGCGGTCCCATAACGTCTTCTCATCCGTTCATGCCGCATTCGGCCGGGTCATCTCGAGAGGGACAGAATCAAATCCCCGCGTTCTTTTTGATAAAGATCCTGACGGGTGGAAGGGAACCTTACCGCTGGTAGTGTCGTTCACTTTAGCGGCAAGATATCTCACGGAATTTGAGCCGATGGAGACTCTAGACATATACCTCTCGGTCCGTGACACAGTTGCAAGTGTAGTGATGCTCTCCGATAGACTTGGCATGTGGCTCAGCCTCTTCAATGCCAAGCTGATGGACAAGTCGCACGTCTATGTCCTCCCGGAGGACTTTGTACCTTCCGAATACTGTTCCACGCCTCCAACTGTAGAGTCTCCAGCTCCAGGTCATCTGGCCCAGATTGGTTCGCCCTGCCAGATGGTCGTTGATTTGGACGAGGAATGTGAGGTAGTTGCTTCATTAACCTGCCGGATCTGTATCGAAGATAAAGAAGTCAAACGTCTTTTCGCATCCGAGAGGGCGACTCCACAAGTTCTACAGGTGTCTCCCTGTGTGATGCGGCTGAGTGTCAGAGATTATACACAGGATGTGGTCTATCCATTTCCCATCGTAGGGAGTCAGAACAAGCTACGTCTGGCCAGAACGTCGTTGTACATTGAGGTAGGTTCTCCATTATCTGCTGATATCATTGAGTCCAATGACACCCCGAATTGCAGGTGGTCGTCCCACCGTGTGGCCCATTTCAGAAACCAGATGGCATGAAATTGAATCCCTTCCCAGTTGTGCGCTCTGCAGATGTTTTGAATTTATGGAGTATACATCGCCTCAATCTCCCTCTCCTCCCCATTCTCGACCTCAAGTCACCGGGTATCGAGAAGTGGCTCGATTCTCACCTCGGCACAATGTTCTCAACACGCGAACATTCTGTTTTGAAGAAAAAGAACGAAGATGATGTTTTGGCACTTGTCAAGAACAGTCTAAATTCTATTTTCGTCCGCTCTACGGGGATGCAAAACTCTCCTGTGCGACGAGTGTTCGCATTGCGAGATGCAGCTACGAATGAATGCGATACCCTGCTGTTCATCAGTGAGGTCAGATTTGACCTGCATTCCCATACACTAGTCTGGGACGGATACGTACTCCCGCTTACTCCGGAGTTGGAGGCGGACATCAGAAGCATCTTCAGCAAGCTGGTTAAGGAGGAAACCATGTCCCAAATGATGACATTCAAGGGCGAGCTCGGTGCATGGAAGCAGCTCCTGCCCGCTTTGGTCGAGCGCTGTCGGACAACTTGGATGCACGGAGTCAACTGCGAATACAAATCCACGGGTCAGATCCCGCGCTCGGTAGAGTTGCACGCAGTAGACCCACTGTGTAGTTGTGGTAGGGGGAAGGATACGGAAGGTATGTCAAAAGTCGCGCTGTGGAAGGACTTCGCGCCGTACATGACCCGAGTGGCACTGTCTCCGCTGTTTGCAGTGTCGTACTTGGAGACGGTCGTTCGTGATCCTGCGACCCACCGGTGCTATATATGCAGAGGGAGAGGTCAGCCTAGACTGAGGGCGTGTGGACGGTGCAAGAAGGTACGATACTGTTCCGAAATGTGCCAGAAGAGAGACTGGAAATCACACAAAGTGCGCTGCAAGGCCTGAAGGCGCCGCAGCATTGAGTCATGTATCGCGTTTCTGCTAGGTACATACCTTTTCTCACGGCGCTCGTACAAACAATGTGTGTTGGGTTCCTTTTCCTTGTCTGTATACCATGTAGAGAATTACATATATACAGGCAGCGGAGGGAAGTAGCCCTCCCTTGGAACCGAAAAAAAGAGGTATGCGGCCGATGCATTCTTTTTTCTTCCTGACCACCTTCTGGCCCGTTCCACGTTATTCATATCGGTTCTTTTCCCCGGTGACTTCTCTTGCACATAGAACGCATAGGGCGAAAGACCAATCTCAGATATGCTGTAGACGAACATATAGAGCGGGTGATAGACTCGGCAATCGGAGTCTCTTGGCTGGGGGAGGGTCGCCCATCGTGCCCATGCTGCAACGCCTCGCCGAGTGCGAGTTTTCCTCTTGCTCCGAGTTGAGAGGCGCATAGTTGCTCCCTGCTCAGGCTGCGAATTGGATGAGCAGAATGGACATAGCAGGGGCAACACTCACTCTTCGCCCGTTGTTGCTCACAAGGTGCATGGGTTCTCATCTTCGCACCCCTCCGTGTTAGTACCTGCAGTAGCGGGTACCCGGACCTGGTCAACGCGAGAAATACGTCAAATAGCCTTAGTTCACTCACCCTCTTCACGTCGTCCGAGCCCATAAGTAGTGTCTTCTTCACCCTAGCATTCATGAATTTGCATGAGGACACCGGGTTCATTCATCAGAATCCCATCTAGAGCTTAAAGCGATACATGCATATACACCGCTCGCACTTCGCCACTGAGGCTCGCGGCGTAGCGTCTCGAATCCCCCCTTTAGCTACTGAAGTCTCTCCTCTTCCGAGGACTCCTGTCATTTCACCGTCGCCGCCGCCGCTATCATCCAGCACGAGCGCTTCCCCCTTCGTCCTACCAGCCGTGTCCATACTCGTCCGCCACTGCACCTCCGGCTCGTCCTCCACCTCTTTATCCAAACGATGTGCCTTCGTCGGAACGGCCTGCTTCTTCCCACTCTCGCGTACAGAACGAACCGTACCTTTCTTATCCGATCGGAATTCCGCGCGCGACGTCGCCCCGCCCCGCCACGTCTGCCATTCGCGTACCCTCGGACGGGAGGAGGACATACCGAGCGCAGCGGGTCGGGGTGCACACGGACGCGTCTAGCCCCACAAAATGGAGAACATGAGTTCCATTCTGCGGAACGAGAATCTTCCGTGCAAATGTCGGCGTCGGGGACACGTACGTAGGGGCTGCTACATCCACTGTGCATGGGGTAGAACAGCACGATGGCCTCGAGGACGAGAGTCGGCAGTCGGGCGCCCCCTTCCAGCGGGAGAGGAGCAATGATCTGAGTTGTCTGCGCAATTCTTTTCGGATTGGCCTTTCTGGTCATCGAAAGACGTCAGCTTAAGCGGGCGCTGGCTCCTCCTTAAACCTTTCGCCTGCGCCAAACCTTCTTCTGCATTGAAGGGAGGGATATGCACTTCGTGGACGATGCGCCGATTTCCACGAGGAACGCAACGTCGCCAGCCACGTCTGCAATTCGGGTACCCTCATGCGGGCGGAGAACACACCTGGCACAGAGATCACGGCGCACACGACTATTCCAGCTCCCCAAAACGCAGAACTGCGGAACGAGAATCGGCCGTGCGACCGCTCGCGTCGGGAACCCACATATGGGACTGATATGTACGTGGTGTGAGGAGCGTGAGGACTCGGAGATGGAGTCGAGAGACAGGAACGAGTTTGTTGGTGCAGGGCCGAGTCGAGTCGTCAGCATCGCTCTCGCTGGTCTTCGAAAGCACGTCCACCAGGGGGGACTGATATGCCTGCGGTGCACGGTGAGGTGGATAAGCATCAGGGACTTGCGGATGGGAGTTGAGTCGGGAGCCTTCCTTGGCTGGGAAAGGCGCGGGGCCGAGTGATCCGCATCGATCTTGACTGGTCTTGCTGGCCTTTGAAAGACGTCGGATTCAGGATTCGCATTCGGCGGCTCTATGCTTTCGATTTCACAGAAGACAATGGTATCTGGTTTGTGGACGATGTGCTGGCTTCCACGGTGGGGGCTCGAGTTCTGCACATCCTGCATTGGCTTCAGCTTTGTGGGGTCTACCTTGATCTTGGCTTGTGTTCCGAGGGCTCGTCGACTTGTACGACGAACCTTGACGGAGGAGTTATCGAGTTGTTCCTTTTCGGGCTCTAGAACAGAGGGCGCGGCTGAGGGAGCCGCCTCCTGTATCGCCGCCCCAGCTTCTTGTGAGTCCTTGGGGGAGGCGACGATGGGCTGGGACGTCCTCGTCCCCGTCTTCACCAGTGCGGCCTCGGTTCCGGGGCATTTTCCTCGTAGACATTGCCTCCAGAGCGGAAGATCAATACAAAATACAATGTCGTGCTCGTCCTAGTGTTCGAGCTAGAATAGTAGTCGAGCTAAAATGTGTTGCGAACAATTCTCCGCTCGAATACGAGATGCAAATGGATGTGCTCACCAAAGGTCGATGATAAGAGTGCATGACACGCACAAACGGTCTGTCGAACCAGTAGCCTCTGTGAGTATCCATCGACCTGTCTGCCAGCCGGCGTCTGATCCGACGCCCATGCCCCGTCGCTGACAAGACTGACATGACCAAGATCTCAACAACAGAGAAGACGGGCTTCCTATCTCTAATGCCGCGTAGAGGGAGACGAGGATCTTCGAGCAGCATCAAGATGCCCACCGATGTGAACTTGCTAAGGTGAGGCGACGCGAGCTGTGAGAGGAACGGAATAGGGGACAAGTGGCCCTGCTCAAGCGCAAACGCGCGCAAGGACGTGCATGAAGAAAGATCGATGTCGATGAAATTTGAGCCTACATGTGGCGCGACGCGACTGTGAGTAACAGCATCACGAAGGACTGCCATCTCCGGAACGTTGGCCGTTTAATAAATGCCCTGGGGTCCTCTCTAGAAATTTTAGGCTTGGGCTTCCACAGGGAGGACGGGAGTAAGTGCCATACTTACGAATGCGAAGACGCATGGCCGTTCCAGCGGACGAAGTTGAGTGTAGGGCAAGCACGTGCCGGACTGTGGTCCAACACAAACGAATGAAGCCGGGCCAGAAATGAACCAGGAGATATCAAAACCTCATCCCATGGGTGATCTTGGCGCACGAGTTCAGTTGCTTCGGCGGATAATCGAAGCCCTTCAATCAAGAGATTGTCCAAATTTTTTGAACAAAGAGACGTATTCGACGAACGCGCCGAGTGGGAGAGTGCACTGCATTACGATCAGCGTCCTAACGGAATGAAATCGGGGGAATAGGTTCGGAAAGAATTTCTTCACCTCGTACTGCGCGAAATCTTCCACATTCGTGAGCGTGAGAGTACGCAAGACCGTAAGACGAGTGGGTAGAAGAACGAGAATTACGTATATCCAATCATTCTGCAATTTGCCACCCAGGGTGCTGACGCGTCGCTCATGTATCCATGCCCTAGCTTCAGGATGGACATTTAAATGCCGGGAAGGTTCATAGAGCTTATGCTCACCAATCACCGATATCCTGCGAAAGAGGTGAGCCTGGCTAACGCCACGCCACGCATGGCAAGTAAAGGTCAAAACCCGGAGAGAGTCGTGATCATTGATGAGGTATTCCACAATGTGAGAACGAAGCTCGAGTGGGAGGGAATAAATACCCTTGGTATGCAACATGCCCTGGCTGAGAAGAGAGGTCGGGCCTTGCCAGTGGGTTTCGTGACACGATAAGAAAGACAAATAGTGCTGACAGATCACTCGGGAACACTGTACAATGGTTCAGACGGATACTTGAAGGGCCTGAGGGTTTGCAGCGCACGAAGGAGGATGAGAGCGCTTTCGTCCGAACGGTCGACAACAATGAAGATCCGAGATCTGCTGCTTGGTCCGACCCTATACCCGGTTTGCATGCGCGAGGATCCACGGCAATGGTGGCTTACCACCAGCCGCAACAGGCAGATAGCGAAGAGGGAACTGTCTTAAAAGCATCTTTCTGAATTTTGCCCGTTGTGTCGGAAGGCTCCATGTGAAGATAAGATTAGATCACCTTCTAAGTGAAATGTGGTGTAAGCGCCTGTATCATGACGTCTTTTTGAACCACTTGCGCCGTCGACTTTGCCTTGGAAATGAATTACTCAGCTCGAGCACTGTCCCAAATTGTTACCAAGCCATGGTTACATGAGCCTTCAGCGCTCCACCAGCACCCTACGCAAATGCATCGGGCCCCCTCTCTTCTTGGCTATAAAGCACGGAGCGTCGGCAGAGAATCCCCCAATTAACCAAGAAACGATAGAACGCAATGTCTCTTCCTGCGACCACTCGCGAATATCGCCTGACCACTGTGAGTGCCGCTCTTCAATAACTACTCACCAGCATTGACATGTTCACAGGCGGACGGGACGCACGACATCAACATCCAGGAGGCGTCCATACGCGCCCCGAACTCGTTCGAGGTGCTCGTTAAAGTCCATGCAGTTTCGCTTCAGTACCGCGACCTCCTCGTGTCGCGCAACAACTACCCCTTAGGCCAGATTCCCCACGTTGTTCCCTGTTCCGACATGGCTGGCGAAGTCGTCTCAGTTGGGGACGAGGTCAAGGGCTGGAGCGTTGGCGACCGCGTTTGCGCCAACTTCTCCGTGGACCACGTACATGGACCGCTCACAGATGAACTAAAGCGCACCTTTCTTGGGGGAGGAATCGATGGCGTCCTGACGGAGTACAAAGTTCTTCCTGCCCATGTATGTTCCTATTTATCTTGTCCTCATTTAGAACAATTTACTGACGCGCTATTCAGTGCCTGGTTCGCATCCCTGATCACCTATCATACGAGGAGGCCTCTACCCTTCCGTATGTCATGTTTTGTCTGTCTCCATACCTAGCTCACACGTTCAACGCGTAGATGCGCCGCGTTGACGGCCTACAACGCCTTACTGGGTCCAGTTCCCATCAAGGGTGGCGATACTGTCCTTGTGCAGGGCACCGGTGGCGTTTCGATCTTTGCGCTACAGTTCGCCGTGGCATCCGGTGCGACTGTAATCGCAACGTCCTCTTCTGACGTGAAGCTTAAGCTCGCTGCTGAACTTGGTGCGACGCACCTGGTGAATTACCGTAAGACCCCTGACTGGGAGACGGAAGTACTTCGCGTGGTGCGTGACGCTACCGTGAAGTGTGTTCCTTTTTAACTTGCTGGTTGTCATGCAGACGGGCGGAAAGGGAGTGAACCATATCGTCGAGGTCGGCGGGCCGGGCACGCTCGCCAAGTCAGCAAAGTGCATTGCATATGCTGGATGGATTCACGCTATTGGGCACGTTACGGAGGTATCTTTTGATCGTTGAAGCAATTGAGCAGTTCGCTGACCGTTCATGAACTGCAGGACGGGGATGTTAGCTCGGTTCCAATGCACCTCCTCGCGCGCACCGCATTTATGCGCGGTCTCATCGTTGGTCCTCGTACTCAGTGAGTCTCGATACGCTGCGTTGTCTTTCGCTGAGGATTCACGTATATATAGATTCGAGAACATGAATCGTCTGATCAGCGCGACCAAGATAGAGCCGATCATCGACAGGGTCTTTTCTTTCGAGGAGGCGCGTGCAGCATATGGATATCTGGAGAGTCAGAAGCACGTCGGGAAGATTGTCATCAAAGTTTCGAAGGATTGAGTTATATGGGATGTAAGTATTGTAGGTCACGATGCAAGCTCATATCGATTGCTCACAAATGGTTCTAACAGTTTATACTGATAGGATGTACACTATAATGTACAGATGCGCATCATTGATCACGGCTTGCAGCGCGATTTATGGAACTTTCAATCCTTTTTCTGGCATGCTTCCGAGCAGCATCATACCTTCTTGCAACGTCCGCACGCCATCAAGTTTGGCTTATCACTCCCTCTGCAAATATAGCAACGGTGCGCTGCTGGATTGCGGCCCACCCGTTCCAAGTATGACATGGCGAACAACGGCGAGAGCGTATCGTGAACCCTGACAGGTAGTCGACGGGGCAAATGTCGACCAACAGACAAAGGTGGTGAGATCAGCATAGGTCCGTCCGCGAATTCTGTTGTCGCGTCACACTCGCGGTACAACAGTACTCGGTATGAATCACGCTAGACTGTGGAGATGGCGCAAGGAGAGGTAGTGGCAACGAACATGTTCAGTAGCCCGACGTGGTCGTCCAAATTCGACGTATCAATAACATTGAAAGTGTACGGTGCTCCACGTGACGTACTCATCCTTGCTGAACTGCATCAATTGCGACTTCCATTGCGAGACCGGAACACTGAAGTTAAGTGACTTGGTCTCAGCAATGGTACGGAGCATGCTGCGCACAGCGGTAGCTTCACCAACGAAGAAACAGATGATAGGTGTGGGGTAGACGGTGGAAGAGACATTCGGGAGTACTAGAAACTGACTCCAATAGTTCTATATCCAACCTCTCCACAGCATGGTCACGTCGAGAAAAGTGACTGATTGCTCATGATCTGGCTGAACATCTGGAACGCCGCCTGGCCTCTGCTGAGAGTGCCGTATTCATACGCTGCGACCTCGTGGCCGCTACAGCCGGAAAGGATCGGGATGAACGTCAGAGTACAGACTTGCGGTGGGGACAAGAATCACTCACGCGCCAAATATGCGCACGTACGAGAACGTCCCGGCATTCTTGTAAATCCCTGCAGGCTGCCCAGCGACTGTCCAGTTGGTGAACTGCTGCTGCGCGAACTGACTGCTGAAGTCCGTTTGCAGGTTGGCGACCTGATGGTTGTGGATGCATCAGTACTGAAAGAGAGGGTACGAGATTCGAGACTTACCATAGCTTCGACACCCATGTAGTTCAGGATGTAGTCCTTTATGTACAAGGTCGTCAGCACGTCACCCGACAAAGTACTTTGGAGATTGACGGACAGCATCCCCGTCGTACACAATCGTGCGCACGCCGGAATTGATAACCGTCTCCAAATTCGGCCTTGAATTACGCATCCAATCGCCGGTGTTGGCGAAGTTGTCGTAAACGTCGTTGCTGACCTCCTGCCATTGGCCCACTGCACCGATGAGCTCGAGCAGCGTCGAGTTATTTAAATATGGCGTGAGGTCCGGCGGGTAGGGATCCGGGTCCTCCGAGAGCACGTAGTACACATCGTAGTTGCCTACAAGCGGCGAGAGGATCTTGTCGTTGCAGTACTCTTCCGCGTTCGCGCACGTGTCATCGGAGCCTTTATCGTAGCACGCTTCGATCTGCGCGCGCGTTCAGCGGAAAAGAGAGGACGAGATTGGAGTAGCTCACCTGCACTTTGCAGCCGTGGCTCGAGGTCCAGGAACGGTTTGCAGATTGGATCACTGATTTGGATACAAGAGGGTGATACCTAGCACGATACGATGAGCTTCAGTTCACAAATGCAAACGTAACACTCACGGGTTCGATGCTGCATATTGTATGTATCCGGGATATTGTGAGAGCGGATCCTAGCAGAAGTTCGAGTAACAAAGATGTACTCCAGGAGCAATAGCCTACAGTGAGACCGTCTCCTACTCCAAGGTACTTCAACTTAATCGGCACTCCTGTCACGGATCCGTCGGCGATGCCAGCATTTTGCTGCAGGAAGTAACTGATCACGATGGATGTCGCATCATTCGAACGGTCCTGAAGGATTGATCCTAACTCACGCTGCGAATACGGGGCCATAGTGACCTCCATATCTACGGCGGGAACCTGTAGTCAACTCAAGGACGACGGCGTAATAATCGCGCACGTACGACTCTGTCCATAGAGCGAATTCATTTTGCTGGTACTTGCTGAACCGGGAATCTGCAAAAAATATTTGCAGGAACTACGCCGACAATTGAGGGACCAACGTTACGCGGAGAAAAGCTGACTTACAGTCCAGATATCCTCGGCAGCCTCTTGCGATGTACCGACATCGGTAGTGCCGTATGAGAAGCCAGTACCGACAGGTTGGTCAACATAAAGCCTGTAGACGCATTAGAATAGAGAGAGGGCGCCATGACGGGGGGTACTGAAATCTGAGCCTCCAGCGCGTTTTGCGACGGCATAATAGGGCAATTGCAAACGGACAAGGACTTACATATTCGAAACCTCATTCCAGGAGTAAGGATTGAACGTGACGCTGCTACTATCGTTCGTAATCCGGCATGGGCCATGTTCTTGGAACAGGCCGATCATGCTCGAAGCTCCAGGCTGATCTTAAAGTTGAATGATAAGAGATGAGGACGTCTGAACAAAGCACCCACTCCGCCATTCAGCCAAATAGTCAGCGGTGCTGTATCAGGGTTGTTGCGCGCCTCGAAGAACCAGAACCTGGCGACGGCAACGGGAACCAAGTAAAAGAGCCGCAGAAATAATAGTGAGAGATGCAACGGACCAAATACTCTCTGAGGACGAAATGTTGCCATAACCCGATGCCTGATATACGCCTGGGGTGGTTTCACAGATACCGCTGTTTTCTATGACGCGCAATGGACCTGCTGTGCCACCTGACGCGGTGGACGCTATCTTCTCGTCAACCTTCACGGACGAAGCACGGAAAGCGGGTACGCCGCCCCAGACACCGTTGATCACGGGGACTTGTCCACCTAAGGCGGGAAGCACAGGCAGTGTCGCCAGAAAGGCTACCACGGGCGTGAACAGCATGATGGAGGGGACAATGCCAATACGCACCTCAGTCCACGTCCTTATATGCGGTAAGAGCCGGTTATAATCATGCTTCGCAGATGCTGGCTGACTGGACAAGAATAAAATGCAGTGCGGCCACCAGCTTCTATCTTATATGATAGCAGATGGTTCAAGCAGCATGACGGAGGGGACAATGCTGATACGCACCTCAGTCCACGTCCTTATATCATTGCGATAAGAGCCGGTCATAATCATGCTTCGCAGATGCTGGCTGACTGGACAAGAATAAAATACAGTGCGGCCACCAGCTTCTATCTTATATGATAGCAGATGGTTCAAGTTGCCTGCGAACGGAGAGAGGTGTCTGCTTCTAGAGTGATGGATACATGTGCGTAGGAAGAGGGAATACTATGGCGAGAGTTACGGAGGGCATCACAGAGTGTGGACAGGAGAACAGGCTAACTATCGGGACCGCATACACACATGGAGACTCAACAGTCCGCCCACTCAGGCCGCTGGCAGGTAGTCTGCTTTCTAACGCGCCTCCTTGTCGAGAGGTCGGACAATTTAGGCGGAGCCTAAAGTTTGGTAGTTCTTTCTAATGCGGAATCTTAAACCTTTGTGATACCACGTGATGCAGGTGGCGCTGTAAGTCCGCCGAAATTCACGAAAGTCTTCCTGAAGATCCTCTCCACCCTGGTTTGGGCACATCGCAGGTGAAATGAGGTGCTACAATGGATGGGTGATGGAATGGTGAATTTTGCTTGGGCGCGGGGCACAGAGAATAGAGGGATTCCTACGAGATTCAAACGTGTAATGCCCTCTTGGACCAGTGCAAAGCAGATAAGACAGCAAAGTCTCCAAAATCAATCTCAATTAATATACCCATTGGAAAGTATTGTATACACATGCAGCACAGGACAACGGGTGCTTCTTGCGCTCGAAACGCGACGCGTTCAGCGCGATTTACAGACGCGTTGTGCCAGCACGTGATGTGCCGGGTCGGCAATCAAGACCTCCTAGTAAGAGCCCGTAATAGAAAGCAGACGTCAGACACGGATATCCGAGGTACGAGGTTGAAGCAGAGTGTCTACCATCTGCCCTCGGGAGACTACTGGCAGGCCAAGTCGCGAAGCGCGAGCACGCGCTTCGGAATTCTCGCGCCACTGTCGCGCTGCCGGCGCAGGGAGATCTCGGTCTTGACATCATCCGGCTTTCATGACGAGTCGAACAATCTCTTTAACACTGTATTCGAAACCTCGCTGAAGCGGCTTGGTGCTGACAAAGTCGAGCTCCGCTATCTGCATTGGTACATGACCACTGACCAGGATATGTGAGCTACTACACCATAGGCACTGATGTTGATTAACAGCCCGGACGCAACTGTGTCGACTGAGGTCGGTTCCCGCAGATTGCGATATTAAAATTTTGTAGCTAACCTGCGTCTAGCGTACCATGGGCGCGATGGCCGAGCTGGTCGAGTACGCCTGCTGTAAATCTGTTCATTTCCCTGCGCTAAAGTATCTTGTCAGAGCCGGTAGGGTGAAGTACCTCGGTCTCTCCGAATGCTCCGCCGACACGCTGCGGCGTGCGCACGCGGTGCATCTAATCTCTGCACTGCAAGTCGAGTACTCTCCGTTCACGCCGGACATCGAGGACGATAAGATCAGTTTGCTGAAGACCGCACGCGAGCTCGGCGTCACCATCATCGCGTACTCGCCGCTTGGACGCGGCCTCATTACGAGCAAATAAGTGTGCCCTACCAGAGTGCCCCATCAAGGCGGTATTGAACAGATAGATGTTTTGATTGTGGCGGTCGTCCGACGACTTCGACTTCGACGATTTCCGGCGCAAGGTGCCACGGTACTCGAAGGAGAACTTTCCCAACATCCTCAAGCTCGCAGACGGCCTCAAGAAGATCGGGGGACCGCCATGGCGCAACAGCGGGCCCAGTCTAGCTCGCGTGGCTGCTCGCAGGGCCCAGACATCATCCCATCCCCGGCACCACCAAGATTCCCGTGAGTCCCCACCTCCGTCCCATCCTCTTCGAAGTGTTCGTGGGCTGACGAAGCTGGTGCTGTGTAGTCACTAAAGGAGAATTTGGGCGCGGCGAAACTCACACTCACGCCTGAGGAAATACAAGAGGTGCGGGAGATCGCCAAGGAAGCAAATGCATCGAACGGTCCTCGCTATCCTCCCGCGCTTTCGGCCGTTTGTTTGGTGACACCCCGCCACTGTGAGTGAACACCAGCAGCACGTGCCCGGCCGATGTAAAATGCGCTATGTGTATGCTCAGGTTGGAGAGAAACAAACTACAGCGGCGCACGTAAAATGATCGTGATAATTGCATGAGAATTATATGTCAATAGCATCCAGGGAGTGCGCACCCGTGAAAGACGCTGTATCAACCCTCAGGTGGTGGTCGCAACAGGGTCGTTCAGCTTAGTGTGGCGCTGGTAGAGACGGTCCCACTACTTCCAGCCGACTGCAGCACAGGTCAAGTTGAATCCACCTGTACTTCTGACATTGAATGTGCTACAGTGAGTGAGCTTGTAAGCCTGAAAGCTCACGGTACGGCAACTTCTCGGAACCCATACCTCGTGTACCCAACCTAGTAGCCTCGCTCCCAATACAATGTCATTGCATCACTAATCCCTGGCACACCACGCATCGCATCAACGCCCAGTGGTGCGTAGCCGGATAATTTCACCGACGCGCACCACACTTGAAGAATGCTAGATACCCTAGACTTGCGGCCAGAAGATTTGAAGTACGTGAAGTACGTGCGCAAGAAAGATTGGCCAAGAAGCGGCAACGGCGGTATGGCTAGTCCAGCACACTGTTCGAATGAGCTGGGATTTGCATCATCAAATGTCGACGCCGCGGCGGAGTAGTTTTGGATGAGAATTATCAGAGACCTCTTCCCGTCACGAAGAAGAACTGTTTCGCGTGAAATAAGTACACAAGGTGACACTCAATTATTAGAGGAGTTCAGACATACCCATTCGATAAGCTGGACACCCGAGCTCTTCCCAGTGGGTGTTAGGATCGCGAGAACTAACCATCGGAATAAGGGGGAGTGGAGAGTCCTTGTAACCAGCAGCCAGCAAGACTTTATAGGCAGTTTCGAGCTGATCATCAGGAACAAGTAAATGCATATGCTGCATCAAGCCTCGGGTCAGATCGCTGAGCTGGTCACAGGATATACCGTCGACTCACGTTTTGGATCACTGGGACGCCATAGTACAACATTGCACATTCGCCCCATAAGATGATCGGACCTATACCAGACTGAGCGAGCACATTGGTAAGCTTTGCTGGGAGCTTCTGGCGGAACTCGTCTGAAAATATCGGTCTGAGTAGGCGTCAGTAGCTTTGTGGAGTGGCCCATTGAGATGGTAATGAGTTCAGTCCTAGCGTGTATACACGGTTCAGGTTCTGACGGACAATTTAGACGGAGCTGTAACTTTACTAGTGTTTGGTAAGACTGAGTCTCAAATATTTGTTGTATCACGTGATGACATGCTTCATTAAATCTGCCAAGGACTTCCTGCGATTCTTATTCTCTGTGGTTGCTGCACGTCGCATGTGCGGTGGTGGTTGACAACACACAAGCAATGACAACATGACATCTGCCAGAGTTGATAGAGAAGGTGGAGTGATTTCTGTGTTGAAGACTATAATCATAGGATTACTCGCATCGCCGGCGCAGACCAGTCGCGTCATAGGCCTGTATGTTGCATGTCGCCTCCGAGAACACCGCGACAGAAGAACGATAATATCATCCGCCCCACCGGTAGTCCATCGCCCGTCGATATGCAGGGTACGACGATGAGCCGGGGACGAAGAGTGCAGCCGCCAAACCCGAGTCGAAGTCCCCGAAAAGAAAATAAGTCCCAGAAGTCCAAAAAGTCGACAGAGACATATCAGATTCGGTCAGCGGTATGGTCGCCCTCTCGTTCTCGTCTTCCGTGTGCGTACCGTGCTGAATAGGGACGCGGCAGATCTCACGACGACGTGCAGGAGGGGAAGAAGAACCCCGCGGCTGTACAGTCCTGTCCAGTCCAATCCGGCCAGTTTCATTGGGCAGCCGAGAGAGACGTACCGCAGGGCGCGACTTTCTGCGCTACGAATGGACGGGTGTTCCTGCGCCAATTAAGAGGAGGCCTTAAGCTGTCCAGCAGCGGACAGAACATCGAGCACCACAACCCACAATAGACACGCAGCCACAAAGGCACCAACGGTACCCGTAACAAATGAACGCATAACGTTCCGGGTGGGGAGGGACGACCCACCTCCATGGCCCGCTTCCCACAGCCCGAGTCGAACGTCACCGTACCGTGCATCGCGCTTCGCCGCAAACACGCGGGCCTCGATCTGCTGGCTCGCTCCGTGGCGCGCGGCGTGTCTGAGATCTAAATACATGAACGTCCCTTCCGACGGGTGACGGTGGTGAGTAGATCCGGCGGTGTAAAAGACCTGCAGTCGACGAGGGCTCGATCACCAGTCACCCATCCACCTAACCACCACACATCTACACTTCGCCCCAAGCTTCGAATTCACGATAGTACGCGCCCACCTTTCCGATCGGTTCTGATTGTGGGCGGCAGCCCGAGCAGGCCCTGTCCAACGTCAAGTTCGCGTCCGCCGCGTCGGGGGTCAGGGCGTGTTCGTACCCGAGCTGCGCGTGCGGCGAGGCTTCGAAGGCATAGACGCGTTTCGTCCGTCTGTGTGTAGAGAGTATGGCCTTTGCCCGAGAAATAGGTCCGAACTCGTGGCAGAGCGTCATTGTTGGGATGCTCGTGCGGTCGTGCGGTGACACCATGGTTCCCTCTGCATCGCAAGTTCGGAGTCGTCTCCGAAGTCTTCGATGTAGTCTTCTACTCGAGCGCGTCAGTGTCCTTGGTCCTAGCACAGCCCGACAGGTCGACAGCCTGTGCGAGCAGAGGCGCTCTCTATAACTGGCTCTTCGAGCCGACGTGCGGCCTGAATCTCACCTCGGGCGACAAAGAGACCCTCGCTGACGACATGATCTACCATATGGATGGCTATCGCCCTGCCAAGGAGGATGCTCTCGCCTATCTTGCAACCCAGATGCGCGCGCTGCCCCAGACAGATACGCTAGAGTGACAATTCACCACAGCGTCGCAACCGTACCAGTGGTAAATAATTGGCTTGTCGGTCCGCTACCTGTAGGCCCGGAGACGGCCATGCGCCAGCTGACATCTACTCCCGCGACGAGATCCCACGCAATGCCTGCGGGCTCACGACACTCTGGGAGATGCAATCCTTGCTTGCGAAAATCATGCCACCCCTTGCGGAATTCACTCGGGTACTCCACGCGTTTCAAATCAGTGATACCTTGCTGAAGCGCGGAGTAGGAGCTGTTCTGTGGAGTTGCACCTGGCCTTCCAAACGATACTCTCGTGGTGGGTGCGGTCGCTCCGCTCAGTATTGACGGCTCCTTCCACCGCACTTGGGTTAACTGGAGATGGAATGTCGCTGGACCGTACCTCCACCCCGTCGGGCTCTCCCATTACATCGACATAACTGGCACGGACCCAAGGAACTGGAAGCTCCTTAAAGTCCGCCTATTTTTCGTCCATTCTTATCTTTCGTCCTTCACTCATAACAACATATTCATAGATAGTATACAATTATCAGGTTTTCTCCAGCACGGACGAATTCTTGGAAGCGTTCCACAACGGTACTCTCAAGCGCCTTCCTGCCCGAACTGACCAGCCCATCGACGTTGCGTGGAGCAGACGGGAGCGCCCCGACATCCCTCCGACTTGGACGACGTGCCTGGTCTACGTTCCGTTTCCTTCGGAGGCCTGCGCTTTCGTGTTGATACCGCCCTGCAGTTCATCAGCTGGATGGGGTGGGAGATGTACTTGGGCTTCGATAGAGACATGGGCTTAAGTCTCTGGGATATACATTTCCGAGATGAACGAATTATATATGAGGTGCGTGCGGCGCGCGCACGCCCGTCTGTTGGATAAGTCTTTGAGACATGTGTCTGCGCCTAGCTGGCGCCGCAAGAGGCGATTGCGCATTATGGTGAGCGCAGATGGTCAGCGAGTTTAGAAAATTTGCTGAACTGTAAGTAGCTGGTAATGACCCCATGCAATCTTCGACAGCCTGGCTTGACCGCTTCTTCGGCATGGTGCGCTCTCATCAATCGTCTACTTGTGTTGTTGTGCTCGTAGTTGTGCACTTTCAGCCGCCCCGTCTTCGTCTCGAGATGGTGAGAAGAAAATGAAACATGGCTCTCCTGTGGAGTGAAAGTAACTAAGACGAGCATTAGAACGGGGCCATGTTAAAGTTTGCTAGCAGCACCTACATTTCTTCATAGTTGAATATCTTTCATGAAGACAGTGCCACTGTAAAACTACGACACGATTAGCGTCCGCAAAAAATATTATGTGATACGCCTGCAGTGTATTGGTACAGACGGCACAGGTCGTCGGGCGCTACTACCGACGCTACGTCGTGGTGGCGTTACGGTACGCAGCACCAAGACAATTTGTCTTGCACGACCACCTTCACGAACCGGCATGCAGTTGCCTGTCAGAGACACTCCGCAGGATCACTTTATTCTGACGGTGGGAGGGGCCATATTTTGATTGGCTTGAGAAACTATGAATTGCACCAATTGTACATCCTGTCACCCCATAGTAACAGCCACTTAAACTACTTCACTGGTCGCCTTCTACTCATGCACAGAAGATCACTCGCCTTTACTTCGAGATACGGCAATTTCGAAGAGCCTGAGGAGTCGGTCGATGTCCCGAAATAGAACTCAACTCTTACGTGCAACGCGTCCGAACAAGCGTACGATGAAGCGGCTCGTGTCAGGCAACCTCTCTCCTGCAGAGGCCTGTATTTGAGGTAACCATCTCCATATTCAAGTACCTCCGCTGGTTGTTCGCCGAGTTGATTTTTCTTGGCGCCCAACTCACTCCTTTTACTCCAGAGCTATCAACGAAGCGTAGAATGACAGGAAAGAAGACTCCGATAAGACTGCAAGTTTCCACAAGGACAATTGCGATTAGCGATGTAAGTGAGTCACACCCCTGCGATAAGGTCACTTTGCTTATTGTGCAAGACTCCAGGGATGACTTCGGAAATTCTGCAACAGTCTTTTACTCGCAGTATTGGCTTTCTCATGCTTCGTCCTTGCTCCTGCGCCCTTCCCTTCTGTTGCGATTTCCGCATCTATGACGACTACTGAAGGAGCCCGAGTCTTAACACAGGGCGTCGGCTATGGAGTTGTGCTCGGCATTGGCCTCGTCTTCGCCGTTATCATGATGGGTTTGTCCTATCTACAGAACCGTTACACGACTTTCAAGACTACCTCCTCAGAGGAGTTTAACACCGCGTCGCGCTCCGTCAAGCCCGGTCTCATCGCTTCGGGGATCGTTTCTGCATGGACGTGGGCCGCGACTCTTCTCCAAAGTTCAACGGTGACATATGAGTGGGGACTCTGCGGCGGCTACTACTATGCAGCGGGCGCAACCATTCAGATCTTCATTATGGCAGTCCTTGCCGTCCGAGTGAAGATGATCGCGCCATACTGCCATACCTACCTCGAGATCATGCAGGCGCGCTACGGCAATGCGGCGCACTTCATGTTTGTGACGTACGGTCTTGTCACCAACCTCATCGTCTCCAGCATGCTTCTGCTTGGCGGTAGTGCCGTTGTCAATGCCTTCACTGGCATGAACATCTACGCGTCCAATTTTTTGATTCCCCTGGGTGTGATGATCTATGTCATACTGGGCGGTCTTCGCGCCACGTTTCTGTGTGAGTCAGACCAAGATATCGTGCTTTCTAGCCCGCTTCAATTGTGACTATCCAGGTGACTTCATACACACGACGATATTGATGATCATTATCGTAAGTCGTGTGGTCCTTCTTCGCCTACTCGAAAACAACGACTAATGCATGGCTCTCGAATTACAGCTCTACTTCTTTTTCTATACCTACACGAACTCTGCGTTGATTGGTGGCCTTGATGGAATGTACCACCTGCTGCAAGAGGCAGCAACCTTACGCCCTGTCGCCGGAAATCAAGGAGGGTCATATCTGACTCTCAAATCTAACAGTACGCCCCAAAATCGTCCAAAAAAATGCGGCATTTTGACAAAATTATGCAGATGGTTTAATGTTTATGATCATTCAAATAACCAGTGCATTCGGCAATGTCACACTAGACCAGGCAAGTTACAATCTCCGCAACGGCTCGTGTCATAAAGCGTGTTGCTAATCAATATTCCTCCATATAGGGATACTGGCAGCGTGCGATTGCATCCAAAGCAAAGACTACCATGCGCGCATATTTCTTGGGTGGTATCGCTTGGTTTGCTGTTCCACTGACATTCTCCTCTGTCATGGGTTTAGCTGCTGTTGCATTAGCGGATAGTAAGTACTAGCTGCATGGGATATAACACGATGCAGCTCACACCCTTACCTTCAATGGGCCCAAGCTTCCCCTACTCCGGAGGTCTATCGTCCGCCCAGATTGACGCTGGTCTTTCAGCGCCAGCCGGCGTTGTGACACTTCTTGGCAAGGGGGGTGCAGTTGCAATGGTTACAGCACATTTCTTTCTTCGTTGATCACAGTCTTACATATAAAGTAGCTGATCCTGCTCTTCATGGCGGTCACATCTGCCGCATCATCCGAGATGATCGCGACATCCTCCATCCTCACGTTTGACTTGTACCAGATCCACTTCAAGCCAGACGTCCGTGCAATCTAGTTTCTTTCCTATCTTATTGAGGTCTCACGTTTTATAAACGATAGGCACCTCCCGAGACGCTCATCAAGGTCTCACACATTATGGTTGGAATCTGGGCGATCATCATGTCCAGTGTTGCATGTCTCTGGAACGGCATTGGCATCTCTCTGAACTGGCTGTACCTGTTTGCGGGGACGGTCTACACTTCAGCTGTCGGCCCTATTGTCCTGACCGTCTTGTGGCGCAAGCAGACAAGGGCCGCAGTCTTCGTCGGTGCTCTCGGCGGTCTATGCATCGGAATTACATGCTGGCTTGTCGTCGCCAAGGCGTACTACGGCGAGCTAAGTATCACCACTACAGGTATGCCCAGCTTCCTGTTTGATCTTTTCGCTGCAGTCATGACGAATGAATGGGACAGGCGAGATGTATCCTATGCTTGCGGGTAACCTGGGCTCCTGCTGCTCTGGTGTTCTCATCTCCATTATCGTCACTCTGATCAAGCCGGACAACAAGTTTGACTGGACGGAGACAAAAAAGATTAATTCTCGGGGACACGCACTCGTCAGCGCAGGACGGCCGGATGAGCCACAGACACGGAGCAGCTTGAATGGCCCAACGTCCGCCCTCAAGTCGGAGAAAAACTCTGAGGTCATGCATGTGTTGACTGCGAACGACAAGATGGAGCTCGATCTGAAGGACGACACACATGAGGACACAGAGATGCTTCAGAAGTCGCTGGTAATGGCGACGTGGTCATCGCTGGCAGTCACATTCATTTTGATCTTTGTAAGTCGATTTTGCCAGCGACATTGTACAGTTGACTTGACATCGTTTAGTTAATCCCAATCCCGATGTTTCTCTCGCACTATGTGTTTTCCCTGCATTTCTTCAGGGCATGGGTAGTCATCTCTGTGTTGTGGCTTTTTGTTGCGGCACTTATCACTTCGATTCTGCCCGTCTGGGAGAGCCGCGACGCGATGATCAATATCTGCAGAGGTATTATTCGCGACACATTTGGTGGACGACAGCATGAAAACATGACAGAGAATAAAAAAGCGGCTGCTGCGTGAAATGACGAGAGTAAATGATGTACATATAATGTATTGCTACACAGTTCCTGCTGATAGACATGCTTTTTATGGGGACTGTACTCTGATGCAAGTAGTCAGTGCTTCAGTATTAAGACACAAATTCCCGATGAAGCATGTGCTCATAGGACGCATCGGAGCATCAAGCTTCATCAAGGCCCGTGGTACGCGGCGGCAATCCACTCATTCGACTATTGTCTGGCTCGGAGCTCGAGCATATATATGGTATTCTGAGACTCACCTATGATTTCGTTAACGTTGAGGAATTTTATTTTCTTACGGCAAGCCAGGCGTCAGACAAACATAATATTGAGTCGCAGTAGCACATAGCAGTACTTCGACATTTACAGGTCTCTTCAAGTGTCTCTCATGACTGAACCAAACTGGTGGTGCGCGCTGATTAATACTGATAGGAAGGCGCCTAAGCAGGACCTCGCGGCATATGTCGAACTTCGGACTTCAAGTGGGGTGGTTGCGAGACAAGAAGTTAAGATTACGAACATGGAGCGGCGATGCTTTTGCAAGGACCAGATTGCCGAGACAATTGTACACCCATGTCAGGGTACTTGCGCACGACTAGCTAAGACAAATACGAACTCGGAATGAATGTCCGAGAATAAATATACTCCGGCAAGTATTCGTATATTCCCAAAAGGTTCCCCATGTTCAAATAACAGAATTTCGCCTTGAGCGGAAATGTGAGAGCTCAGAGCATCCCAAGGTCCCGCTGAGTGGATTGGCTTGTTGTTTTATTTCCCGTAAATATTTAATATAGCAGCAGAGAGTGTCAGAGTTGTCATGCAGTCATGGTGGAAACGTGTATAACTGACTGACTACGTGAACGAACCAACCTGTCGCGGTCACGTGCACGTTCTATTCAACGCCACCAGCGGCTGCTTCAAGTTCGATATTCAACACCTCAGTTCGCATTGTGTAAGCCCCGAACCAAATATGTCGGCCTCCGCTGGCCTGAGAAGCTGAGAACTTAATGGAGAATCCTGCGTGGTATATAGGCCGCACTCTCATTTCTAACCGTACGTCCCCCTCAAGGCCTCTTTCTCACTCTCAAAAAAAAAACATCGGCAGGCAATCTAACTCGAAGGCTGCTACAACCGCCGAATACAGACACCTACCACCCTTCTTCTCTGACCTGGACCCTCAGCGTAAAGCATCCCAGAGATCGAGTCGGCCCCCCGTAGTCGTAAACCTTCTAGTCGGGAAAAGGGGAAGGAATTGATGGAGGCTTGGCAACGAAATGGCGGAACGCGTCTTCGAGACGGACCCCTGTCAAGAAATTTATGGGCGAGTTCATTCCTGGACGGAAATGGACTCTGCCTATGGAAGAAACGGGCAAGTGGCAGAGTAAATTCAAAGACGTGGCCCTGATTACGAAGGAATCACAAATGTACCCTGGTTTCGTGAGCACTTCCCCTCTTCATGATCTACACAGTCACTCAGTATATATTCAGTGCGAAGCTGTGAACTTGGTCTTAAACATGGACAAGGACAACCGTCTCGTCGCGCGGGACATGGCAGACAGGGCCGACGCGACCGAAGACGGGGCGAAACTGATGGGCCTAAGTCCTATAGTGCGACCCGATGTATCAATCTATGCAAAAACTCCCGAAGCAGTTAGGGACTACGAGCTCACCGCTGCAGAGGTCAAGAGGAGCGCGTGCGCAGAGGCTCGACATGAACATCTTGCCAGGGTCTGCCGGCAGCACCTGTGCGTGCCAGTCGAAATCAAGATTGATCACACGTCGTTAGCGTTCGAATTTCTGAACCCCGAGAAGAAGCCGCCTGTCCGAGGGGAGAGCGCGAAGGGCCAAATCACGGATTACGCCTCTAAGATTCTCCTTGCCCAGCACCGCGAGTTCTGCCTTCTGGTATATATCTTCAGATCTTTCGCGCGACTGGTACGATGGGACCGTTTCGGGGCGGTTGTGTCCGAGCGATTCAATTATATCAGGGGTCGCACATTGCAGACGTTCATTCACAGAGTGGGCCATATGTCGGATTCTCAGCTTGGATGCGATCCGACTGTTGTTCCTGCTACGCCCGCAGAAGTCACGCTCATGGCCAGTTGCAAGGACAGGCTGAACGACTACCACAAGCTATGTCTGGATGAAGCAATGTCGGATGGGTGGCCTATTCACAAAGTCGCATTCTATGCGAAGGACGTCGTCGACAGCGAGGCGCTGCGCAAGGCCGCAAGGTCTGCTTCAGGATCCGCGCCCATTTGCAATTCCCCTCCTCATTCGCCTTCTCCTTCTGACTCTGTATCCTTCGATGATAACGCCACGCTTCCCTCGGAGACTTGCAGTACTTGTGTCCACTCTGATGATGCGCTGATATCGGAGCCTGTACGATATTTCCTCATTGGTAGGCCACGATTTGCGGCGCACTCACCTACGGGCCGGGCTACATGGGGATACGTGGCCTACGACATGGAAGCGGGGGGGCTGGCATTCCTGAAGGACACATGGCGTCCCGACTCCTCAAGAACACACACGGAGCGCCAGGTATACGAACGTCTGTACAGGCATGACGTCCAACCCTTCTATATGGTGGTGATGTCAGTCCAACCGGAGAACAATGCCAGCAGACGCCGCACGCAGGACTTTGGCGACTCGGTTCTTGGTCGAATCCATTACCGCCTGGTGATGAAGGAAGTTGGTCGTCCTTTAGACGACCACTATGACTCTGTAGAGATGGTCGGGGTTATCTTCTATGCGCTGATGGGTACGTGGCTGCGTCGGGCCATGTGTATATGTTCTCACCCTCTTCCTTCTAGCCCACCATGAAGCCTGGGAGAAGGCTGGTGTACTGCATCGAGATGTGAGCGTCGGCAATGACTTGGCTGACGAAGACCCCGACGAGCCGCCTTACCACGATGGTGGCCCTAAGCGTGTCAAAGGGTTTCGGAACGATCGGGACCTGCGCAAATATGCGCATGAGCTGGATAGCGGGCCCACCCAGAAATCGCGCTCGGTGGGTTTGACCATATTGGGCAGTGTCGTGCACGGGCTAATATCCCTCTCCCAGGGAACGTGGCGATTCATGTCAGCGTTACTACTTCAATTTCCAGGAAGACGCTACGAAGTTTCGGACGATCTGGAGTCATTTATGCACGTCGTGAACTGGCTGGCCCTGAAATGGTACCGACGCCATCTCCGTATAGCAAACACGCTGCGGCAACACGTCGCTGATACTTGTGATAAATGGACCCGTCTTGATGGCTACGACGTGGGTGGGGAACGTAAGCTCCTGCGGATACGGATCGGCAAAGTGCCTTTTCGATTAACGATCAAGGGTGGGCTCAGCAGCCTTAGCGAGAGACTCGTGGAGCTTTGCCATGAGCGTTACAAGACTGTCGATATGGCCGCTCTGAGAGCACAACCCGAAAGCCCCGGACAAGATCTGTTACGCAGTAAGGTGATACTCGACTCCCCTACAGATGATGACGACGCGCCTCTTGACCCGGAAGACGACAAACACGAAGCAGCTAGCTCGAAGGCTCCCTCCGCAGCTTTGTCGACCCACAAATGAATTGTCGGCGTCTTTATGACCGTTCTCCGCCATGGTGCTTTCGAATGGTACAAAGACAAAGTCGAGGCCAGTCAATTCGCGCCTTTCGCTCCTGCATGAAATTCCGTGTCTGTTGGGTCTAGAGACGGTCAGAGCAAGTCTTGCATCTCCCTTCCGGCAGACCCCCAGCCGTCACGGAAGATGGCACCCTCCAATACGCCGCGGATACGCGGTATGACGACCCGCGTGATGCATAACGCGGATTCCGGAGTTGGTTCTCTGGCATCAGCGCCAGAGGCAGAGGAACGAGGGCTATGGGTTTCGCGGCAGTGCAGTCTCGAGGCTTGCAGGACACTCGGGGATGCTGCGTATACCCTCGTATGTTTATGATGACTCGCTTGCGATTCCAATGTTGTACTCACGCCACTGATGTCGTTATCTGCGGATGCTTGGTCGTGATCGATGCACAGTCGCCAGAACTGATTATATCACAAGGTCTGACATGGACTGTTCATTTCGGCCGGGGTTTGCTCGAGTTCTAACGAACTTTGTCTTCGATCACAGTCTGATCGTCATACGTGGATGAGAATCAGGTGGCATCTTCTCAGTCGACTTGTAATGGCTCGTAAAGCATACGGCGGATGCAAGTTCTGGTACATAAACCACAGTGGCGTCCGTCATCCAAGCACCTAGAAACCGTTGAGTGGCATCCGTGGTACGCAGATTGCCCGTCTTCCCTCGACAAAACACATAGCTAGGAGACAAATAATACAAGACGATTCCGGCACGCCCACACTCTAGTGCATCCGAGGCGTTCTATAGGCCGATGGGGGACCAGTCTGCTTGTCTGCTCGCGCAGAGACGCGAGCGAAGACGAAGACCTCGTCGAAAACGTGGGAGACGACTAGGAATCTGGGAGAGAGAACAACCCCGGCAGCGTCGATCGATCGGACGGACGGGGACGCCAGCCTCGCAAGAAGAACACCCCTTCAGATCCGCCCCTCACATTCGATAGAAAAACCATTTCTCATTCCATACCAACATTTCGAGTCCCGTCAGCGGTCATCCGCACATACGTCCCGCAGCTCTCCTCGCGAACTCGGTCAATGCTCCCTGCTCCAACCGTCAAGGCTGAAGGGGAGGCATAAAACTGTGGTGGTTGGGTAGTGGGCTGGTGGTGGAGCCCTCGTCGACTGCAGGTTCTTTTATATCTGTTCGATCGATCGCGGTATTCAGACTTGCCAGGTTGGGACGCCGCCAGTCGCGGAGTGAGCGAGCGAATCGAGTTCCTGCGCATTTGCACGATCACGATCGGGCCGCATCGAGCATGACGCACACGATCTCACCAGGGCCCAATAGGGAACGGGCGAATTGGAGGCGCGTCGTTCCTCTTACTCGGTGCGTGTTGCCTCAGCTAGAGCTCGTCCGTGTTCGGTCACTCGATATTAACTTGTCCGCCTCAAAGCGGTGCACCCTGTGATCTCGTTGGCGTCACCGGGCCCAAGGCCCTCGCGCTACTGGTCAAATGTGACATAACTGTATCCTTGGGCAACCAGGCAAACCTAGGAATAGGGATGGCGTCGAGCCAATGTCCGTCCTGAATATGACTGTCTGTACGTGAATCGCCAGACTCGGACTTGCGTTCAGCACGGTCTACGCACGATAGCGTAAAACTACGGTATATGGCAAACCATCTCGTCCTGCAGAGTCCGGACTCGGTGATCGCGAGACCATCCTCGTCACCTTCCGTTCGCTCTCAGACCCAGAAATGTCGGCCGCCTGCTTGCGGCCTTCCCTCCCGGTCGGCGCGTGAGTCCCTTCGAGTTTTGCTCGGAACACCGTCAGCTGGCACGGGCAGCACCCCGCTTGTGCGCCTCGCGCGCCGTCTTCGCGTCTGTGTCAGCCACAGTCAGCGCAGGCTGCGTGCTCGGCGGCGCCCCAATAATAGTATTTACACCAAAATCTGTGTACCGTAACAGCGATACCTCTTGCGAACGACACTCTGCCGGCGATCCTACGAACGACACGAGTCTCGGGACTGGGAAACACGCGGGCAGAACTCGTAGCACACACCGCTCTCTCCCGCGGTCGAGCGCGTCTCGTTGGTGTGCGACCACCTGGAGGAGATGGGCATCGTGTGGACGAGCTTGGGACGTACGCGCCGTCCGGGGCGCTGCGGGTTCGGCGGGTCCGAGTCGGGAAGGCCACTTCACAGCTGGGTCCTCCGCAGGCAGGTGGGAGGTCTGCACTGGGGTTGAATGGGAGGAGGATGTTCTCGAGCGTCATAGACTCCAGGTAGGGCAGGGCGGCGAGGAGGTGGCCAGAATGGAAACGTCATCAGGGCGGACACGAACGCACGCATCTGCGGAGGCGGGAAAGACTTGGACATCGCGGAGGGTCACAACTCCCCACAGACAGAGTGGTCATCGAGGCAGATGCAAGGCGTCGTGAGGGGTATGAGTACCGAGATTCCAGAAAATGGAGCAGTACGAAGTTGTGAGTATACACGAGAAGAGGAAGTATGGAGGAAGTGGGAACTCCTCATTTGCAACACGGAGTATCGATACGAATGAAGACTGGTTTGCCAGAGGGACACGATCATGAGAGAAAAGGAACATAGACCCACAGAAATCGGAGAATCACAGAATGCAGCGCTCTAGGTGCCAAAAATCCTACGTCTCTGACAGCAAGGCGAGGAACGACATACTGCAGACAGGGACTTGTCGCACAGTTTCATTTCCACTGAGATGCGAAGGAGACCATAGATAGCAATGCAGATGGCAGGTACAACGTGGAACTAGAAAGCTGTACAGTGAGCGATAAGACATGAACGACGCTTGCATACCGTGGACTGCCTCTTTCTCGATCTCCGTTCTCAATTTTGCCCACGTCCGCCGTTGTGCGTCCTCCTGGTATCCCTGTGGACTCAATGAGAATGTGGTACTAATGATACCTGGCTCTCCAACATGATTCTTCTGCTAAGAAAGTGAGTTGAACAGCCTCTAGCGCTTAGTCGGCGTCAAGCTTGTGGAGAGATATAGAGACAGCGAGAACACTCAGTAAACCAAACTGAGACACAGCTTAATTGCCGCACAATTGGCTCTAGGCAGTACTTGGTAGGGGTGGTGGTTGTCGAGAACGAAACTGGTGACACTGCGCGCTAATCTGATACCCGATCTGGGGAGCACGAGGCTATCAAACACCTTGTCGGGGAATAATCTTGGAAAAGTACGACTGAGAGATCTGAGGGTGCAGGCTTCCGATCCACTGTTCACCCGAAGGTCTGTCTTCTCATGATCAGAAAGAGCGCTAATACGTGTAATTAGCTGCCTCTCGTACTCGACGCCCGAGACCTGCGGATCCGTCAGTCGACTCACCGCGATACCCGAGTCTCTGGACATTTTCAAACCCTTGGCTCCAGGCGCTGTTGATTATACAGTGCGGCGCGCGCGACTCGTATCATGTTTCATGGCCGCAGTGTTCGTTACGAGGCGGATGGTAGCTCTATCTTGTTGATCGTATTTCTGTGAATGAATGCATCAGACATGAACCACAACAAATTGTTTGCTTTTCGTCACCGGTCACTTCGCCGCAAGGCTGTCATCTACCACATGTCAGTTCAAAGCATGTCAACCATAAGTCTGAGGTTTGATCTTCCAAATGTGCCTTCACCGGTAGGAGGGAAACGCCGCTGCTCGTATTACCGCCAGCACTGGTATATTGATGTTGTTTCTACTGTGGAATGGAAGACTTCGGATTCAACGTGCGTCTTGAATGCAATGCCTCAACGGTGAGCGGTGAGTTTCGGCGTCGGCACAAGTGGCAACCCATGACGACATACGCGCCTGCACGTCGTCAAATACAGATTCATCACCGATACTGACGCTTGTCCGCGAAGTTATAGCCGACCTATGTACGGATTCTGAGGATACTTGTTGGGCGAGTGCTCATTTCAGAAGTCTAGAGCCGGGATACATTGGCCAGACTGCAAACGCTATGCTGGGCGGTATTCCTATGTGAGGAGAGTGAAACAGCTTTTAGATGATTGTGGAGAAAGCACCCAACCATTGCGACTCGCGAGAAATTTCGAATCTCTGGAAGGAGACTGATTAGAAGGGCAGATAGAGCATCACCATCAGCGCTCTCAGCCATTCGACTCTTACGGCGTTCTTCTAGGAGCTGGTGTATAAGCTTCGGAATTCAGATGATGAAATTAGATTTCGACGCCTTAGCCCCGGGTGACAGATGATTGGCGCACAGCAACACGCCACGCTGGAAAAACGATTCAGATTTGGCAGACGCATCCAGCAAAAAAATACGTATCTGACATAGCCCTTGTACAGCGCCAGCACTCCGAGTCTGTTCCGAACTCCAGATTTCATGCAACAGGGTGCTCCACACTTCCGTCTTATCGAAGGAGGTGGCCGCTTCTGCAATCGGTGAGTGGTCTGAAAAGGTATCTGCTCAGGTAATTACTAAGCAATTGCCAACAATTCAGCTGAACATCAAGCGCAGACACCTCAGCAGAAACATGGCAAGGCTGCAATCTTGGATCACTCTATGTGCCTTGTACTGGACTGCTTTTCGGCTTTCAGGCACAAGAAGCTCAACGCTGAGTGTGACGTTAGTGGTATGACGGTTATCCGAGTCAGACCAGAAGTTTCCTCGCCGGCGAGTTGCTACGGTACCACATATCTGGTACCGGCCGCTTTGTTGGTATACGGTAGTGTCCCGCGAACTTCCCACCACTGGTGAGCATGTAGTTTGGCTATGCTTATTCATTAGGTCAGCTGCAATGCAGACGATGGCATAAAACGCGGCTTCTGGGCGCAGTCATACCAATCAACCTCCCCCCCGAAGTCGAAAGGGAACACTTGTTCTATTGTGAAGAGTACCTGCAGTTTTCAGGATAATTGGACATTATTGAGATGTCCAATAACTCGACGGAACTCCGTCAATTCTGGGCTGCATGGCGTCCTTTTATCGCCAGAATTCCGACGTGCGCCTTCAACTTTCTTCCTTTGTGGGGATTGTTGACATCAAGTCCTGTCGTTATCCAGACAACCAGTAAACTATTGCTCGGCATCAAACACTGGTGAGTCTTCCACATTCCAGCGAAGCTTGTGAGGAGATCTGACGCATTTCGTTCTGAGCACTGCTACTGTACTACTACGTACTCGTCCTCGCGCAAGAGCGAGAGTGCATATGGCGGCATCGCAAATTTACCGGAGTGACAATGTTGTACATGATGAACAAGTTTGGGAGTGCCGGATGGGCGATCAGCAGCTTGCTCTCAATACCTAATTGGAGCTCACTGGCAGTAAACGTGAGCCTGAGGATCCTTTTTGGCACCATCCGTGTATGCTCACTGACATTTGGACGCAGGTGTCCCGTACCTTTTTTCTGCCGTTGCTGAGAAAGTACGGTACTGACACTTACACTCTGACAGCGAGATGGCCCTATTCTATGTATTCCTAGGCTCCGATATCATCATGAATCTCACATCAACAGGTGAATGACTGTGATTTCTCTCACTTCTGATATGATCGTTTTACTCGGATGCATGCAGTATTCGACTCTCTAAGAGTGTATGCAGTAGGCGGCAGGTCATGGCGCTACGCCGTGGTGGTGGCTGTGCTGAATTCCACGTTTCTCCCTCCGCGTATTGTGGGTGGATTTTGTTGCGAGACGCATTCAAAATATCTGTTCATTGTTGATCGATCCCAGTGTCTCGGGGTGTATACTGGGTATGGATTTGATGTCTACGACGTGTCCAACGCTATCCCATTTATTACCGACACGCCTGAGTTCCTGTCCATATTGAACATGTACGTGGTTGCTGCTCGCCGAGATGTGCACTATCTAACTCATGGGATACAGAAGTATATAACTTCCAACCTGTTATCTCGTGGTCTTCGTTCACGAGTTGTATTTAACAGCAATTATCGTGAACTGGGCGGGTTCCGTTATTGCGGACCTGATCGTGCTATTTGTCACTTGGTCCAGCACTTACAAGATCAAGAGAGATGCTGATCATGTAAAAATGAAGGTACCATTGACGACTCTGCTGTTGCGAGATGGTAAGCTTGGAATTGTGTTGCCTGCATATAATGTCTGATCCGTGCTTAGGTACTCTGTACTTCCTGTGCGCACAGTTCTGTCTAGATGCCTGTCTATTCTGATCTTTGTACAGCTTGTTCTTCATTAGTAACATCATTTACATAGTCGCTTACCTGAACGACGTAAGTCTTACTCCTCCTTGAATGTTCCACTCACAAAATTCATCCCTCTGCAGTCCTTTTACTATGTCAATTGTCTTACCCAGCCGTCCGTCTACCCCTCCCTACTTGGGCTTCTCATCACTGTCACTGACATTATCTCCACACAGAGCCCCAGCTATGGTGTTGTCTAGCTTCATTCTCAACCTCCGTGAGATCTACATGTCAGACACCAGCGGGCCGTACTCGCGACCGTCCTTTGACGTCTCACGCGCGTCAGACCTACGCTTCGCGTCGCGTATTGTAGGAAACATCGGCGCGCCGCTCAGTCTCAGCGTTGCATCACCTATCGATGGCGGTAATGTCGCGGAGCGCAATTTGCCGGGTGACGGGTTGGAGGATGAAGACGGAGATGAGCTGAGCGATGACGAGATTCAGGAGGTTCCACGGGTCTCGCATAATCCTCTCGCGGTGGATTTCGTGGAAGAGGAGTACTATTAGAGATCTCGCAATGCAACGTGCGTTTCATTATGGTGTACTTTTACTCCAATCACGCTGGCTCACCCTTCTGTGTACCGCCATTTCCCGCAATAGGACAGCTAACGTATCATATTACACCGAAGCGACTCCGACACAATATGGCACTACATTCGCACGACACTGCGTCGAACCGTATTACTTCACTACTGTCGGACAGCTCAGCCCAGTATATTCTTGGAGTAGCGGTTCAAATTCGTGTATATCTGCGTAACTATGTCATCCAGCTTTCCTTTAACTCTCGGGTCTCCTCAATGCACTTCGTTAAGATTTTAGATTAGAGTCGGTACAACCAGGATTCGGTCAGTCGTATGGTCGCATAGCGCACAAGCTCTCATTCCAAGTCTTCGACCATGTATTGAATAGTCGCAGCAGAGCGGGGGAGAGGGAGCCCTGCATCCATCCAATCAACACGCCTCTGGCCTCGGACCTCACCACGACACCGACATCTCAGCATACGCAATGACAGTTTCGGGTCAAGTGCGTTATCTCATTTCTCATTTCATATAAACAACTTGCATACCGTCAACTGCCATCCGACTCTCCTTGCAAATGCTCCCTGCTCCAAACGTCGATACTCTCGAGCGACATGCAGATCAATGAAGTGGGTTCACCTAAGCCTTCGGAGCCTCGCCACATGCGCAGTTCGGGTAGGAACATGCCCCGACACCTGAAGCGGCAGACGCACACTTGACGTTCGAAGGGGGCAGCTCGGGCTGCACCACCATGTATCAGAAAAAGCGCTCTGACTCTGAGAGCGGTGGAAGCCGTACCATAGTAAGTTGGCTGAAGCTGTGGGGGGTGGTGTGAAACTGTGGTGGTTGGGTGGTGGGCTGGTGATGGAGCCCTCGTCGACTGCAGGTCTTTTATATCTGTTCGATCTACCGTTCACGCGCACGGTCGAGCAGTATTCAGACTTGCCAGGTTGGGACGCCATAGGTCGCCGAGCGAGCGAGCGAATCGAGTCCCGCGCATTTGTGCGATCACCATCGGGCTGCATCGAGCATGACGCACAAATCTCGGGTGGGGCCAATAGGGAACGCGCGAATTGGAGGCGCGTTGTTCCTCCTAAGTGCTCGGTACGTGTTGCCTCTGCCTCCAGCTAGAGCTCGTCCGTGTTCGGTCACTCGATATTAATCTTGTCCGCCTCAAGGCGGCGTACCCTGTGATCTCGTTGGCGTCACCGGGCCCAGAGCCCTCGCGCTACCGGTCCAATGTGACACAACTGTATCCTTGGGTAACCAGGTCAACCTGCGCCCTTTTCCTGGCATAGGGATGGCGTCGAGCCAATATCGCCCGTCCTGAATATCACTGTCTGTACGTGAATCGCCAGTGGTATTTACTTCAAGATTTGTGTACCGTACAGTAGTACCTCTTGCGAACGACACTCTGCCGGAGATCCTATGAACGACACGAGTCTCGAGACTGGGAAACACGCGGGCAGAACCCGTAGTACATACCACTCTCCCCGCTGTAGAGCGCGTCCGTCGGCGTGCGACCACCTAAAGGAGACGGGCACCCTGTCGACGAGCTTGGGGCGTCCGCGCCGGCCGGGACGCTACAGGTTCGGCAGGTCCGAGTTGGGAAGGCCACTCCACAGCTGGATCCTCCGCGCGCTGGTAGGGCTCCGAGATCATGATGCGCTCATGTTGTCGAATACGAGCGCGGTGAGCGGCATTGCGCCGTCTCGGATAAATGGGTTTGCACTGGGGTTGAATGGGAGGAGGATGTTCTCGAGCGTCATAGCCTCCAGGTATGGCAGGGCGGCGGGGAGGCGGCGAGGATGGAAACATCGTCAGGTCGAACACGAACGCACGCGTCTGCGGAGGCGGAAAAGACTCGGATATCGCGGAGGGGCGAGGGGCGCAATTCCTCGCAGACAGAGTGGTCATCGAGGTAGATGCAAGGCACAGTGAGGGGTATGAGCATCAAGAATCCAGAAAATGGAGCAGTACGAAATTGTGAGTATACACGAGAAGAGGAAGTGTGGAGGAAGTGGGAACTCTTCATTTCCAACACGGAGTATCGATACCAATGAAGACTGGTTTGCCAGAGGGACACGATCATGAGAGAAAGGGAACATAGATCCACAGGAGTCGGAGATTAATCACAGAATGCAGCGCTCTAGGCACATACATCATATGTGTCTGACAGCAAGGCAAGGAACAACATACTGCAGACAAGAACTTGTCGCACAGTTTCAGTTCCATTGAGATACTGTCATGCACAAGGGAGAATATAGATAGCAATGCAGATGGCAGGTACAACCTGGAATTAGAAAGCTGTACACTGAGCGATAAGACATGAAAAACGCTTGCGTACCGTGGACTGCCTCTTTCTCGATCTCCGTTCCCAATTGGGGAACGTCCACCGTTGTACGTTCCTCTGGTGCCCCTGCCGACTCAATGAGGACGTGGGACCCGTAACTAACACAGGATGACACCTGGCTATCCAAAACGATTCTTCTGCCATGTAAGTGAGTTGGACAGAGCGCTCGGTCGGCGTCAAGCCTGGGGAGAGATGCATGGCGCGGCGCGGTTAGAGTGACGGGCATAAAGAGCGGTATAGAGACCTAGTGAGAAACTCAGCAAAGCAAGGCTCGTATGCCTAAGGAGCTTCGAGCAATTGGCTGTAGGCAGTACTTGGCGGAGGTGTCGAGAACGACAACTGCGCGCTAATCTGATACCTGATCTGAGGAGCACGAGGCTATCAAACATCTTGTCGGGTAATACTTAATCTTGGAAAAATACCAGGCTTCCGATCCATTGTTCACTCGAAGGTGTGTCTTTTCAGAAAGAGCACTAATACGTGTAATTAACTGCCTATCGTACTCGACGCCCGAGACCTACGGATCCGTCAGTCGACTCACCGCGATACCCGAGTCTCGAGTACTGAGTTGCTATAAGACTCTAGGAAACAAGAAAGAATGTATTCAGCAACCGGACGAGCAAAGTTGAATGGGCCCCATTTCAACGCCGACATTTTCCAACCCTTGGCTCCAGGCGCTGTTTATTATACAGTGCGGTGACCGACTCGTGCCATGTTTCAAGGGCCCAGTGTTCGTTACGAAGCAGACGATAACTCTGTCTCGTTGATCATATTTCTGTGAATGAATGCATCAGACAGGAACCACAACAAATTGTTTGCTTTTCGTCACCGGTCACTTCCCTGCAAGGCTGTCATCTACCACACGCCAGTTCAAAGCGTGTCAACCATAAGTCTGAGGTTTGATATTCCAAATGTGCCTTCCCCGGGAGGAAAACGCCGTGAATCATATCACCGCCAGCACTGGTATATCGATGTTTCTATTGTGGAATCGAAGACTGCGGATTCAAAGTGCGTCTTGAATGGAATGCTTCAACAGTGAGCGGTGAGCACAAGTTTCGGCTTCGGCACAAGTGGCAACCCATGACAACATACGCGCCTGCATGTCGCCAAATATAGATCCATCGCCGATACTGACGCTAAGTGTCCGCGAAGTCATAGCAGACCTATGTACGGATTCTGAGGATACTTGTTGGGGAAGTGCTCATGAAGTCTAGAGCCGCGATACGTTGGCCAGACTGCAAACAATATGCTGGGCAGTATTCCTATGTGAGGAGAGCGAAATGGCTTTTAGATGATTGGGGAGAAAGCACCCAACCATTGCGAGAAATTTCGAATCTCTGGAAGGAGACTGGCTAGAAGGGCAGATAAAGCATCAGCATCAGTGAGGCTCTGTGTACAATATCATCATTGACTCTTACGGCGTTCTCCTAGGACCTGGTGATAAGCTTCGGAATTCAGATGATGAAAACTAGAATTCGACGCCTTAGCCCCGAGTGACGGATGATTGGTGCACAGCAACATGCCCGTGTCTCGACAAACGATTCAGATTCAGCAGACGCACCCAGCAAGAAGCTCATGTATCTGATACAGCCCTTGTACAGTGCCTCTCGAGCTTCAATTTTCATGATATTCCGCGATTCCGTTCAATCGAAGTAGGTGGCCACTACTGCAATCGATGAACACTTTGAAAAGGCATCAGCACGCATAACCTCAACTCCGCACACCTTGTACAGGACCGAATGAGAAACCCTTCCGGCTTCCACGTACAAGGACTAGTTTTAATATTCCTCACGAATTGAGGAGCAAGTCTTGTAGATATTGCCTAATTGTTTTCGGGGGCATGATCAAGCTTCCAATTGCGTATAAGCGCTAGTATGTGACACCAGTGGTGTCACGGTTACATCACATTCGAATTCATCATCATCTGTTCTCTGTTCCCAGGTACCCTCGCCGGCGAGTTGCTATAGTATGTACCATATGGTGACGGCGGCTTCATCTGGTGCATGTTGGTATACATTACTGGGGTCCATTGAACTTCCCACCACCAGTAAGCATACAGTTTGGCTGTGCCTGTCCATGAGATCAACTGCGATGCGGATGCTGCATAAAACACGGCTTCTGGGTGAAGACATACCTTCCCTTCAGTCGAAAGGCGACCCTTGTTCTACTGTGAAAAAGCATCTGCGCTTTTCAGCATATCTAGCATTATTGAGATGTCCAATAACTCGACGGAACTCCGTCAATTCAGGGCTATATGGCGTACTGTTTCTGCCAGAGATCCGAAGTGCGCCTTCACCTTTCTTCCTTAGTGAGGTTTGCTGACATCAACTCCTGCCGTTGTTCAGACAACCGGTACACTATTGCGATGCATCAAATGCTGGTGAATCTTCCATATTCCAATGAAGCTTGTGAGCAGATCTGACGCATTTCTTTATGAGCATTGGTACTGTATTACAACGTACTCATCCTCGCGCAAGAGAGAGAGTGCATATGGAGGCGTCGCAAATTTACCGGAGTGACAATGTTGTATCTAATGAACAAGTTTGGGAGTATCGGATGGGCAATCAGCAACTTGCTCTCAATACCTAATTGGAGCTCAGTAAACGTGAGCTTGAGGTTCCTTTTTGGCACCACATCCGCGTATGCTCACTGACATTTGGACGCAGGTGTCCCGTACCTTTTCTCTGCAGTGGCTGAGAAAGTACTGGTACTGACACTTACACTCTGGCAGTGGGTTGGCCCTGCTCTATGTATCCATAGGCTTCACTATCATCACGGGTCTCACGTCAACAGGTGAACGACTGTGATTTCTCTCACTTTTGATATGATCGTTTTACTCGGATGCATGCAGTATTCGACTCTCTAAGAGTGTATGCAGTAGGCGGCAGGTCATGGCGCTATGCCGCGGTGGTGGCTGTGCTGAATTCCACGTTTCTCCCTCAGTATATTGTGGGTGGATTTTGTTGCGAGACGCATTGAAAATGTCTGTTCATTGTTGATCGATTCCAGTGTCTCGGGGTCTATATTGGGTATACATTTGATCTCCAAGACGTTTCCAACACTATCCGACTTATTACCGACACGCCTGAGCTCCTGGCCATATATTCCATGTACGTGGTTGCTGCTCGCCGAGGTATGCACTACCTAACTCATGGGATACAGAAGTATATAACTTCCAACCTGTTATCTCGCGGTCTTCATTCATAAGTTGCATTTAACAGCAACTATGGTGAACTGGGCGTGTTCCGTTATTGCGGACCTGATCGTGCTATTTGTCACTTGGTCCAGCACTTACAAGATCAAGAGAGATGCCGATCGTGTAAAAATGAAGGCACCATTGGCCACTCTGCTGTTGCGAGATGGTAAGCATGAAATCATGTTGCCTGCATGTAATATCTGATCCATGTTTAGGCACTGTGTACTTCCTGTGCGCACAGTTCTGTCTAGATGCCTGTCTATTCTGATGTTTGTACAGCTTATTCTTCATTAGTGACATTATTACCTTAGTTGCTTCCCTGAACGACGTAAGTCTTACTCCTTCTCGAATGTTCCACCCACAAAATTCATCCCTCTGCAGACCTTTTACTATGTCGATTGTCTTACGTGGCCGTCCGTCTACACCTCCCTATTTGGGCTTCCCATCACCGTCACTGACATTATCTCTACACAGAGCCTCATCCATGGTGTTGTCGAGCTTCATTCTCAACCTCCGTGAGATCTACATGTCAGACACCAGCGGGCCGTACTCGCGACCGTCCTTTGACGTCTCACGCGCGTCAGACCTACGCTTGGCGTCGCGTATTGTAGGAAACATCGGCGCGCCGCTCAGTCTCAGCGTTGCATCACCCGTTGATGGCGATAATGTCGCGGAGCACGATTTACCGGGCGACGGGTTGGAGGATGAAGACGGAGATGAGCTGAGCGATGACGAGATTCAGGAGGTTCCACGGGTCGCGCATAATCCTCTCGCAGCGGATTTCGTGGAAGAGGAGTACTATTAGGGATCTCGCAATGCAACGTGCGTCTCATTATCGTGCACCTTTACTCCAATCACGTCGACTCACCCTTCTGTGTACCGCCATTCTCCCGCAATAGGGCAGCCAACATATTACAATGACTCGGAAGCTTCTCGGACACAGTCAAACTATGGCACTACGTTCGCATGACACCGTGTAGAATCGTATTACTTCACTACTGTCGGACAGTTCAGCCCAGCATATGCCTGGAGTAGCGGTTCAAATTCTTGTATATCTGCGCAACTACCTCATCCAACTTTCCTTTAGCCTTCGGGTCTCTCAATGCCATATCGTAGAGCACGGACGGTATTATCGTGCCTGTGTAGAGGACACTCGTGCCACTGCTGGCCGATGAGGCCGCCCCCGAAGCTCTGTCTTGCAGGCATTGCTGTTTCTAGTCGTCTGGCTGACCGTGTGTGGACGGGTAGAGCGGTTATGTCTGATATCGGGCATGGGCCAGCGGTAGCTCAGAACTCCGAGAGACAGCGTGGATGAGAAGACAGAATCAAGCGCGCGGGTAACGAGATGGCAGGGCTTGGCCGCAGTCCACCTGGCAAGAACATTGTCGGACTGAAGCCTGTGATAGTGAGTTGGGACAGGGGATGGGGGCGTACATAAATACGGTCCCTGTAAAGTTTGTCTGTCAGCAGGAACCGTGCGTACCAACACATTATATATCCATCATTTACTCTCGTTGTCGTGGCGAGGCGCCAAAGGCTTCGATGCACTTACGTGCGATGGGCAAGCACTAAATTCATAACAAAGTGGTGCGTTAAATGCTGATATGTCACTCGCAGGTACGCCACTGAGCGCGGGACAGAAGGGGCATATCACACACCCTGGAGAAGAAACGAAGAAACGAAGAAAAGAAATAGAAGTGGAAAGAGTGGAAGAACTTGAAGTCGATACAACCTGGATTCGGTCAGTCGTATGGTCGCATAGCGCACAAGCTCTCGTTCCAAGTCTTCGACTCTTCCTGATCAAGGCCCGATGCGTTGAATAGTCGCAGCAGACGCGGGGGAGAAGGAGCCCTGCATCCACCCGATTAACATGCCACTGACCTCGGACCTCACCACGACACCGACATCTCAGCATACGCAACGACCGCTCCGGATCACGCGCGCTATCCCATTTTTCATTTCATACAAACAACTTGGATCCCGTCAACTGCCATCCGACTCTCCTCGCGAACGCTCCCTGCTCCAAGAATATTTTCCGACGACATGCAAATGGACAAGGTCGGCAGGTCTAAGCCTTCGGAGCCTCGCCACACGCGCAGTTCGGGTACGAACACGCCCCGACGCCAGAAGCGGCAGACGCACACTTGACGTTCGAAGGGGGCAGCTCGGGCTGCACCAACAGAGCATCAGAAAAAGCGCTAAATCTGAGAGCGATGGAAGCCGTACCATAGTAAGTTTGGCTAAAGTTGCAGGGGGTGGTGTAAAACTGTGGTGGTTTGGTGAATGGGTGGGCTGGTGATGGAGCCCTCGACGACTGTAGGTCTTTTATATCTGTTCAGACATTCAGAATCGAGGGTTACTCAGACCTGCCGAGTTAGGGCACCGTAGGTCGCGGAGCGAGCGAGCAAATCGAGTCCCGCGCATTTGGACGATCGTGATCGTGCCGCGGTCCAGCATGACCCACACGATCTCACCAAGGGCCAATAGGGATCTGGCAAATTGTAGGTGCGTCGTTCCTCTCCAAGTCGTGCGGAGATCTACAGGTCCATGTTCCATCGCTCGACATTCTGGCCCGCCTCAGGGCCGCGCACCCTGTGAGCTCCTCGGTGTCACTGGGCCCAGGGTCCTCTCAGTTCTGCCTTCTCTGAGCTATCGCCCATCGCCCCAACTTCCGAGCTACTACCGGCCGACCCGTCGGACACACTGGATTTGAAATTCTATTGCGAGCCACGTATTGGCGGTATCATCGCATCCAAAGTAGGCCCTGACCACCTGGGGGTGCGGCGCCGCTGTCCGCACGAGATATCCTGCGGGGTGCGTGTACGGCCCGCTGTGGTTTACGTACCAGAACTTGCATCCACCATAAGGGGCTGCACGTTGTACGAGCCATTACAAGTCAGCTGTTAAGATGCCGGCTGATTCTTATCTGTGCGTACCACTCGGAGCTCGTACTCTCAGCGGCGACAGCAAACTCGGGACTGTTATCAAATAAAAAATTCGTCAGGATTCTAACAAGCTTAAGCCCCAGCACCCCGCGCGACATGAGCAGTCTGGTATGTCAGACCTTGCTGTATAATCACTTCTGGCAACTGCGCATCGGTCACGACGAAGCGTCCTCAGATGAGGACGTCAGTGGCACAAGTACAACATCTGAATTGCCATATTAAGCGATAGAACAGAGACCTATAGACGCAGAGGCACCAAGATGTACTGCACCTACAATTCGCCCGTTCCCTACTGGCCCCTCCGGAGATCGTGCAAATGCGCGGGACTCGATTTGGCTCGCTCGCTCGGCGACCTACGGTGTCCTATCTGAGCAGGTCTGAATATGAATACGTGAACGTCAGAACAGATAGAAAGACCTGCAGTGGACGAGGGCTCCATCATAGTTTTACACCCCCCCCTGCAACTTCGGCTCCCGCCGCCGTACGTGCTTTGACCGATTGGTTCCGATTGTTTCTCGGTGCAGCCCGAGCAGGTCCCCCCAACATCAAGTGCGCATCGGCAGCCCTCTGACATCGGGGGCGTGCTCCTACCCAAACTGCGCGTGCGGCGAGGCTCCGAAGGCGCAGACGCACGTACCGACGGTCCGCATGGCGTTCGGAGCAGGCGCCGTTGAAGAGGTTCGCGAAGAGGCCATTGGCGGGACGGGGACTCGAAATTGTATGAACTGAGAAATGGTTTCTTCAGCTCGACTAGTTTCGGACAGCTATTAGCAACAATACTTTTCGTCACTCCACAACGCTGCGCGGTGCGCTCGCAGGTAAGGAGCATCCCTCGCGCTGCAGAAAATAAGACACACACCAGGGTTTACACGCGATTTACCGCGAGAAACGCTGGCTTGCATAAGATGAGTCGGCGTATCCTCGGACAACGAGTCTTACAGCTAGTCTCATACTAAGACCGTCCGCGTTCTCTGACGTTATCACAGGGGTTTGCGTCGAACCTAGTCTTACAGCGTCCTCCTCCTCTTAGTGCTCGTCTTAATCCGGCAATGGTCGATAAAAAGGGTAAGTCTCTGAAAAACATATATCACATGATCTCTCAAAACATATCCTAGGATAAAGCCTGGGCTCCTTCCGTGGGTTCTGCAGCACGACAAATCCCCCCATTCAGCTTCGCTCAAGTTTGGAAACTGTGTAGTGGCACTTCCGAGCTCGTCCGGACTCCGTACTCTGGATCTGACAGAAATGGGGAAGAGGCGGGACGATCTTTGCTGGCGGCTGAGCATGCATCATATGGGCTGTGTCAACGGTGTTCGCTCATCCGGACGCGATATTACCAATCGTACCACGCCCCCATATGCGCGAAAAAAACTCGAGGTCGATGACAAAGGCGAGCAACATTTTTTTCCTCCGGTCGCGCCATACCCAGGCTTACAGAATGCCTTCCCGCCAGGCGTCTGGAACATGGTTGAATAAGGTAGTCTGCGACTCCGGCTCTCGGCAGGTTTGCTTGTTCTCTCTGTCCCCCATCTGAGAACCGTCGTAGGCCTAGTGATCGTTTTCAGTATCGTCCGCCATGTCCTCCGAGCCCGCACCCAAGCTGTTCCAGCCGATCAAAGTCGGCGACATGACGCTGGCGCATCGCGTCGTCCTCGCGCCGCTCACGCGCTTCCGCGCCGACGCGGCCCACGTACACGGCGATCTCGCAGTCGAGTATTACACGCAGCGCGCAAGCGTCCCCGGGACGTTGCTCATCACGGAGGCGACGTTCATCTCAGCGAACGCCGGCGGATTCGCCCATGTGCCGGGCATGTGGAACGAGGCCCAGGTCGCGGCGTGGAAGCGGGTGAGTGTGTGTGCTCTCGATTTCGTCGGAATGCGCGCAGTCGGGGAGAGTGCCGTTGTCCAGGGCATACGTACAATCTCTAGTTGTGTGCGTGGAAAGGAAAAGACTGACCTCGTTGTAGGTAACAGATGCCGTCCACGCGAAGGGCTCGTACATCTACGTCCAGCTTTGGGCTCTAGGGCGAGCCGCAGACTCCGAAGAGCTGCAGAAGGAAGACACGTCGTTCGAGTACGTCGCCGCGTCGGACATCCAGTTGACCGGGAAGCCGACGGCCCCGCGTCCGTTGACGGAGGAGGGTACGTTCCGTTATCCCAACCTTGGAAATCCCGCTGATGCGGATGCGAAAAACTCAAAGAAATCAAGGAATACATACAGGCGTACGGGACCGCCGCTTCTAACGCGGTCCACGGTGCCGGCTTCGACGGCGTCGAGGTCCACGGCGCGAACGGGTATCTCCCCGACCAGTTCTTGCAGGACGTCTCGAACAACCGCACGGACAAGTACGGCGACTCGATCGAGAACCGCGCGAGGTTCTTGTTCGAGATTCTGGCGGCAGTCACCGCCAAGATCGGCGCAAAGAAGACGGGTCTCCGCCTCAGTCCCTGGAGCGAGATCCAAGGTGTGCTATGCCGCACCCCTCGACTTGTCTGCATGAGGCTGATGCGTGAGTAGACATGCGCATGGAGGATCCCGTGCCGACATTCACGTATGTCGTCTCGCGGATCGCGGAGCTGTACCCAGACCTCGCGTACATCCACTTTGTGGAGCCGTGGGTTTCGGGTACCACGGATCGGACCGTGAGGGAGGGGGAGGTGCGTACAGGTTTGTCCCTTGTGGAGGCCTCGATCAGAGACCGAAGCGCCGTCCGCAGACGAACGACTACTTCCGCAAGATATGGGCGCCCCGGCCAGTCATCAGCGCCGGTGGGTATACCCGCGAGCACGCGCTGGATGCGGCTGACAAGAAGGGCGACCTCATCGCCTTTGGCAGGGCCTACATTTCGAACGTGCGTAAACGCCGCTGTGCTCTCATTGCTTGTGCTGATGTGAGCGAGCGAGCAGCCCGACCTCCCTCTGCGTCTGCGCAGGAACATACCCCTGGTGCAGTACCATCGCAGCACCGTCTACATTCCCGAGGCGCCAAAGGGGTATATCGACTACCCGTTCGCGGACGCGGCTGCATTATAGATAGAGCGGTGTAGACTTGATCTAGAGGATCGCACTTGCCGATAGAACAGAGAGCCCGCTCGTGATTTACCCCGTTTGCAACAGTAGTTAGAGCCTATCGTTGCGACAATCTTTAACGATGTTCCGTGGAAAGCAGCGCTCGCAGTGGTATGCATCCCGTAGCGTACCTGCTCCGTTAAGCTGCACCTCGGTACTTGCAGATTTCAGCAGGCGACGCCCATGCAGCGTTGGACTTTGGAGAAGAGTCGCAGCCCACGTCCATACAGAAACGATCCCCGAAGCGATGAGGACCGGGCTTGACGGAGCGCGACGCGGTGTTGGACTCCTCTGAGGAGCCAGTCTCGAAAGCCGTGTAACAGTTCCGTAGATCGGACAGACCCATCACGATAACGGCGAAGACGAGGCACAGATGCGGAAATCGCAACAGAAGGGAAGGACGCAGGAGCGAGGACGCAGCACGACAAGGCCAATACCGCGAGCAATTATAAAACACGGCTGCAGATTTTCCAAAGCCATCCCCGGAGTCTCGCACAACAATAAGCAAAGCGACCTTGTCGCGGTAGGCCCTCGCCACCTGCAGGGGGGGGGTGCGGCGCCGCCGTCCGCGCGAGATATCTTGGGGGGGGGGCGTGTCCGGCCCGCTGTGGTCTACGTACCAAGAACTTGCGTCCACCGTAAGGGACTGCACGTTGTACGAGCAACAAGCTTAAGCCCCCGCACCCCGCGCGAAACGAGCAGCAGTCTCGCATCTCGCATCTCGCACCTCGGACCTCGCAGTATTCATCCCTTCCGGCCGCGCGCCAAGCCTCGTCGGTGGCACAAGTAACTCCATCTGAAGCTGAAGCGCCGTATCGCGGGCCTGTAGACGCAGAGCCCACCAGGATGATGGCGCGCGTGGACCGTCGAGCAGGTCCGCGCGGGGGACTCGAGATTGCGTGAACCGAGAAATGGTTTCCTTTTTAATTTTAACTGAGCGTGAGGGGGGCGCTGTGGGCACTGGGGGCCACCGCGTCTCACTCACTCTCTCTCTCACACAGGTTCGTCGTGAACTCCCAGGGTTCCGCCGCGCTCTTCGTCTTGGGGCGTGCCACGAACAAGGGGAGACCGTGCACGCCGACGCGCCCGCATCCGCGTCCAGCCGTCCCTTCCGGGCTCAGAGCGCCGTGTCGTCGAGGTCGAGGGAGGGGCGGCGACGATTTCCACGTGGACGCGCTGGCGGGGGAGCGAATGACGGGGGGCGGTGTGCGATATTGGTCGATCCCGAGTGTATGATGTGAACGACGCATGGCGAGATGGCACGGCGCGCTGTTGGGGAAGGCGCGGGGTATTTCGGGCGGGGGCGGGACCGGGGGGGGCGGGGCTTGTGCGGGAAGTGGCCGCGGTCCGATAATACGTGGACGATCGCCTTGCTTTTTTTGTCCTTGGATTGCGAGGGTGCGAGCCTACGTACAGTCCGTCTTGGACACAGTCTATATACCGTGCACTGGGGTCGCCTGAGGCACGTCCAGCGCAAAACGGAAGAATGACGCGCTGACCCGCGGACCGCTGCTGGCAGTTCTGCAGTTACGGCCAGCTCGGGACGTGCTCTCCGCCCTCGGCCAGGCCTGCTGACGTGCCTATCTGGCACTCCGAGCGCATCGCGGGTTAAGAGGCGTGATCAAGGACGATGACAGGGTGGAGGTGGACGGGTACGACGGGCTGGCCAAACATCCGCATCAAATAATGTACTTCAAGGTGTGTGTGTATCGTGCAGACGTACCTTCTTGCGAACGACGCCATCCTGTTGGACTCGACACGAGTCTCGAGACGGGAAAATATGCTGGCGGGACTCACACCGCTCTCCCCGTTTTCCACCCTTGCCCCATCTCGAGGCGCGACTCGGTGGTGTGCGGCTGCCTGGAGGAGAACGGGCACCTTGTAGATGAGCTTGGGGCGGGGGCGTATGTGCCGTCCGGGACGCCAGTGCACATCGGGGTCAGTAAGGGCGCGGGCTGAGATCGTGCCACGCTAAGGTGTGGAACACGAGCGCGGCGAGCGACGTCAGGCTGGCTGGGGTGTGCGTGCAGTGGGGTCGAATGGCAAGATGGGGCCGCTGGGGCGGCGAGGAGGCCGTGGGACGAGAACACGCGGAGGCGAGGATGGAAATGTATCGTAGACAGTGTCAGGTCGGACACGAACGCGGAGAGGCGGGGAAGACGCGGACGTTGCAGGTGCTCCAGATCTAGAGCGCGATTGCCGCCGTTCTTGAGATTGGTTATCATAGGACCCTGGATAATCCCCACAAAGGTCGTCGCCAAATCCGGACAGATTTTTGCGAAAATCGACCTCACGCCGTCGTCATGTCCGGACAAATGGACCCCCTAAGGACCATGTAGCCGTCGTACTATCCGGACATGGAACTGTTCTGGGGCAAAAATCGCCGGAAAATCGCCGGAAAAAGCCGAAAAAGGCTAAAAATAGCCACAAATTGCCTAAAATGGACATCCCCAGAGCGAGGATGTCGCTATTTCCGGACAAAAAACTCCCTAAACCGGCCAAAAATGGGCCGGACAGATTTTTGTAAATTGGGGGGGGTTTTGGCGACGACCTTTGGGGGGATTATCCAGGGTCCTGTTATCATCCGCCGGATGTTCGTCATGGAGCGTGGAGAGGATCCGTCGGCGTCTAATTGGAGGCCGCTGCTTGGACGCCTCTGCCATGGGCCGAGACGCGCGCGCACACGTCCCTTGTCCAGTCTGCCCGAAGACGCGCTCACCTCCACGCTGTGCACCACGTCCCAACCGTTCTATCCGCGCTCCAGCTCCTAGTGCCCGACGACCATCCGCGTACGTCCCATCTGCCCCATAGGCAGACGACAGAGCCGCACCCCAGCTGGCTCGCGTACAACTTCGCGCGGACGCCGCCGCCTCCCTCTAGGCACCGCCCCGCACTGCGCGCGCGCTCGACCCCCGCGCCGTCCTGCTCAACGGCACGCGCGCGCGAGCCGGCACTACCTCGACACGGCCGTGCGGGCTCCGTCGAAGCAAGCTGCGAGCGCGAGAACGATCGTGTCCCCCCACTGATCGCGCCTCCCGTCGCCGCGCCGCGATCTGCAGATGCACGCACGCGCGGTCCATCTGTGGGTGCGCGCACGGAGTCGTTCACGAGCCGGATCGCCACGTAGGCAAGCCGGGACACCTTAGTGCGCACTCCACCCAGAGCCTCCGACGGGATGGGCGCGCCGAGGTGAGTCAGTTCACAACTTCCTCGCGACGTCCTACGCGCAGAACGCCCCTGGACCGCTTGAAGAAGCGCCGGGACCGCGAGGGCTCGTCAGGTCGGCACGTAAAACCGCGCGGCACTCGAAACGCGCTGCCTGGTACCCGCCGTTCACGCGCCAACGTCGGCCTGCGCGAGCGACGGACATCGCCCGGGGGGGAGGCACGACGCGACTATGCGAGGGGCGCGCAAACCGGCGCACACCACACCGGCTCCGCATGTCCGTCCCTCGCATTTCTCCCGTACGACCCCTCCGGGCGCCGCATCTCTAACCCCCCCCCCCCCCCCCCCCCCCCCTTCGCGAGCGCATAACACAGACTACACGGGGCGCGTCCGGACCTCCGGAGCCGCCCCGCGCACTTGACGTCGGACGCGGGGCTGCCCACGATCAGGAAACGCGCACCGCGGTAACTTCGGTCTCGGAGCGAACTGTAAACGTGTGGTTGGGGCGAAGGGCGAAGGGCGATAATCCAGCGGGTGTGTCGTGCCCGCTGAGACGGGGCACAGGGACGACCCCACGAACCCCGTTCCCGTCCCGCGCATTCGCAGCCAAGTGAGCGCGCCGTCGTGCAATTTGTTGCTGCCGGCGCCGGCGCGTCGTGGTGCTCGATATCGTCCGCGGCCAGACGCTCGGTTGGCCAATGCAGCCCTCCTAATGGGGTGCAGGCAGTGCTCCCCTCCCCCCCACGTCTGCCGCGACTTATAACTCAATAACTCAACACCGCGCCACCACCAACACTCGAGCGCACAGTGTCCTCGGTCCCAGCACCGCCCGACGGGTCGGTAGCCTGCGCGGGCGACGAAGCCCACATCGAATACTCGGGCGACGACTCGCGGAGAGGGAACCATCGCGACGAGTTCGAACTTCTCGTGCAGAGGAGCGGCCCTGCCCCGACGCGCTCGGGTATCCTCGACACAACAGCCGGGCGCTCGGGTACGAACGCGCGCCGACGGCGCCGCACTCGGCTGCTCGGGCTGCCGCCCCCTAGCAGAACGCGTCGCCCGTCCGAAGGGGCGTTCGTATATCCAGATCTCACGCGCCGCGGAGGGAGCCAGCGAACCGAGGCGTGTGTGCAGCGACGCACGTTCGACGCGGCCGTGGGGGGCGCACCATCACAAGACCGCATCGAATACTCGGGCGACGACTCGCGGAGAGGGAACCATCGCGACGAGTTCGAATTTCTCGTGCAAAGGAGCGGCGCTGCCCCGACGCGCTCGGGTTATCCTCGACACACAGCCGGACGCTCGGGTACGAACGCGCGCCGACGGCGCCGCACTCGGCTGCTCGGGCTGCCGCCCCCTAGCAGGACGCGTCGCCCGTCGGATGGGACGTTCGTATATCCAGATCTCACGCGCCGCGGAGGGAGCCAGCGAACCGAGGCGTGTGTGCAGCGACGCACGTTCGACGCGGCGCACCATCGTAGGTGCGTCCCGGTGGGTTATGCGTTCTGTTGCGGGTACGGGTACCGCGCGTCGTACGCACGTGCAAGTTCTCAGCCACGGACAACGTTGATCACCGCTCACTGGGACACGTTTTCCGCATCTCACGTCGACGCGCCGTGGTCGGGTGAGGAACGTGCTCCTAGGAACGCGATTCGCGTCGCTCCCGCTCGGACCATGCCCTTGGTATTCGTACGAATTATGTCTCTGCCCGGTACGCACTCGGTCCTCGTCGATGCCGGCGGCGACAGCGATGGCCCGTCTGCGCTTCCAGCATGGTCGGGCGCGCAGAGGGACTCAGCGTGGAGCCATGGCCAGCCGCCATTAGCCGGCTTCCCATTGGGTCCCGCTAGCGCAGTGGTGGTCGGCCTCGATATCATCGAGGTCGTTCGCAGATTTCGAACAGCGGCACCGAGCAGACGCGATCACGACGTGGGCAAATGCGCTGGACTCGATTTGCACTCCCTCTCGTCCTGCGGTGCGTGGTCCCCCAACTTAGAAGCAGGCCCTCCGGCGAGGTATAAAACACCAGCGGAATCGACAGAGGCCCTCCATCGCCAACCGCCCAACCAACAGCTTTCTACCACCCCGTAAACCATACCATGGTGCGCTTCACCGCTCTCACAGCGTTATCGTACCGATTCCCCCGACGGCCCGAGCTGCCCCCTTCCAACGTCAAGTGCGCGTCCGCCGCCTCCGGCGTCGGCGCGTGCTCGTACCCGAACTGCGCGTGTGGCGAGGCCCCCGAGGCTTAGCACCTCCGCCTTCGCATCGTTGGAGCGGTGTTGATCGAGCTTGCGAGGCGAGACGCGAGGAACGCAGAGTGTCTCATGTCGTGCCGTTCGTATAAAAGAATTGACGATCTGCTGTTGGACTAGTGTTCCCTCGATCCCTCGGGGAGAATCGAGAGTTGAGAGCTCCACGAGCAAGTGTGTCAGCTGCCCCCCTCTAGGCCACGACTGAGCCGCTGGCACTGGCAGAACCGCTTCGCTTCGCTCCGTCGAGGGCGGGCGCAGGCTGACCAACCGAGCCACCCGGTAGTTTACGAACAGATACACCAACAGGGTGGAACTAATTAGTTCTGGCCGCCGCAGCAACGTGAGCATCGTAGCAAGACCAGTAGGCGACGTACAAAGGACCACCGTGAAGGGTCTGCAGTCCGCCATTACCGAAGATATTCTCCGCCCATCCCCGCTTAGTCTTCAGTCAGACCTTCTCATGGGTGCTCCACTCGCCATCCCACCAAACACTGATTTGACAAGAAAGAAAGAAAGAAAGAAAGAAGAAAAGTAAAAGTAGAAGTAGAAGTCTGGGTTGACGGAACCGCCCTGACGCGACGGACCTCGCACTGGCAGCGAGCCCTTCACAAATCACACTATGCCCAGTACCTCGTGCTCATGAGGTCGTATGCGCGCACAGTCCGCGGAGGAACGAACACTCGCGCCGCACTGGGGAGGTTGGTGTAACCTTCACCAGTTAGCTCCTATCAAGAGATGAAGAGCGGCGGCGAGTGTGCTTCATAACGCGCGATGCAGGGTATCATATATCACGGGTGCTATGTACTGGAAACCAGAAGTGCGAGCAAAACAGGAAGGGTAAAGAGTCCTGAGAGACCCAGCGAAACAGGAGATACCACGCACCATACAATCGACCCGACGCCTACGTACTCCTCGTTCTGACGCTCGTCCGCGCCACCTTTCTGTGAGAGTGCACATCGGGGCTGACGAGGCGGATGCAGGAACGGTCAACAGCAGACTAGAATGAGAGAACGTGTATACCCTGCCTAGTGGTGCAAACGCCCAGATCTAGATCGAGAGCGGCGTCAGAGATCGAGAAACGGATGCATCGAAACGGACGAAACTCGCCTGATATTTCCGATCCGCCAGTCTGTACGCTGCAAACGTCGAGACCGCCCAGAAGTAAATTGTGCACGCATGTGTCTTCTCGTCGGCGCATCAGGCGCACGAATGTGGTAGTGGCCCCTCGCGAGCTTGGCGTTGGCGCAGAGGACGTCTTTGAAGATCGCATCATATCATCGCGAGGGGCCCTGAAGTGTTACCTTGTATCTGCGGTGCGAAAGTGATCGAGCTTCCTGTACGGTGCAGAAAAACACATCGGGACTCCTCATCAGTGTCTAGAACTGATATTTCAAGTTTGGGGTTTAGGATTTTATCAAGCGGTCATGCACGATCCAATTCGAAGAAAATGAGACGCAACGACCCACTCGTCTCCACGAGAACGGCGGGGATTGATTATAGCGCGGACGAAGTTCGCGACCTTGCGGATGAATCCGTCGGGAGGGTCCGAGCAATGGGAGGCATATCGCTGTGTGTTCTGCCACGTGCAAGAAGTAAGGTGGAGGGAGATCTGATGCACGATAGGGGAGTGCAGCGGGCACGTTTGGACGTAGTGGACTCGGGAATACCTCTAATCATCGTTCTTTCGCCAGAAAATGCCCTCTGACTCGACGCAGAAGGAGACCGCATTCTACATTCTAGAAGAACGTGGACGCTGGTAAGCGACACTTAAGCAGTGCGTAGCTCCTCCGCCAAGGAGCAGCCGGGTTCAGCAGAACGGTCTTGTGAAACTCGGTGCAATTCCACCTGTCCTTGTGAAGTGAGTCGCACCCAGCCCGCCTGCAGTGTTGGTCCTACGGCTCCTTAACCCCCACGTTGTCGCTCTGCCTAGAATATCGAACGCGACGGGCAGGTTGGGACGTTTAGACCAAGTTGTCGCGCACATATGATCTCACCTTAACTCCGTGCTGTACTGTGTCGACCTCTTCTTCTCGATGCCTCCGCGCCACTGTACATGCTGCAGCTCAAGCGGACCGTGAGGTTCCCGGGCGCTGTAGCCGTCGCACATATTATGCGCTCCTTCCTTGTCCGCAGGAATGCAGCAGCCACGTTGCGGGAGAAGATTTGTGGGCCCGTCGTTTTATTCCTCCTCTCAATCTCACGGCGAGTGACCAGTGTGTACGCACCTGGAATCGTGTGGGACTGGCACCGGGCGTATTCATTCTATAAGGCGGAATATCCGTGCAGAGCGCTGGTGCGTTCCTGGACGGGACATTAGCGCCATGATGAAGATTGCGGGGGTGTCGCGTTCAGTGAATGGATCTGTTAAATATGTGTTTTCCCTCAGACATAGTAAGTACATGTAAAAAGAAATGGATCCTGATATCGTGCAAACGAGCTAGGACATTCACACTGGTATTTGAAGTGTGCGCCGTTTCCATCTAAGCGTAAAGTCCCGGTTCCGGGGCGTTTTCCTCGTAAATACTGGTTCCACAGCGGAAGAGCAATACAAAATACAACGTTGCACTCATCCTAGTATTCAAGCTAAACGGCGTTACGAACAAAATTCAGACCGAATAGAGGTGCAAATCATTGGATGTGCTTACCAAAGGTCGACGCACACAGTATACGGCCTGCACAAACCGTTGTTCATCCCAGTCGTAGAGTTTTTGCTTCCACCCCTCTGTGGACATCTGGCTGACCGGACCCCTGCACGACGGTTGTGACACGACGAACACGAGCAAGATCTCGACACCAGAGAAGACAGGCTTCTTATGAACGATGTCGTGTAAAGGGAGACGAATACCTTCGAGCTGCCTCAAGCCGTCCACCAATGTGACGTTGCGAAGGTGAGGCGAGGTGAGCTGTAAGAGGAACGGAATAAGGGACAGATCACCCTGCTCGAGTGCAAATGCGCGCAAAGATGTGCACGAAGAAAGATCGATGTGGTCAGTGAAGTTTGAACCTAAACCTGACGCGACTGTGAGTGACAGGATTCGTAAATGCTTGGCACTTACCCCCTTCCTTCCCGTAGAAGCCCAAGCCTAAACGTTCTAGAGAGGGCCCCAAGGCACTTATTAATCGGCCAACGTTCGGAAGATCACTGTCCTTCGTGATGCTGAGGCTCAATGTTCGCAGCGAAGACGCATGGCCAATCCAGCGGACGAAGTTGAGTGTAGGACAAGCATGTGTCGGACTGCGACCCAATGCAAATGGGCGATCCAATACAAACGCATGATCCAACACAAATGAACGAAGCCGGGCCAGACATGAGCTAGGAGGTATCACAACCCCATCCCATGGGCCAACTTGGCGCACGAGTTTAGCCGGTTCGGCGGATAATTCAAACTGTTCAATCAAGAGATTGTCCAAATTTTTGAACAAAGAGACGTATTCGACGAATCCGCGGAGCGGGAGAGTGCAGTGCATCACGTTCAGCGTTCTGACAGAAGGAAACCGGGGGTGCAGGTACGGAAAGAATTTATCCCCGTCATACCGCGCGAAATCTCGCACACCCCTGAGCGTGAGGGTGCGCAAGGCCGTGAGACGAGTGGGTAGAAGAACAGGAACCGTGTAGATCCAATCATTTTGCAATTGGCCTCCCAGGGTGCTGACGCGCAGCTCATGTATCCATGGCCCAGCTTCAGGACGGGCGTCCAAAAGCCACAAAAGTTCATAGAACCTATGCTCGCCGGCCAACGATATCCTGCGAAAGAGGCGAGCCTGGCTGAGGCCACGCCACCCATGGCAAGTAAGGGTCAAAGCGACGAGTGAGCCGCGATCATCGATGAGGTATTCCACTATGTGAGAACGAAGCTCGAGTGGGAGAGAATAGATACCCTTGGTATACGGCATGCCCCGGCTGAGAAGAGAAGTCGGACTTTGCAGGTAAGTTTCGCAACACAAGAAGAAATTTAGTACTGACGATGATTCAGAACCACTCTACAATGCTTCGTATTACTAGACAATCCTCGTCGATGTCAGTCAGTGGGCAGACGAATACTTGAACAGTCCGAGGTATTGGGCTGTATGAAGAAGACGAAGCGAAGAGAATAATGCGATCTTAAGGGTTTAGAGGACGCCTTTATACAAGTCCACAACAATGAAGTTCCCAAACTGTGCTTGATCCTTTGTTCTGTTTCAAGCGTGTATTGTAATCGGTTGCAGTCTGACTCAGATCTCCAGATCTGCGAACTCGTTGGCATAGCAGAAGATAAGAAACAGGAAACCCTCAGACTGTCCGTAACCATGGAAGCCTTGAGTAGTATATCTGTTAGTAAAGTCCGAGTCGCTTGCAATATCCAGATCGAAGTCCTCCTGAGCGTTGAACTGACTACTCGGAGTTTTTAAGCACCAATACAACGGGCCTGAGTTTTCTGACTCGTGGAAAACATCTACGCCAAGAGATATAGACACACTACGCACATTTCCGATACCGGTTTGGCTCGAGGCGAAGCGACAAAAAGCCAGGCTCGGAGTCACTGTGACCCCGCCTAGGATGCGCACCGCAGAACAGACGGTTCCGCGAGCGAGACGCGAGGTACTCCAGGAAGACGAGAAACAACCTGACAATCGAAGCTTAAACGTTCCAATTAGCCTGGCATCTAAGAGACAATCCATGTAGGTCAGTACAGTATTGCAAGAGACCTCTCCCAAGTCGTCTTCCGTCGCAGCACGACCGGGATTGGAAGATCTCCAGGACGACGAGCGGGACAGCTCGAGGCGTCAAGTAGAGAACCTGCGCTCTTCCATAAATTCCCTCAAGCTTCAAATTTCAGTGGTGGAGAAAGGCTGCTGCCCAGCCTGAGCCTCTGGTGCTCTTCTCCCAGGCGAGAGGATATATAGACGAAGCAACACGCGCGAGCTAGCTGGAAACTGGAAAGAGGGCGAAGTAGCCATGAGGACAGCTGAAGAGGACGTGGCGTCTCTTTCCGATCAGTGGGAGGAACCCTAACCCTCATGCATGCTGCCGGGTCGTAGTCTTGCAAGCGTCAACGCACAGGGACGCCCACTTCGTTCTCTAAAGCGGCGAGGCTATATTTTTGGCGGGAGGATTACTCAACGCGTCTACCACTGGAACCCAACGATCGTGGGCACCGTCCTCACCTCCATGTCAGCCACCGTCCTCACCTCAGTGTCAGCTACCACCCTCAATCCGTTGATTATGACAATATGCAGAACGACGAGGTTGTATTTCGGCGGGAGAATGCCCTGGCTGAGGGTATTTTCTCACCGAAATACAACCTCGTAGTTCTCGAGACTCTGATAAATAATGACTTGGAGGTGCCGTTGTTCACCCTGCTAGTTCTGCGCGTCGTGATATAAGTTCGACTTCGCGTGCGGCACGATATTGTAAGCACATCGAGTCCTCCGGCTCAGTTGGGCTTACCGTGGTGGAAGTTCCTGGTGATGGCAGGTGGCGGGGAGAATGGGAGAGGCATTCAAGTTAAACGTCCGTGTGATCTCATGAGCAGGGATCTTTGACTCGTACGTTCTGAAAATGTGTATAGGAAGGAAAAACTCATATTGATAGCCTGTGTGACATGCTGGGCCAGCTCTGAACTCAGCTTGTCATCACTCTCATGGTGGTGGTAGACACGGAACTGCATGCAATTATTGCAATAACCAATATCCCTGTTCGCCGATAACTATTTCTCCGGTAGGCAAACGATCATTTGGAACGTCGCGATCGCAACCTTTTCATGAGCATTCTCCGGACTGGTCAAACAGTGAATAGGGCATGCGCACTACCACCGCACCAAATGCCCAGTGAACTTCGGCGAGCTACTATTGTCCGCACGGCGATCCTCACCTGTCAACCACCTGCTCAATCCATTCGGCTTGACTGCCGTGGCCATGGCCATTCGCTTCAAAGGGCCGCCGACTAGCAATCGAATCCCCACAAAGCGTTTTGTCGTATCGAGTCGATACAGCCGTGCGCTTTGTGGCTGTCCGATGACGCGTCCGCTCTATTATCCACAAGCGCCGGCTGCGCTTTGCTGTGGCATCGGCCAGGCAGGTATATATAAGACGCGTCCACCTCCTCAGACCTTTCTTCACCCCAACCACTCAGCTTCCACTTCAACACAACCCGCTTGGCCACCGTACGCTCTTCATAGAGCTAACGTGTGCGGTTCGCGGTACCCCCGCGAACCACACGCGCTAGCCCTCTGGAGTATCGCGTTGGATTCGGGGCGAGAAGGTGCGTCGCACCGTGTCGTGGCTCGGGGCCACTACGACCGCAGGCGCCAGCCCTCTGAAGCGGCGCGTTAGGTCGGCTCGAGAAGGTGCGTTCTCTAAGGGTTATTGCTCGCGGCCTCCACCACTCGTGTGGACTAGGAAAAAAAGCACGCGCGCTCTTCGCAGAGCTAGCGCGTGCGGGTCCGCGGTACCCGCACCCCTCCTCACACTTTCTTCACCATCACGTCCGCTTCAGGTTCTCACACAACCCTCCGCGCCACCATACACTCTTCGTAGAGCTAACGTGTGCGGTTCGCGGTACCCGCGAACCACACGCGCTAGCCCTCTGAAGTGTCCCGTTGGGGTGGGTTGAGAAGGTGCGTCGCGACGTGTTATTATTGCTTAGGGCCTATGAACGCAGGCGCTAGCCCTCTGAGGTGTCGCGTTAGGTCGAGAAGGTGTGCGACGTGTTATTGCTCGTGGCCACTTTGGGCAGTGCAGAAGTTTTAGTTGGCGGCTGGGCTCGGACATCCGGTGTGGCCCGGGAGGATGTCGTCAACTTCGCGTTCTGCGGTTCCATAGTAGGAGCCGCGGTTGAGCACGCGGGTACAGACGAACCTCCGGAGCGGCTTGGCTTCGGGCATCGTTCTGCAAATTTCTCAGGCCATCGCGCACTCGGGTCTGTCCTACCTACGCAATTAAACGGCTCTGCCGCTGGTACGCGCCCACCGACGTCGCTCCCTCACGTCATCTCGCACCACTTCACCACTGCATCATACACTCATGGCGTATATCCGCCGGACACGCTGCTCCAGCCCCGCGGGCAGCCAGTCTGGAGGTCAGCCGCGCGGCGTCATGCACATGTATCTGCGAAGCCTGTCGCCGTTTACCCACCGCATACCGCTTGGCCGCTTGGTAGGGAGGTCGGACGACGCGCCTTCCCGTTCTGTTCGGGATCTAGCTGAATACCGACAATCGAGACGACAAGCGTGCAGACGCGCCGCCGGGCACGACCGAGTTCACGAAGGGCACGCGGAATAGGGCTACGCGGGAATCAAGTCGTACAGCGGCAGCGTCTGGCAAAAGACGCCATGCACAAAACTGAGGTACAACACGTAGTTGTCGACGTGCGCCGGGACCCGCACGATCACGTCGTGAAACCGGCCGGCGAGTGCGGTATTGCGACATTCGACGAAGAAGAGGGCGCGGGGGACGATGATGCAGCTGCCCTCATCGAGAAGCTTGTGGAAGTCCCGGCTTAGGGGCACGATATTGCGTATCGCGGATGCCTTGTTCGGAGGGAAGGGAGAACGTAGCTTGTCTGTGATTTGATGGTGGCCATGCGGGAACTCGTAAGAGGCGAAGACGGTGACGGACAGCATACCAAGAAGCTTCGTCCTGAGGAACAAGGTGTGCGGCCTCCAGCGGGGCGTTGATCCCAGATACCATGCAGACAGACTGGTAGCAGACGAGTTTCGATATGGCTGAGAATGAGGTCACTTCGGGTTGTCCGATGTCTTTGAATGTCGCTGGAGAGGGGCGGAAGCTTTCCACGGCGAGCCACTCAGGAGGAGGGGTCCACGCACGAAACGAGGAACATACAGGATAGCCTGAGTTCGCGGGTGCGCTTTCATCCTGGAGATGGAAGCAATATCTCTCGCCCGTCAAGTAGTCTGCCAAGCCAGTCACGATATCTGGTCGCCGCGAGACGCAGAGGTAGATAGAAAGCCAGATTTTTCTGTCAGTGCTTCGCAAGCCCGGAGCGCGATAAAATGCAACAGGCCGAGCGGCCCTCCAGGTTGTTCGCGCAGGGAACAAGAAGGGTCGGCGCGCGTGGCGATGGAGGAATAGTGTCGGTCCGAGTTCGTCGGTAGGAGGTGCTGGAGGAAGTCGAGGCTTGGGCCCGGGCATGATAGCGAAAGGCAAAAGTGGCAGTACGTGGAGGTTTGAAGGCACGGAAAAATATGGACGTATTGACGAATAGAATATAGGAGTCTTGAGTCTTGCTCGTTAGTGGAAAGGAGTACACATAGGAGTCTTGAGTCTGCTATGTTTTGCGCGACATACCTGATTCCGAGAGTGTCGCATCAAAGCACGTGCACTGAGATCTCCATCCCGATCAACGGTTCAGTTTCCGTGTCGCGTTCCCGTGACGCGGTATGAAGATCCTCTTTCTGGCGGTGTGCTGGCCGATATAAACGAATTTCCCTGTTGGCGTACAGCCGGGCATGCGCGTCTCCTTCGTCTCCTTCGCGTGGACATAGCTTTTTCCTTTGCGGTGGGGAGGGGGGAACCGGGCGGAAATCGCGAGCTGCCCTGCTAAGTACTTGGTCAAAATATGGAGATCGCAGCTGTCGACGAGATCGAAGATATCCAGGTGCACAGACAGCACCGCGGGCCCTCTCAGATTCTCTTGCGCGCAAGCTTCAAAATTCCGCGTCCGTTTGACCGAAAACTTCAGCTGCTGCTGCATACGAACCGCGTACTCTGCCTCGCGTCGCAAATCAAATCGACGAACTCGGATTTTCCTTTACATGTAGACATCACCCTCTGCATCTATCAACGACTGCAGCTGCTTCCGCTCCGCGTACTCTGTACACCTCGTCTCATCTTGCCTCGCACATTCAGTCGACGCCCGCTCCAATGACACGCGGAAGGAGAGGATGGATGGGGCACTAAGCCTTCGGGGCCTCGCCGCACGCGCAGCTGGGGTACGAACATGCTCCGACGCCGGAGGCTGCGGACGCGCACTTGACGTTGGAAGGGGCCTGCTCGGGCTGCTCGGAAGAGTCAGTACGGCACGGGGCGCGTGCAGTGGATTGCGCACCATGGTAAACTTCGGGGCTGGCGGTGGTGGTATAGAAGAATAGGTGTGTGGCTCGGTTGGGTGAGTGGGTGATGGAGAGCCTCCGACGATGCTGGAGGTCTTTTATACCTCCTCGGGTGCTGCAGGACCTGCTGCGACACCATGTTAGGACGCCACGGGCCGCGGCGGACGAGCTCGAGAGCAAATCGAGTCCAGCGCATTTGCACGGGCGCGATCGGGTGTGCGTCATGCTGTGCACGCGATCGAGGATCCCGGCAGAACGCTGCTGTCGGGACCCAATAGGAAGTCGGCTAATGGCGAGCACCCTGCGTTTTCCACCCAGCACTGGTTCTACCCTGCATTATAACTGCAGATGGACCAGCTTCGCTGCCGTTATGGCCTGGCCGAGCAGACATATCCCAAGGCCTTGATTCGACCAGAAGTGAAAGGTGCGACGCCGACACGTTCCTAGCATCGGATTGCGTACCTCACTCGTGCGCACTGACGATATCGATCGTTCTCAATGTGCGATGCGGGAAATAATTTCCAGTTTCTTCCAGAACGAAGAGTCACCCTGAATCGACGCTGCTCAGAAATGGTACTACTCGGAGTGGGCAATGGCTACATTTGAAGAGCAGACCGCCACAACTCCACAATTCATGCCGTCTCGACAGGGCACGACGCAGCAGTCTGACATGCGTAAGTACATCTCTACACTGGCTGCTGGCTCGTCGAATCCAACCCTATCGCAAAACGGACGTAAACACTCCAATTGCACGTGCACCGATTTGACGGTGAGAGAGCAGAGCTTTTGGAGCGTAGATATCGAGCCGGGTGGGAGGGAGGCGGGGGGGGGGTTACTTGGAGGAAGTGCCGACGACGGGCGTTGGGGGTTGGAGGACGTCGCGCCCCGCGCCAGCTGTGGTGCATATACGCGATGAACCTAGGATGCAGAGGTGCGAGACGACGTGGGGGAACACCGTCGGCGGGCATGTACGGATCCCAACAGCGACTTCGTTGCGGAAGCCAGACAGACCCGGGTGCGCGCGACGGCCTGAGAGACTGTGCAGATGTGCTCGACTGCAGCTCGTACGACGGCCTTGAGCCACCGAGCGCGAAGTCGACGACGTCCTCCCGGGCCACATCTGATGTCCGGGCCCAGCGCGGTAGCCAAGGCCTCTGCAGTGCCCAAAGTGGCCCCGAGCAACGACACGTCGCACACCTTCTCGACCCAACGCGATCTGCGGTCGTAGTGGCCCCGAGCAACAACACGTTGCGACGCACCTTCTCGCCCCAACCCAACGCGACACTCCAGAGGGCTAGCGCGTGTGGTTCGCGGGTACCGCGAACCGCACACGTTAGCTCTGCGAAGAGCGCGGTGGCGTAGAGGGTTGTGTGAGAACCTGAAGCGGACGTGATGGTGAAGAAAGTGTGAGGAGGGGCGCGGGTACCGCGGACCCGCACGCGCTAGCTCTGCGAAGAACGCGCGGCGTGCGTTTTTTCCTAGTCCACACGAGTGGTGGTGGCCGTGAGCAATAACACCTAGCGAACGCACCTTCTCGAGCCAATCTAACGCGACACTTCAGAGGGCTGGCGCCTGCGGTCGCAGTGGCCCCGAGCAACACGGCGCGACGCACCTTCTCGCCCCCAACCCAACGCGACACTTCAGAGGGCTAGCGCGTGTGGTTCGCGGGTACCGCGAACCGCACACGTTAGCTCTGTGAAGAGCGTGTGGTGACCGAGCGGGTTGTGTTGAAGCGGAAGCTGAGGGGAAAGCGTAATGAGTACTGAGTGGTGGTGGTGGTGGTGGTGAAGAAAGGTCTGAGGAAGAGAGGTGTGGTGGACGCGTCTTATATACCTGGCCGGTGCCACAGCAAAGCGCGGCCGGCGCTTGTGGACAATAAATAGGACGGATGCGTCATCGGACAGCCACAAAGCGCATGGCTGTATCGACTCGATACGGCAGAGCGCTTTGTGGCGATCCGATCGCTAGTGTCGAGCGAGTGCTGTACTGCCCACGGGCCCTTTGAAGCGAATGGCCATGGCCATGGTAGTCAAGCCGGACGCAGATTGTCATGATGAGGGCGGTGGTTGACCTGCTTTTACTGTTCGTTGTTCCCATCCCACCATCTGCACCACCACCAGGGACCTCCGCCGCGGTAAGCACCACTCACCTGGAGGACTCAATGTACTTACAACATCGTGCCGCACGCGAACTTGAACTTGTATCACGACGCGCAGAACCAGGCAGAACAACGGCACCTCAGCGTCGTTACTATCCGAATCTTGCAAACGACGAGGCTATATTTCGGTAAGAAAATATCTTCAGCATCGTCATGTGGAGACTTCTTCTTGCCGAAAGATAACCTCGATGAGAGTATTCTCCCGCTGAAATATAGCCTCGCCGTCCTGCATATTGTCGTGATCGATGGATCGAGGGTGATGGTTGGGTGAGGACGGTGCTCACCATGGGATGGTTGGGTGAGGACGGTGCTCACCATGGTTGGCTCCCAGTGTTGAGTAGATCCTCCCGCTGAAATACAGCCTCGCCGCTTTAGAGAACGAAGTGGGCTTCCCAGTGCGTTGACAAGTACTTACTTGCAAGACTATGACCAGCATGCGTTGGAGAGCGATGACAAGGAACTTGAAAGTTCAGGCCTCAGGCGCCGTCCCTCGACCGCATGGAGGGTTAGGGTTCCGTCACGTCCTCTGCAGCTGTTCCCATCGCCACGAGTCCGCCCTCTTTCCATTTTCCAGCCAGCTCGCGCGTGTTCCTTCGTCTATCCTCTCGCCCAGGAGAGGCGCAGCAGAGACTTAGGCTGGGCGTCAGTCTTTTTCCACCACTGAAACTTGAAGCCTGAGGGAATTTATGGAAGAGCGGGGCGAGGAGATTCAATTATTCAATATCCAGGTCCGTCGCGTTCTCTACTTGCCACCTCGAGCTGTCCCGCTCACCGTCCTGGAGATCTTTCCATCCCGGATCGCGCTGTGGCACAGGACGACTTGGGAGAGGTCTCTTGCGATACTGTACTGACCTACATGGACTGCCTCTTGGATGCGAGGCTAATTGGAACGTTCAAGTTTCGATTATCAGGTTGCTTCTAGCCGGCGTCTTCCTGGAGTCAGAGTATCTCGCGTCTCGCTCGCGGAATCGCGGGTCCTGCGGTGTCCATCTTCTCCGTCGTCCGTCTGTATCTTGTGTTACGTTGCGCGACTTAAGCAGGGTGACGGTGACTCTAGATGCTTCCAAGAGTCCGAAAAATCAGGCCCGTTGTCTTGTGCTTAATTACTCGGAGTGGCCAGCTCAACGCTCAGGAGGGTTTTGATCTGGATCTTGCAAACAACTCGAACTTTACTAACAGATCTACTACTCAAAGTTACTTCCGGTTTCACATCCATGATTACGTTCTGACTGTCTGAGGATATCCTGTTTCTTATCTTCTGCTATGCCAACGTTTTGTGTGACGAGTTCGCCGATCTGGAGATCTGAGTCAGACTGCAACCGATTACAGTACACGCTTGAAACAGAACAAAGGATCAAGCACAGTTTGGGAACTTCATTGTTGTTGACTGGTA